AGTTTTTGGAATAAGTGTGGGAAAGTTTTGAGCTTATGTAATGTAGTGGAAAAGCGGTCAAGTAGAGATGAAAGAATGGTGTATGGAAATGAAGAAATAAAAGGATAAAATGATAGGATGTGAGTGTATCATAAACAGGATATGCTAACACACCCCCTCAAACCAAATCAACTCCCATTAATTTATTGAAGTGTTGTAATTTGGGTCGAGCCAGTGGCTTTGTGAGTGCGTCTGCAGGCATTTCATTTGTGGGACAAAATAGGATTTGAATCAAATTTTGTTCGACAGATTGTCTTATGAAATGATAGCGAATATCGATATGTTTGGTGCGAGAATGATAGATATTATTTTTGGTGAGCTCAATTGCACTACGATTGTCGCCATAAAGCGGAATTGGTCTAGTGAGTGGTTTGTTTGTGATTTTGGCCCAAATGTTTTTGAGCCAGATGGCTTCTTTGGCTGCGTGTGTGATAGCCACATATTCGGCCTCTGTGGTCGATAGTGTTACAATTGGCTGTGTCTTACTATTCCAGGAGACGGCTCCACCATTGATCCTAAAAACATATCCTGATATAGAACGTCTGTGGGAATGTGAGGCAAAGTCTGCGTCCGAAAATCCAACCAAGCCTTCGTCGGTTTGGCCTATGACCAATCGGAACTCTTTGGTGGCTTTCAGGTATCATAGGACTCGTTTTGCTGCCTCCCAGTGTGTTCGACCAGGATTTTGTAGGAAACGAGAGAGTGAAGATATTGCAAATGCGATATCCGGTCGAGTGCCAGTAGCAAGGTACATGAGAGATCCTATTGTTTCTCTATAAGGTATGTTTTGCATCTCGATGACTTTGGCTTTGGCTGATGGTGATTGTGAGTCGTCAAAAAGTAGATCTGGCTCGACCGGAGTTGATACAGGTTTGCAGTCTTCGAGGTTGAACCTTTTTAGTATTGTTTCTATGTATGCCTGTTGACCTAGAGATACAGTGCGAGTTTTGCGGTCTCGTTGTATATGGATACCAAGTAGCCAGTTGACTTGGCCAAGGTCGGTGATCTCATATTCTCTCTTTATTCCTTCCTTGAATTCACTGATAGCCTTTGTAGTTTTACCTGCAATGAGCATGTCGTCAACTGACACTGCAACTACTAGGCTGTCGGTGCCACAATACTTGATGAAGAGAGCATGGTCATGTTGAGATTTTGAGAATCCGAGAGTGGTAAAAGTCTCAGTAAGCTTCGTATACCATTGTTTTCCCGACTGTTTGAGACCATAGAGACCCTTGTTTAGCTTGCATACAAGCCCTTGTTGTTCGGGTTTCAAGTAGTTTGGTGGAGGATGCATGTATATGTCTTCATCAAGGTTGCATTTAGGTATGCGCTCTTTATATCTAACTGGTGAGTTTCCCAGTCATTTGCTGCTGCATGTGCGAGAACCAGGCGGTTGGTGGTCATACGAGACACGGCTGAATAAGTCTCATTGTAGTCTATTCCATATATCTGGGTGCTGCCATTCGCTACTAAACGAATCTTGAATTTTAGGATTTTGTTGTTTGGTCCTCGTTTGATTCGAGGGACATAGTGGCAGCGTATTATATTGGCATGCGGCAGGGGTTTGACCAGGTCCCAGGTGCGCAAGTTCTCTATTTGCTTCAATTCTTCATCTATGGCATCTAACCAGTTTTTCTTGTTAGGTCCGTTTAGTGCCTCAGTTATGGTTGGATTGTCACTAGCGGTTTGATTGTTTGCAGTCGTGGCTGCGCTCCAAGCGCCTAGGTAAGCGCTTTCGTCGTTTTCGCCGTTTTCGCCACTCAAGTCAGCTGACTTGTTGAATGCAGATGCGGCTGTGAAGCGGCCCTCATGCAAGGCCTTATAGAAGCCTGCTGGCTTCGGTTCTCCTCGTTTAGGCCGCTCAGCAAGACCTGGTCCAACTTCAAGAGGTTCTGGGAGGTTCATTACAGCTGGAGGAGGAGGCTGAAGGTCGTTTGGAGGCGGCTGGGCGACAGGATTGGGATGGATGGTGTTTGGTTGGATTGGATGAGGCTGGAGATTGTTTAGAGGCAAGTATGAGCGAACGGCTACTGGTAAGTCGTCGACAGTTTCGTTTTCGTGAGTTGCTGATTTGATCGGTTTGTTTGTAAAGTTGACCGTCGGTTCTTCAAATATATGGCCGTCGTCGTTTTCGGCAGTTTGGGATGGGGTAAGACGTTCTTGTGGATTAAAAATGATGTCGCGTTCAACACTTACGGTACGTCGTTCTGGCCAGTATATTCTGTGCCCCTTTGACTCATCATCAAATCCAATCCATTTACCAGCCTTTACGTGTGGGTCTAGTTTGCCTGCGTCAATAGTTTTGACATATGCTGTGCATCCAAATTCATGAATATTGGATAAATTCGGTATGCGGCTGTGGACTATTTCGTATGGTGTTTTGCCTTGTAGTGCCTTGGTAGGGGCTCGGTTTTTGATCCAGACGGCATGCCTAATAGCTTCGCTCCACAGGGATTTAGGCATATTTGCACCAAATAACATTGCACGAGCACATTCAATGAGTGTGCGGTTGAGGCGTTCTGACACGCCGTTCTGCTGGGGTGAGTCATGGGTTGTTAATTCCCTGACAGTGCCTTGTTTTTGCAGGTGCGCATCAAAATTGAGGCTTGTGTATTCGCCTCCGCGATCAGACCTCAGGATCTTTATTTTACTGTGATCCTTTTGCGTGTCGAGCCAGGCTTCAAAGTTATTATACATCTGTAGAACCTCGTCTTTCTTTGCAAGTAAACGCACGTGAGTTTCTCGGCTAAAGTTGTCTGTGAAAGTTAACATGTATCGTTTTCCTTTCAAGTCTTGAACAATAGCCGGACCCCAGAGATCCGAATGGATTCTTTCCGCATAATGTTTAGCTCGAGTGTGGCTAGTTTTTGGGAAAGGTTTCCTGATGGCCTTTGCTTGTACACATGTCTCACAGAAAGATATGGCCTCGGAACTATCCAGGACAATTCCTTCAGCTAGATTTGAATCAACGAGGTGCTTGAGTGATTTATGGGCTATATGGCCCATTCGCCGGTGCAGATCGTTAATGGTGACTGTGCTGGCAAGGTATGCTCCTCTTTTGTAATTTTTACTGATGTTGGATATGTGATACAGGCCCTTTGTTTCTGGGATTTGAGCTATTGTTCGGCAGCCAGGTGGGGGCGAGCGTATCTCGCATATGCCTCCGCCTATGTGAACAGTGTATCCTGCCTTGTCCATGCGACTAGCAGATATGAGTGTCGAGGCCATTGTAGGGCAGTGTAGCGTGTCTTTTAATATGACACGAGAGCACTTGTTCCCATTTGGTAGATTAACAGTGATGTCGCCCTTGCCACAGGCGTACATGATATCGCCATTTGCTGCGTTGATAGGTATAGGATTGATTGGCGTATATGATTGGAATCTGTGGCGATCAGGACAGAAGTGGTCTGTCGCACCACAGTCAATGATGGCTTCATGATCACTTATGTGAGTTTCAGCTTTGTTTGCCGAAGCTGTAACCTGTGAACTGACAGCAAAGGCATATATCTCGTCGTTCTCATGTTTGGGAGCAATTGCAGCTATATTTGCAGTGGCTGCAGTATTTGTTCCCTGTGCTGTCTGAGGAGGATTTACTTGATTGTCCCTTGGATTAGCCTTGTTTTTAGGGCCTTGACCTTCTCGGCCTCCGCCAGGTGCAAAGCACCTTTCGATAGTGTGACCAACTTTGACGGGGCATTTAGGGTTGGTGCATTTGTACTGTTTGTTTCTTTCGGCCTTACGATCCTTCCAACCGGATTTGGCCATCATGGCTGTTTCGGACTTGGCTTGAGCAGAGATTGCTCGTGTGTCTGCTTCTTCAGTTACATGAGCAATTATATCCATTGCCGAAAGCTGATTTTTGGATATACGAGCGGCGGCTAGGATTGATGAGAGTAGTGGACGATAGGAATCTGGGAGGGAAGATAACATCATAGCAGAGAAGTCCTTCTCTTCGACTGTTGCTCCCATGCCTGCTAATTGCTCTCGGAGCTTTAGCATGTCTCCTATATGACTTTGGACATTTGTAGATTCAGTGCATTTCATATTTTGTAAGCGGCGCCTGATGTCAATCTGCATCATCTCCGTTTTGCCTTCATGCATGTGGCAAATGGTAAGCCATATTGTAGCTGCCGAACTCTTGTCCTGGATTTGGATGAGAGTTTCGTCGTGAATAGTAGAAAATAATTGCTGGATGACGAGACATTCTTTCTGAGTGTATTCATCAAGCTTGGTTTCATAGGTTTCTATGTCTTCTTCTTTAAGGGTAGTGCCGTCGGTTTTTGTAGCTATGCCATTAGAATCCCTAGTATATTCAAGAGGATCTGGCTTTCGTGCAGTTCCAGACAGGTGTCTGGTTAGACCTCGGGCACCAACAGCCACAGCTACACGAGACTTGTATGTAACCCAATTGGAGCCATCCTTGGCCAATTTGGGTACAGAGAATGTCGAAGCTGTAGAAGACATATCAAGTGAGCTGGCAGGGCTCATAACCTGTTAGGCTATGAGAAGACTAAAAGAGAGTATTTCTCAGTCTTATAATCAAGAGACTGAGGTTTGTGTAAGGCAGAGTGCTATGAGTTTTTGGAATAAGTGTGGGAAAGTTTTGAGCTTATGTAATGTAGTGGAAAAGCGGTCAAGTAGAGATGAAAGAATGGTGTATGGAAATGAAGAAATAAAAGGATAAAATGATAGGATGTGAGTGTATCATAAACAGGATATGCTAACAGTGGGCCACTCACACCAACCAACTTTCTCTTGATGGGATTCTAATTGACAGGTATTATATTGTACATGAGTACATGAAAGTTCACGCTGTTATCACGCCAGAACTCATCTGCACGACCTTCAAACAGACAGGGATTTACCCTTTCAACCCAGATATATTTACTGACAACAACTTTGCCCCGAGCCATGCAACCTCAACCTCTGCACACTTCCTCGAGTCCTATCCCAATGTCACCATGTCAAGCAACAAGTCCTATCATCCCTCTGACAGCAGCAGTGAGATGGACGAGTCAGTGGGTAGAATTAGTGAGGTTGAGGATGAGATTGATGATGAGGACAAGGACAAAGATGGAGATGAAGAAAATGAGCATGAGCATGAAGACGACGGAGAAGAAAATGGAGAAGATGAAAAAAAGGATGGTATCCTCTTCCCCTCTCCCTCCCTCAGCTCCTCCACTCAATCTGACCTCCCTCCTGAGCTGATGAATTGGCCCCGCCTGTCAGGATCACCTACACACTCTGTAGAGCTGTCTCCTTGTCCATCTCCAGGAAATTTTGGTCGAATCTACCAACCTGGTCCAGCAACAGCTCCATCTCTGTCTCCCTCTCAACTTGGGCAGGACATTCTCCCCTCTCCAACGCTTTCTGAGGTCATTCATCCACACGCTCTCTCTCTGTCTGGCAGAGGACATCAGTGCCAATATTATACGCGCTCCTCCTCCTCCTCCTCTCCGCAGTCATTGAACGCCGTGCTTACAGATTGGCAAATGGTTAGCATTGAACAAGATCAAAGAAGAACTCACCCAGAGCTTCTCACCCAGCTTGTTTCAACCCAAACATGTAACAACCAAGAGTTATTTACTCTGGCACACACAGGAACACACTATAAAGAAGATGATGGGGAGTGGTTACCCCTTAGGCTGCAGTGAGTTAGTTGTGCTAGACAACAGGAGGACTCGCTGAGTCCTTCCCCATGTATTGCTCTTGTATATATACTAAAATACATGAGGTACTGTACAGTTGTAAATAAAGTTTGAAGTCCAATGTCTAGCATGTGACCGGTCACATGATGAGTCTAGACACTGGTCAGGTGATATTTCACATGACTGGTCATGTGACTATGAAAAGTTGAAAATGTAAAGTAAAGTAAATGGTCACATGACTGGTCATGTGACTTGAAAAATAAAAGTACAAGTACAAAAGTGAAGCGTAAGTAGATGCTGGTATGTCAATTGTAACAAAACACAGCTCAATCTCATTGAGCAAGACCAAGCACAGCTTCTAGCTACATGCCAGAAGCTAGAGGAGGATTTAGGTCAGGTGCAGGCAGAAAGGGACGCCACAAATGCCCATTGCACTATTATCTCCCGTGTGGTTGAGGAAACACGCAAGCAGCTGGGAGTTGTGACTAAGGAGAAGCAGCAGGGGACAGGAAAAATCAAGGCTTGGTTTGTTACTCACCCGGCTTTAAAGGCACATTTTGATCAGGAAGAGGCCGAGCACAGTGGGAAGGCGAAGGAGAGGGCAGCGAAGGATGCACAGAAGGCCGTGGATGAGGCTGTCCATACTGCACGCATTCACAAGGACACTGTATTGAAGAATTTTGAGAAGCCCCTGTTGTCCTACAAACACAAGGATGACCTCATCACAGTTGCTGGGGCCCTGCAACTGTCAACCACATGGGACGGTCATGGAACTCCTCACTAGGATCAAGACATACCTGGATGAGCACGGGGAGCTGGCAGGCCAGCCTTGCTTTGCTGGATTATTTGGCCATTGCGCCCCAAACATGTCTTCCTCTGCAAGTGGGTCCGGCTCTTCTTCTGCCATCTCTTTGCCTTCACCCCACTCTCCCGCTTTCCCCTCGGCACAATCTGTGGTGTACCCGCATGCATACACCCCCCAGCTCCTCCCCCAAATTACTCAGCAATACCTCTCCTCATACATGTCCTCCCATGTGCCCCCCCTGAGTTCTTACACTTTGCCAGGTCCAAACGACAAGCCCGGTACCATTTATTACAGTCCAAATGATCCTCAAGGCTACATGTGGTTATAAATCTGTATATAGTTCTCCATCAATACATGTGCTTTTCTCAAATTTTGTGTGATAAAAAGTTGATATATTCTACTACAATTTTCTACTACAATTACTACTACTATCGAGCTGGGGACTTGGGCGAATTTTCTGCTCTTGATAGTGCCGAGCGGGATTTTAACACGGCTTCTGTGACCTCTCTGTGACAATATGTTACTTTTGTGACGTCCGAATACCCCCCCATCCGAACTGACGGTTAACGATAGTACCCAGATTTATCGATACAACTTCGATGGGCTTCTCGCAAACACCCTCTATACCATATTAATGGTACATCATTTATCTCACACTCGAATTGGATGGCGGTTTTGACGATTATATATAGAGCCACATTCTATACTCTCGAGTCACTTGACAAGCAGCACTCGCCCATTTAGCAGGACTCGTCGGTCAATCCGTTATTGCAGAAGTGACCTGAAGATGTGGACGTCTATGAATCGGCTCCCGGCGGCTTCTCCCAACGGTAAGCCTCTTACCTATTCGCTCTCCCTCCATGCCCAGATCCAGATACGTCAAATGGACATTATCTCCCTTGGTACCTAGAAAGGAATATATCGATTTAGCTACCATCCGATTCGAGGGAGAGAACGGTGAATTTTGCAACACAGGATCCCGATATCGATATGGAAGTTGATCCCGAAGAAGCTCTCTGTATCTAGCCGCTCAAGTAGGTTTGAACCATATAACCCGGTGTTCTAAGCTGCTGATATCTCAATACAGTGCCCAGCTTTTACAATGGTAATCATACCTGTGCAATACTCCAACTTACTCCCAGGCCTGTCTTGTGTTAAGCTTCGCGAACATCAGGTATTAACCTCCTTACATTGACGGTGTCTGTAACACCCCTCTGCACTGGTACATTGAAATATGGTCTCAGGGTACGCCACGTGGGCCTAAACCGGGGCTCATGTCCAGTTGTGCGCTGAAAGCATCTCTAGCGCAAAGATCCGTCTGATTCTCCAACAGATCTTGATTGTAGCTGTCCTTTCGTATAGTTTGCCTTCCTCTGATATAAAGGAAGCATCGCAGCAATAATCCTTCGCAGCCCATCCTCGCTTCAGTGATCAACTCGTAGCTTACCATCTCAAAGAGCATGGTGTCCACCAATCATGTTTTTTCTGGGTTTGCATTTATCGGCTTCGTTCTAGTCACTGTCCTCCTGCCTCTCCATATAAAAGGTGATTTTGTCATTCACATGGATGTTTCTCCATCTAAGTAAATGGCGCTGACGTTTTGATAAAGCAAGAAATATTGGCACATGCGCTCTCATCATATGGATAGGCTTGCTTTGCCTGAATGGTTTCGTAAACTCAATCATATGGGATCATAATGTCACCGATTGGGCACCTGTGTGGTGTGACATATGTACGTGCACCTTGGTCTAGTGTTTTTGTCTAATCACCCTTTCGCAGCATCTCATTTGATGATGGGCGGGAGAATTGGCGTGCAGGTAGCGTGCTTATGCATCGCTCGTCACTTATACCTCGTCACAAGAAACATAACCACGAATCGGCCTAGTCAAGTCAGGGTACGTTTCGCAGTGCTGTCCCCCACCCCTAGTAACCAATTTCTCGTCGTCTACGAGCAGCATCGGGGAGCCATTGCATGTGACCTTTTTTTGGTTATAGGAGCTCCAATGCTGTACATAGTCATATGTAGGTCTCTTATTATATGTTATCCGTGCAAGCTTATGCATATGTGATTGTAGACTACATTTGTCAAATTACGCGTTTTTGTATTTTCGAGGAGATAGGCTGCTACCCTGCATATGGCGGCACGCAGCTCATTTTCCCGTTGCTTTTAATATGGCCGTTTATAGTAGCTCTTATCGTTGTTGTCTACTCAGGTAAGATTTCGTGGCTCTCTTCTACCTATTCAAAGTAAGATAACTCTAGGCGTTACTATTCACATCTTGATACAGCGGGGAGCAGGATTCAAAACACTCATTCAACGTGATGAACAATTTTGCCGACTATTGGCACTGGCCGCCGTAATAGTCACCTGCACATTTCCATACAGTCTATCGGCACTTATAGTGGATGCAACTGAAACGCCAGCTATTCCTGGGCCTGGGTGGGATATTGTGCATACCGATATCTCTCATGTTCTTCAAGTTCCAGCTGCTGAGTGGAAAGCGCCACCATCTGTGCAAGCCGCTGGTTTACAGCTCGCGCGATGGAGCTTTGTGATGTACGCCATCACTGTCTTTGCTTTTTTTGGTTTCACAGCAGAAGCGAAGAAGAGCTATCGTGCTGTGTTGGGCTTCCTTATTAGCTGCTTCGGTACCTTGGCGATCTTCAAAAGTCAAAGAATGAGGTGTGTACCATGTTTCTCGATTGCCCACCTACTCCACTGATCATGGCGTATTTCTTCTCTCGAACATATCTTCTTCAGGCAAGGACATTTTCCTGGTCAACGCATATCCGTACACACTCCCAAACCATCAGACCGTCATCGATGCCCACATACAGCATCAACTGTCGACAGTCCGCAAAGTACATTGCGTAACTCATGCTCACCTGAACTGCCCGACCCAAAAATGGGATCTAATCTGGGCCTATGTACTGAGCCTACAGACAACGACTGCGATGCACACTATGCGCACTTCGAAATGTCGGTGCTCGAGCATCCTGCACCTGTATTGGACATCGTATCCGTCTTACGTTGCCATCCACTCGATCCAAACCCAGTGTAAAACATCTTGAAATGTTCCTTAACATTGCGTGAATGGTCTGGAGTTTCAGTTCAAGCCGTCACCCTTTTCATACCGGAACTAAGCTCGTGTTCAGGTTTTATCACCTTGTAGAATAGTACAGGTGTAACAACTTACCGCCCAACCACCAGTCGACCAAATTGGTGCAATACAATCATGTGACCCATCTCAAGCCAGTCTCAGGCTCTTGAAACTTTTGCATGAGCGTACTTAGTCGGATAACAGACACTGTCATCAGGAAAACGAGGAGACCCTTGCATTACCAGGCGGAGTTGATACGTGGACATCAAAGTGGTTGCAGTTTAGAATGGTTTAACAGTGGCTACCAAGGTTGATCGATTAATAAATCTTCGAAGGTTTGACAAACCATTAGGCACCGAACTGAACGAAATACAGAGTTACAAACATCCCACATTCATATAAATTTAAACCAGCCATTCATTTGTACTGTTTACACCCCTCCACTCATCTCCTTCGCCTTCATCTAGCTCGCAGACAAGTCCGCCGCGGCCTGCAGTGCTCGTGGAGTATCATACATGTCCATCACCACCTCAACAAGCTGCATCTCTCCAGTATTGGAAAATATCTTGTCCTCCAGAAGCGCAGTGAGCTCTTTTTTTCCGCGTACAGTATATGACTTGGATTTGGGCTTCTCCTGCGGGTTGGGATTACTGAGAGTCGTTAGGAGCGAAGTCCACTGCCTGTGTAATCAACAACGAGAAGGAAAAGATCGATCAAGTTCAATCTTATTGCATATTCTGTATCCGCGTACCAATCTGCAATATCATTATATTTCCTAGAATGCCTCATTAGCCTTGGCTGCCCTCCGAAATCAATTATAATCACGCAACTTACCTGTGCATCCCATGTAAATGTCTCTCGATGTTATACCCTTTGTTGTTCAAAACGAAAATGATTGGTTTCAGCCCGTAATGCATCATCGTTGACAATTCTTGGACAGTAAGTTGCCTGCAACGCCATAAGTCAAAACGTTCGTAGACTCTTAAAGGAATAGAGCTCACAGACTTCCATCTCCAACGAAAAGTATCGTTCTTCCCATTTTCTTATCTCGTGCCGCCAGGGCCGCTCCAAGGGTGCTCCCTACGATGCACATATGAGTATGATTGAAAGTATAGAATCAAAATTGAGCGTATATGTATATTCACCAACACTCCATCCAATACTCCCGTACAGTATCTGACTTACAAACACCGATCTTTCAGGCAGTGGTATATCCAAAATTCCAAAGCTCGACGTTCCTGCAATCAATAACTGATCAACTCTTTTGCGGTATACTGCTACCAATCTTCGCACCAGTTTCAGCAACAATCACATCCCCTTCCTTAAAAAAGGCCCCCATGCGAGGCCAGAACCACGCATGAGAGATGTCGTCGTGCTGTTCATTGGGGATGACGGCCTTATAGTGTGGGACGGCCAACTGGCTTGCACTGGACTCGAACTGTTTCAATCGTGCTGTCAGTTTGGGGAGTAGCTGTTTCATCCCAATACCAGGAAATTGAGCGTGCTGGACTTGGGTGTGGTCCGAATGAAGCTAAACAAAAAAAAAACGATAGGATAAACCTGCGAGGATTATTGATACAGGAACATACCTCGATAGTAGAAGATGTAGGAATGCTGTATGTGAACATACCAGTGTTGAAATCCGATTTGAGCGCCCCGATAGACAATATGAGCTTGGCATTCTCCACTTTCTCCTTGATACTAGGATCGGATATAGAGCCAATGTATATCTATGTTACTCCATTCAGTCCCCAAGGAATTCCATTGGTGTAAAACAAAAATCACGTACCCCGCCATAGCGATTATGGTTTTCACTCACAGCCGTTTTGCCCATCGGCGCAGCGTATACTGGGAATTGTGTCCTCGTGAGCAGGTCATCAACCTCTTGGCGCACGTTATGTCGGATTGCACATGCGTCCACAAGGATAATGATATCCTGATCTGCCGAATCAACGAGCTTTACGATTTCGTCCAACACAAATTTTTCTACGTCTGGGTTGTTAGGTGGGGGGGTACGAGAAAGGGGCACTTCGAGCCTCCCAGCTGGAACTTTTTGGGAGACGAGATCTGTAGGAAGCATTAAGTACACTGGTCGAGCCTGAATAATAAATACTGAGGTAAGTCTAAAAAATATATAAAGGGAAGAAGGAGCATACGCGAGTGATGCATTCAGTCAGAATGCGATCAATCTCAGAAGTCGCGTTGGTTTTGCTCATGAGAACAGCTTGCGCGATGGTAATCTGCTCAGATGCCTTGATATATGCGCCAAATCTACCAACGTAAAATGTTTAGCTTCAAGTAAAACGTAAGCATGTATACATACCTGCCATCGCCCAGGGTATGGTGAAGCATCGGTTTTTTCTTCTGCTGGGCAGTACTTGGAGCCCCAACAATGTGAAGAACGGGGACCATCTCAGAGAAAGCTTACCACCTGCGTTAGAAGACAAACGGTGAGACTAGAAAATATATTTACCTCCGGCGACACCATTCATAGCACTTAATTCTCCAACTCCAAAGCTGATGAAGTTATTAATATAAGCCAATATAGCGACCTGAAAGACTCACGTTGTTGTGACTACACCTATACTGTTCTCCTTGACACGGGCATAGCCGTCTGCAGCATATGCCGCATTGAGTTCATTACTGACAAGCCAATGTCACAACGTGCATGCATGTAAATTGACATGAGACATACCAATTCCCGATCCAGTCAATTTTCGGGTGATCCTCGATGTAGTCCTATAGACAGATAGGAGTCTGTACTCCCAGTTTCCACCGTATTAGGAGACTGACTCACAAGAAAGGCTATCAACATATATCGTGTCAGTTCGCATAAGGACAAGCAAGTGCTAAAGTTCACTTACGCATATTGAAATCTCCAGGAACACCGAAGATGGACTGGTCGGCGTCGTGAGATAAACGAAGCACTGTGAATGGCGGATAACTCACCGTGACACCAAGCTGCTCTAATCTTGCCAACAAGTATTCCGCAATAGTAACTTGTTCGCCATCGTCACTTTGCTTGTCCACTTTTAAGCTCTGAAGTTCGTGGCGAAGCCTGTTAACTTCTGCTTGAAGGTTATTTGCAGCCGTGTCAGTCATAGTATCTGAGGTGCTTCAGGGGTTTTTTAATATGATGACAATGACAAGCGGATGACCTTACCTTTTATGCAGTTGGAGAGAACTGAGAGACACTGGGGTGAGTGGGGTCCATTATTTCACCCATTCGAGTATTTATCCAAGTATTGAATCTGTCTGGAGCAGGTTTTGACGCTAGGGATGACGATGACGTTGAGATGGCATTGAGAAACATCCCAACTAGGAAGCAACCTAGACGCGTCTGTGGCTGACAATGTATTCCCAGCACTTCCGAACTCCGGTATGCCTGCACATTAATGTTCATAGTTGTGGATATCAGTCACTTTGTCAACAATCAGAGTTCCCCGTGCCCAATCTTACAGGGAGCTCCGCTAATGTCAGACGGATTGAAACTGGATGAGACTGGACACTGACTGGGCCTATACACTGCCCAGATAAACGTATCTAACTTTGGACCGGTACCTCTATATACATGCCCTAGACGCGCCTCGACACACGATCACACTGTCTATGACCGACTTCTCTACCTCTAACTGGTATCTTCATTCCAATATCGTGCAGCCCATTCTTCACTCAGTACGCCCATGTTTATGGTGTCTTCCCAGTGCCCCTCGACCCAATTAGCTCGTCTTTTCCTCCCTTCTTCCACGAACCCTCTATCCCCATAGCTTGTGTTGAGTGCCAAGTCACAACATTAGCAAGGTGGGAGTTTGCTCACATTTTCTTATACATAGCCATCGCGCCCGCATTACCCTCATGTACAGATAATGAAACGCGGTTCAACCCTAACGCCTTGAATGCATAATCCACCATAAACCTCGACGCCTCCGTTCCATACCCCTTGTTCCAATACCGAGGCAACATCGAAATATCAAAGACTCCATCTCTGTTTTTCGGCTGGTTGACTTTGATGCTGCACTGTCCCATGAATACTCCATTATTTTTCTCTATGATCGAAAACCATATCGTCGAGTTTTCCGCCTGTTCCTTCAAGAACTCTTTGTACTTTGTAGGTCGTGGGACTATGGGCTCACTGACGAGATGACGCTGGACTCGAACATCATTTTTGGAGTGAAAACAAAATCTCAACGTCCGAGTCCTCAAAACCGCGCAGGATAAGACGATCTGTGGTGAACATCTTATGGTGGATTCAGCCTGTTCCCACTTCCCATGGTCTTTTATATTTTTGAATCGTGTATGCTCCGATTTACGTAAACCTTTTGAAGATTGTTTGGGGAGGCGATCAGAGACCGCAGTATGCCCTAGCCAGAGGTTTCTATCGCGGCGTATCAATACCGTCAGTCAAATAAGCCATCAATAGTAATAGCCTTCAGCAAGGATCAGGCAACGAGAATAGAAAAGAGAAAGGGAGAAGCTTCCAATGTTCTGTTGAATAATCTTCGTGAGGACTCGGACCTAAGCAAGAGACCTCTCTAGATCGCATCACTGCGCCTTCACCGATTTGTACCTACCCATTTGCGCCCCGAGTAGAAGATAACAAATAACATGCATGTTTCGAAAAAGAATGAGTGTCTGTCTTCGAATTTTGATATTTCGAGTGGGGTTAGTGAAGTTCCGCAGTGGCCCTTGCAGGTCCTCATGTGACAGGTCAAATACCTGTCATTTGTCAATGAACTCTAGCTTGTCTAAATGATGCATCGCGAGAGGTCAAAAGTTTGCAAAGCAAAAAATAATATGCCATGTTTTTAGAGAGTTGCATGCGTCATACCGTAGTGACATAAAAACAGCCATGGAGAATCATACGCCAGACACGCAGGAGTACGCCATGCAAGGAGGGATATCGAAGCTAGACATTTACTCCTCGTCTTCTTCTTCACCCTCCTCACCTTCGTCCTCATCGTCCTCCTCCTCCTTTGCAGCCTCTACGACAGCAGTAGCAATTCGGTCCAAATCCCGTTGACCGTCCTGGCTAATCCGTCGTCCACCGTTGTCAGTCTGCTCCAAGACACCGATTTTCTCCAACGATTGGCAGATCTTTCGCTGTACGGATGCAGATGCGTCAGCGTGGTGAGATGGGCGGTTGCCGCGTCTGTTACGGCCACCGTGAAGTTTTGTGAGTGCACCAATGCCGACGTCTTTGCGGAGGTAGATGTGTCTTGCGACAGCAGCTAGTATAATATAATATACTTAGATTAACAGAGTCAAAGAAAGAGATAAAGTTATGCACCTGCGCGGACATAGTACCAGTCGGGATCATAAGGAGCAAGCTCTTTGAATGAGCCAGTTTTGACGAGGTCGACCCAGGTTGGGACCTCTAGTTTGCCTGATCGTTTAAGATGGGAAGCGTAGGCGGTAATGAAAGCATCCGCGCTGCAAGAGCCTTCAATGAGCCTGTTTCCATTGACAAATGTGCAAAGTCAATGGCAAACCTGATGTCTCGTACTCCTGGCATGTTGTTGGAAAGGCGATTTACCTAGAAGAAAAATGGGCGCGGAACGTTGAGCGCGTCGGTGGCGGCGTGTACGAGTGAATAAGGTTCAGGATTGAGTTCAAGTTCAGCCGCACCTCTGTGCAGTTTACAAGATTAGTCAGCCTCTCCCATCTGCCAAAACCTTGGTGATAAAATAATTATAGTAAAATAATTAAATATGTCAGAATATGGTTTCTGGATAATTTACGGCCTGTATTCTTATCAACTACTATATGTGAATACCGTGCTTTCACTGAAAGAACCTGAGTGGCTCCTGAGTGCTGTTATCGCTCTCACATTTCGCGGTAACAAGCAAGCCGGGTTTAGCCGGTATTTAATGCCTGTGACCTAGGCTTATCTAATCTGCCTTTCCTCATGCTTTAGTAGGTTGGAGTCAAGCTTAACCTTGGGATTATTCAGTTCCTTAGCTTAGGTTTGCATCAAGGCCTATGTTTGCAGTGCCTCCAGTTACTCCCGCTAGCTTACTGGCTGCACTAGACGAGGGCATTCTAACGATGGCGACTGTGCCACCGACCATGAAGGCGAAGACAGACTCGCCAATTTCCAGACTACCAGCAGAACTTCTCATAGAAATATTCGCATTATGCAGTCTAGCTGCCTCCCCAGACCCATACATTCCTCTCACGATATCCAAAGTCTGTTCTTTCTGGAGAGAGGTGCTATGGATCTCACCTCGTGCGTGGCAGTTCATCAGGGTGCAGGATAGTGACCGTTCTATCGCATCCATAAGGTCTCAGATCGAACTGTGGATAGCCCGGTCTGCACCCTTGCCATTTGACCTCCACCTCGAACTAGCAGACACCACGCGGTTGCTACCCATCATCTCCTGCTTCTTCCCGCATCTCGATCGCTGGAGGAACTGCACAATCGCAACCGAAGGAAACAGGGTGCTCACCAGTTTCCCCAACCTCATCCATTCAGCACCCTGTCGTACACTTCACCGTCTAGACATAAACGTCCGAGGTTCCGACGACATCGATGACGACGAAATCCTCTTGTATTCCTGCGGGTCAACCGCCTTCCGTCACATCTCTATGAGAATCTTCGTTCCAAAGCTCCCACTCGCCCATACGATGAACCCCTTGCATTTCACTCATCTCAACATAGCAGAGCACTCTTTCGAGCACACCTTCGAGGAAAACCTTCGATCCAGCGAGCTGCTTGACTTTCTCGCTGCATGTCCCCAGTTGGAACATTTACATCTACAGGGAACTTCCTTTGACGAAGGCTCTTCTCCTTACCAACCCACTCCTCGCGTAGTCTCCCTTCCTCGATTGCAAAAACTTATGTTGCGATGCATGTGCACGCAGCGCAGCATTCTCTCGCATCTACACACTCCTGCTTTGCGCGAACTCCACCTCATCTCAATCAACATTGACCTCATGCTCAGCCCATATCACGCGACCGAGGAAGGTGATAGCGACGACGAAGCACACGATTTTTCGCAGTCTCCTTGGAGTGACCATCAGACGGGAATGGGTTTGCGCAAACTACTCACGCGCTCAAACCCCCCTCTCGAGGTGCTTGATATGGACCTTAGCGACATGAGAACTAAAGACTTCCGATGGGTATTCGACAAACTGGAAAATCTCAAGCATTTCTCTATCATCGGTTCAGACATGTCGAACAAGGTCATACAATTCTTCAAACCAATGTGCTTGTTGGAGGATGGCGACGGTGTTAACGTGCGAGTTCGCATGCCGCGGCTAAGAACGCTCAAATTGTATAGCTGTCAGCAATTCTCTGGAGAGGCTCTCGTTGACGCTCTCAGTAAACGCATCCTATTCACTGATAAGGCAACTCCGGGCTCCACACTGACAGAGGTGGTCATATCTGACTGCAGAGGTTTTACCCCTCGCCACGCTCAGGATCTTTCTTGGAGCCTCAGAAACCGTTTGCATTGGTCGTAATATGTACGCCCTCTTTCACACGCTTACTCTTTCCTTCACAAGCTGAACTAAAGTTACATATACTGAAGCAGATAACGCAGAATTACAAATTACAACATACTATGTACTATATTGCGTCAATGTCACACCATCTGGTTCTTTCTTTTCCTTTTTGGCAAGGCCCTGTTTTTATCTCTCGCCATCGCTTCTGGTCATCTTCCGAAGTACTTCTTGGAGGACATTTCCGAAACCACCTGACAATGCACAAGAAATGATAATATATATACACTCTTCATTTTATGGATTCCTGAAGTAGTGTATCGAGTCAGAGTATCGAGTTAGTATCTTTTTTGTCATTTGCTGTATGTTGCTCTGGGCTTACATTAGGGTGAAAGTGGTACAAAGTACAAGATTGGTAAATATCAATGTTGCCTCATATACAAACAAACTTCCAAGCATTTTGTGCGCTGGTCTACGACGGATACGTTTATTGGGTAGAAAACTGATGTAGATAGAACTGACTTAATAAATCACAAATTCAATCCAGAACCTAAGTTCATCTATTTGTTTGTTCTCTGACCAGACATTTCTAGCCCAAGAGGTGCAACGAAAATGCGTGGTGGTTGATCAAGTTTCAAAGGCGGGAAAAGTCAAGTGAAGTGATGAGTACAATTGCAAACCATTTACATGCGTGATAATAGTAGTCAGATTAGAAGCCAAACATGACCAGGTCAAATTCTTCCTTCCCAGCTTGAAGGTGCTACAGATTCGACGATGGAGGTACGGTACCAAATACTTCCTCCAAGAAGGCATCCGAGTTGGGGGGACGGCCCAAAAAGTCCTATGCAGACGCAACATATGCTTGAGCTTAAGGCTTATACAATGGCATATAACACGAAATCCTTACCTCCAATGACTCTGTATCGTCGCGACTGCCGCCCACAAGCAAAATCTTGTCACGATAGCGCTTTCCCCGCGCAGGGTCCAGCGGATCCTCTTTGAAAATTGTCGCGTACATGTCGGCAGCAAAGACAAGGGAGTATGTGTACCTTGAGCAAAGTCATTGAAAAAAAAAAGATACCAAAAGTGGCGTTGAAACGCGTACCCATAATATCCCGCATCATAGCCACCTACGATGTGCCCGAAGCTAGCCTGGCCAGGTCCCGGTTTACCACCTTTGACAAGGGACACCGACTCTCGCAAGTCATTCCAAAGCTTGGTGTAGTCCGTTGGCTCTGTTTCAAAATGTGTGGTCAGACACCTGGAACCACTCATGTGTGGCATAATTAATTACTTTGATCGACGTGTACTTTCATGTCAAACTTGGCGAAAAAGAGTTGGCGAAGGTAGAATAACCCGACATTCACGTAACGACTACATGAATTATGCCTCCGATCAATTTTTTGCAGTATTGACTAGTCGTATACTCATACCTTTTGATAATCTTGTCGATGAGTTCCGGGGATAAGGGTTCCTGCTTTTCATAGTGGCTGGACATCTTCGCGAGGACCTTAGGCTCCCAACACCTGGTAACAGGGAACACATCTTCAGATAACATCCACCAACATAACGTATGGCATCTAGGACTACCCACCAGTTTTCCAACATCTGCGAAGGAGCCTCAACGAAATCCCTCGCCACAGCTGTCCCATGGAAGCGCGCAAACTGGGTGCGACTCAACAGACCATGGAAGACATGGCCCATTTCATGGAAGAACGTCGTGACGTCGTCGTGCCGCATCAGTGCGGGCCGCTCGGGCGTTGGCTTAGCAAGGTTCGCGACCATCGCAGTCAGCGGGTAGTGGCGTGCGCCACCAGCCAAATTATAGCCAGGGAGAAGGCCCCAAACAGCGGCATGCGAGTATTTGGAGGCTAGGTGGGACATCAGCATCAGTCAGCTCCTCAATGATCGGATGTAGGTAATTAACCCACCGCGCGGGAACAAATCGAGATAGCAGTATCCAACAAAACCTGACTCGTCCTTTACATCGCTCTCCCAGACTGCAAATTTCTGTACCTCTGTTATAAAAGATCAATATCACATCGAATCGGTAACGATCATAGATGCGCACCAGGATGCCAGACATCGTTGTCCTTAATTTCTTGGAAACGTACACCGAGGAGGTTTTGATAGATATCAAGAATCGCGGGTACCACTACCGACACAGGGAAGTACTCCTTAACGAGAGAATCATCCAGATCCAGTGTACGTTCGATGTATAACCTGTCGTAGTACCTGTAAGACAGCAACGTGTGAGCTTCACCCTGTCGATTGACATATATCGATTACCTGTAGTCCCAGATATTGAGTTCTCCATCGAAAGGTAAACCACGCTTTTCATGATCTTCTTTCTTAAGGGCAATAAGAATATCGCGCTCCTTTAGACCGACAGGCCGTAACTTTGATTCGAGGTCATCTAGGAACTGAAAATACATAGATCGAGTAAACTTCGCCAACAAATATGAAAACGGAATATACTACAAACCTCTTCAGCACCTTTGGCCGATTTAACCATTTTCACTTCAGTGATATAGTCTGCCCAAGTTGGATATTGCATGATTGCAGCAATACGGCGACGGAGTTCTAGTGCGCGCTCAAGAAGTGGAACATTGATCTCAAGGCGAGCTTCGAACACTTCATGAGCCCGCTTTCTCGTCGAAGGGTTCTGGGCATATTTGAACTATATCCACGAAATACATCATATATTCAAAATGATATGCATATAAACGAAATTGACTTACAACAGGAAATATGTCCGGTGTCTTAAACGTGATATCGTAGACTTCTTGTGAGCCCTCAGTGCGTTTGGTAAAGCCAGAAATAACATCCGCTGGAACACCTTCCAGTTCCTCGAGCGTAAACGTCACATGACCCTATGTAAAGAGTCCATCCATATTTATTTCATGGCATTTCAAGTTAGTGATAGAAAGACGCACATTCTCTTCATTGAAGTTCTTTTGGAAATCTAAACAAACCTGAGAATGCTCTTTCTTTAGTTTCATCACCTCTTCTCGCTCTTCCTCCGAAAGGGCCAGACCTGCCCTCTTGCCTTCAAGCACCATCTTCTCAACAAGCCTTTGCTCTTCCTTGTTGAGCTTGTCATATTGACCAGATTCGCGCAAATTTTTCTCAGCAGAGACTTTGGCCTGGAAGACGTCCAATCGCATGGATGACTCGACACCGAAATCGCGTACAATAGACTCGGCCTCACTGGACGCATCACGAAGCTCTTTTTCTAATGAGACATTTTGATAGAATGCAAGGGGTTCGGTAATTATGTCAAAAATGGTCTCAGCATCAGCTAGTGCGACCTGATGGTAGGAATAGACAGCGATTGAGCTGATGGTGAGGATGGTGATGATGATACGTTACTTACAAACACCTATGATTAGTTGTATATGAATAATGAGTAAATACAATAGCAACTTATAAGATGAAGACAGATACGCACAGATTCAAAATTGCATCCTGAGGCAGGGAGCGCAGCAACCTTATCCAACACCTCTGTATACTTCGCAATTGCATCCTTCGTCAGACTGAGCACCTGTTCGGGCGTGTGTGACCAGCTTGGAGCTGCTTGTGGAGGAGTAATGGATGGCATATCGTTGTCAGGTATTGAAAAGCCTGATCTATAACGCAAAGAGGTAGAGAATAGAGCTTTGGATGAGGCGCTTGAGCTTGAGTTTGCAACTGGTGGCCTTGTGCGAAGAGCTGTGGACAATAAACGAGCTTGGTTGTGGGGTTTGGATGGGGAATTGATGAGAGATGGGTTTCTCTTTCGAAGCTGATCTCGAGCGATTATGCTCGGCCTGCTTCCACCTGAGAGCGTGACCTCCCCGATATAGTATCCAGCTGAAGTCGAGACATGTGCTTTCGAGCTCGAACTACAGCCTGGAGACCGCTGAGACGCAAACTTGGAGAGCTGACGACGCTGTATAGATGTTAGAGACCTAAATGGCAGTGAAGAGCGGACACAGGGCGCCATGCAGTTCAGTTTTTTCAGCAGCTCGGGTGAGTGTTTAAAAACACACGACCACTTAAACAACACATATATAGTGTTTCAAGTACCCGTACCAAGAACTATTAAGCGCTCAAGGCGATCCAGAAATATGTCATTATAATATATAGATTTTCTCTTCTCAAACAGGACACTATATACCAGAGCTATCTTATATACAGCAATAGGTATCACAATCCGAAATCAATTACAACGGCGTGTCTTGCCCATCCAAGCATGACGAGGAACACGACCGTCAAAGCAGCTCAAATAGCTGTACAGGGTATGGTATAGGTTTTAGATGATAAATAAGCACTTCTGCAATAGATGGATTACATCGGATTCTTTACTCTTGATTTTCAGCTTCTCGTCGTCTTCGCATTTCTTCAAAATGGGCCATGTGAGCGCTACAGCGGGAAGTAGGGATCAGTATACACGACAGGATACCAGCATGATTAGGCTTACAGGACTTCGTCGTCAATTTCTGTATGGTCTTTTACACGCATGTAGATCATCGGTAATGCAAAGACCAAGCCAGCGGCAACAAGCACCCATGTAGAAATAAAAATATTCATATATCTGCAAAGTAACACAGTTTAATAAATTAGGAGCGGTCAAAAGAAGTATTCATGGGAACTAACGGAAGTCCAACCGCATCCTCCCGCCAAACGCCCGCTGCGCCAGCGGATTGAATTGACTTATCTAAATTGCCGCATTGCATCAGTGACTATTATAAATATTTGAAAGGTGGAAGCCTTACAAAATCCGGCAAACACTGCAAGTTTACCAGGATCATTCGACATTGCTCCCATAAGCCAGTACGCAGTTGTCTGCCACATAGCATCGAGCAGACCGTAAAATATCATAAGCCAAACGTGGGCAGGATACTGGCTATCGTAGATATCCATTTTGTAGCCGCCACCGGGTGGTTCTGACTGTCGGGTATAGGTTCTGAAGCGGGCGTCAGCGGCACAATCAGGAGGACGATGTGAAGCATCAACGTACTTCTGATAAAAATATGCCCATATATGCACAGCGAAAACCATGACCATCAAGATGATCCAGCCCGCAAATGCACGAGCCCTACGGCGCCATTGTTCTTGATCAAGAACGAAACCAATCATCAAGGAGCCGAAGATTTGAGATGACCAGTAAACAAAATTATTCAAAGCTCGAGCACGAATGTTGAAGAGGGCAAGATTATAACCATTGAATTCTGTAAAAATAATAATAATAATCAGTATCTCCGCGCAAGTGGAAATGTCAATAATTTGACTAACGCCAAGTATAAAAGTAATTGCTAGTGAAGAACATGGGGAAAAGTAGAAGGATCAAGGGATCAGTTCTGAGCGCCACCCAGAGGATATATATCTCTGTCTTCCAAGACGGATGTCGAATTGTTACGACCCTTGTCCCATCGGTGCGAATCATTTTGTTCGGATCAGCCATAAGCAAAGGAATCGTAACTCCAATGAGTGTAAGAATCAGGAACCCAATCTAAACATATGTGCTCTTAGTGCCATGTTAAATTTCTAACGCTCGACGTACATATGTACCGTTCCCAACTAAAATTTTTTTGTGGAAAGCGTGAGCTGAGTATTATCGAGGTGATCTATGATAATTTCTTACCTTTATCAGCTGTCGAGTGGAAATTTTGGCCAAAAGATACCGCAGATCCGACCACGCCCCCCAGGTTAAAAATCGCCCAAAAGATGCCAATAAATTTGCCCTTCTGGTCCTCAGTTGGGTAGGCCAACATAAGGGAGCCTTGAGCTGTCCATAACAGGGACGCACAGACACCAAGGACAGCGCCTGATGCTACTACAAAAGCGCCAGCACCAGGATGGATGTTGACGGCCCTAATTTGACGTCAGTGTCACTTGAACGACAACAAAAAAAGATGAAGAACGCACAAAAATGCACCAATATATAATGAATAACCCCAGGAGCCCAACATCAAGGTACGCCGAGACCCGATGACATTATTGATAGAACTGTAGTGTACTGATGATGAATTGATCACGTGGATGAGGTCTAATTAATGGATAATACACACCCAGCAAAAAAGGAGAAAAAGGCGAGAGTGGAGTAGAGAGTCGCGTTAGCGTTTGAAGCGCTTCTAGCATCGAGTTGGCCGCCGCCGCCGAGGCCAGTGAGCGCATTGAACATGCCTGGACACATGAAGCAGACAAAACCCAACAAGCAGACCTGAGTTACGGGATGGTAGTATACGCCTTTGAGGCCCTTTGGACGCTCGAATAACTCCACTCTATGCGACTCCTCGCTGGTACCACTCCCAAAAGTTTTTTCCTGGCGTGCGATGTCGTGGTCGATGTCGTGGTCGATGTCGTGCCCGTTGTCATGGTCGTAATCTGCCATGGCTGGAGAGCGTAGGGCTGGCAGAATACTACAGGCACAGTATAAGGGGAAGAAGAAACCGCTCAAGAACCACTGTTCCGAAACTGATATACGAATCGTACAGACCCCGCGGCCGTTCCGAGTTCCTGTGTCAATTGGTGGGGAACTCGGCCTTTTGCACCAAAGAGCATTTTGGCCGTAAAAAAGGCTATGGCACGTGCGGAGCGCCGTGCATGATTATGTAAGCTGCTCTCAAGAATGTTCATTTCCCTTTCCAGTAGCGCCCTTACGTTCCTGTCAGCTTCCTCATATATGCGCAAAGGCAGGGCTCAAGTATATGCTGGGTGGCAGCTGTAGTTAGGGACTTGTCCTCAGGGGTGTCTGTGCGACAACTAGAGTCGCACACAGGTCATCTCTGACATATCTTTGCGTTTTCGACAAACCGAGCGGTGTTCGGGTCTTTGTTGTTGCAAAGAACCGTACGGCAGTGACGGTATCAATGCATATTGATGGCTGAGGACCTGAATGCTTTCAGTCATTGCATTTCTGCACCGGTAAATAAGTGCTTTTGCTAATAGGGCACTGACACATGTACACCGGTATGTGCATACGTGGCATTCCTTTCAGAGGCACTCATTTGATTTGGACTCGTGTACTTGTTGCAGTATACACTCACATCTGGACACTGTCTGGACAGCTTTGGTCACCTGCCTCGACTCGAACCCACCACGGTACGTAAATGCTCTTATCACGTTGATTTCTTGTCTCTAGGGTGTACGTAGAGCCTGAGATACGATAGAAGTGGACATTATCCTTGGAATACTGCGTTTCATCATCATGAGTCGTCCTCCTGGTGAGGGTGGAGCAAGCGAATCGCGTAGCCTCTGGAGAAGTATCCGTGTCATCTTCTAACTCCTCAGCTGGATGCTTTGTGATGTTCTATAGGATAGTGAGTACATGCGTTTGCACCCTTTTCGAACTCACTGGACAGATTAATGATATCAGCGTGACAAATTCCGTTTTCTGAACAAAGGTCAGGCCCGTTCTTTCGGTTCCGTTGCAACATCCGCTCTAAATAAAAAATCACATGTCGCATCATACTGAATGTGTATCTTACTGACCCTATCGGTCCCCACCGAACAACACGGAAAGATCCTACAACAGATGACGGACAATAGCATGCATATAAGTAGGACATCTTCTTATTTATCCACCTTCTTACTCTCTGGTTTCTAGATTCTGTCAACTAAATGAAGGAACCATCCTTTTGGGGTAGAAAACTCACATGCATGTGTTTGCTTGTCTGCCAGCATCCAAGTAAACTAGCGTCGCCGTCGACCGGAATCCCTTTCTTATCTGATGCTTTCCGAATCCGGACTCGAGGCTCCGCTATTCCCGATCGCAAGCAAGTAAATACCTGTGATGGGCTGTGGTCAAGGGGAAGCACAGTCATCCTTATTCCCTTTAATCGCCATAGCCTAGGCTCAATATGCTCGTAGCTGGGTCTCAACCCAGATTTTTTGGGCACTACCTTCTCCTCGTACCAAAGACCAGCTAGAACGGGACCAATGCTCACCGCTGACGCGCTGACGTATATAGTCATGCGAAGAAGAAATGGAGCATCACCTCTCCCATCAACTCGCTTGTCGAGGTGAGTCCCAGAAATTGCGGCGGCAGTATATTCGTGGAACTCTTCATTAGTATGCAAGTACATCCGTGCCGACGCTCCATGCAAAACGTGAGCGTGACTCGGAGTTTTGTGGCTCATCGGCAGGTCTGCAGTCGTAGGAGGCTTCAAGAACAACTTGCCAGGTTGCTTTGCGTGCGTGATTGGAGATCTTGTCCTATGCAGTATCATCCCCTGGCACGCCGTTCTAGGAAAGTAAGTGGAGGCGCGAACAACAACCTACCGACTTCATCGCTGCAATGCATTATCTTCCACAAGGCTGTCATAACGAATTGAAGAGTCCCTGAGCAATGGATCCAGAGTCAACTTGGAACTTGATTGTCATATAAATTATAGCCAAGATGAACCAACGACCTATCTAAGCTGCAGAATATACGAGTAAGGCAATGGATGGAGTAAGTACTCTACAATGAGTGCTTGGAGTCTGAGCCAAGAATGTCTGGTGATTCTCCTTCGCCTGGAACGGTCCGAGTCTCGCTTGGGCGCATTTGACCCAGCTGAGATTCTGAGGTAGAATCCTGGAGTGGGGATGGGGGAGAAACATCAGTCACTTCCGTGCCATCGTGCTCTGACAATTGAGGCGGGCGAATGAAAGCCTGTTCGCTTGCAGTGGGTAAATTAGCGGCTTCGTCGAACGCCGCAATTCCAGCAGTGGATGCACTTGATGAATCATTATTGCTGGTGAAAGCATTTCCTTCACCCTGCATGGTAGCAACTTTGTCCTCTGGGTCCAAGTCGACTTCAGGAAGTTCTGCCACATCCGCCGAGTTAGACTTTTCGATGATATCCTCCGATACTATGCCTGCATCTTGCGAAGCACTTTGGGATACACCTTCCACACACTCATCCTGCAAAGGTTCATTTCCGCCAGTCAACTCGGTCATGAACTCAAACGAATCTGGTTGTCCCCATATGATCTTTGGCATCCCCGCTTCAGCACTCTGAGCGAGCAGCGTATCTCTCCGACCTGCTTTTGATAGCGAGCGAAGCTGTTTGATGTTGAACTTGGCTGACCTGAAGAAGGTAGGGTCGAATGTTGATGTCGGTTTCTCAGCGTCTGTATTTGTATTTATTTCATCTTCAACTCCATCTGGTCTGTTGAAAACCATGTTGTTCCACACTTCTTCCATCTGGGTGAGCGAAACGCCTCTTGGAAGGTTCCATGCACGGAACTTGCGCTCTTGGGCAGATGCAAAATTGGACCGGATGTCTTCCATGCTTAAGGACGATTGAGAAATTGTCCAGTGAACTAGCCCTGTCGGATGGCATTAGTCGAAAAGCATCCACACGAAAGAGCAGAAGGAAACAAACATGAGCTATCAATGGAAGCTACCGCTTGAGCATTTCTGACAGGCTTGTCATCGACATAGCTCGAAGATGTGACATCAAGTTGCACAATGGGACAGGGTTCCTCAGAGTGCCACTCCGAAGGCTCGACGAACACATTCATGACATGGCTACCTTCTTTGGTTTCAAAGGTGCATTTCAGAGACTGCAAACGAATAAATAATCAGAGCTGGTCACACGCTAGGAACTTTTGGTGAATTAACCTGCTCAGGGAAAGTGGAGATAATTTCATCTGCGACATGTTCGAGCAGACGAATGCATCTCTCAAATACTCGATCTCCACGCCCGGGGCCCCCAAAGAGCCGGGAATCCATCTCATCCAGAGGAACGTACTGGAAGCCAAAAAGTCGTGCCGTGTTGTGGTATGCAACCAGTACTCCATCCATATTTCCAATACGCGCTTGGAAGCTTATCGAAAAGTGTCAAAAGAAGAGGATGACACAAGCTAGAAAATGACATACCTATATTTCAAGAAAGCAGAACGGATTAAATCATAATATTCTTTCTCGAAGCTTTCCATTGATCCTTGGAGGGTGCGTATCAAGTAACCTGAATTTTCCTGCAAAAAAAAGCAAATATCAGGACCAGTATTATAGAAACGACAATTACCACTTACCTCGTAGTTGAATAAATCCAAACGGAGGGGCAATGCAGCACGAGTCTTAAGATCGAAAACTCCCGTTCCAGGTAGCCGTCCATCGACGCAATCTAGTTGTGAACGTAATACAAACCGATCGGACTGATTATATTTGTTTGTTAACAACTTTATGAGTCGAAGAAGCTGAAAATACCTTAGCATAGCGATATGCCTCCCTGCGTGGATCAATGTCTTCCTGAGGGATTTCAGGAGAAGAACGAAGGTAGCGAACGAATTCTTCTCGAGGTTCTGTTAAAAACTTCTCGAGCATCGTTCCCTGTCGTAAAATAAATAAATGTTAGTTGACAGGAGTTTAACTTGTAAGGAAAGACTAACCATCCAAGTCAGGATATTCTTCTCGGAAGTGTCTGATGAATCCGAGTCAATAGCGTAGACACCATCCTTGTAATTAAGAATCACGGACGAAGGCATGCGCTGGCCTGGGGTAAAGTTTGTTGGCTGGAAAGTAAATATCACGATATGTCAAAAGATAGTATGTCTGAGGGGCTGACCTCGCGTTGAAAGCTTTTACTTAGACAGCTAGTGTCAACGTCTCTGTCCCCAGAAATCAGGAAGTAGACATGACCAAGCATTCCAGTCATTGAAGAAGTAGAACCTCCAAATTTGCGGTTTTCCTGTTTTGCTAGAGCCCATAGATCCTATATTACTGACAAGTCAGTATGTCCCGGCAAGGCAGAAGTCGTGTATGTTGACCTGATCTCGAGAGCTCCTAATGAATCCCGTTATTCGCTCAAAAGCGAAATCCTTTACGTTCGGTATTGATTCCAACCAAGGCGTGAAATTATACACTTTCGACCGTGGATCCTGAAGCCAGTGCACACCTGGACTAGAATGACATAAAACGCAAAAAACAACAAGTTGTGAAGGGACATACTTGAACAATACACGATCCAATCCATGAGCAAGTCTCGCAATCGGTTTTTGCTCAGAAGGTGATGGAAGGTCTATGACATAGATGGAGTAAACATATGTAAACCTCAGCTTCAAAAAACGAGAAAACCTTCAAGGGGACCTCCTTCCCTTGGCTCTAAAACTCCCTCGATACGTCGAATATAGGGCAGCGGATGCCGCATATGCGGCGGTGGACGTCTCATGTTGTCTGGGGAGGCATCATCCTCCGAAGGACTTGGCGGCTTTAATTCTTTCAGTGGTCACTTCAGCAGCTAATTTTTCTAGTCAAATAGGTATACACGCGAGTTACTCACTATCCTCACCCCAGTCGTCCTTCCATCCCTCCGACTGCAAGCTCCCCGAAGCAGCAAGGCTAGTCAACATCTCCCTCAAAGCTTCTGGGAGCTCGGCTACTCTCTCCCTCTCTACCTTTCTTTTCTGCTTCTTTTTCTTTGATTTCGCCGTTGCTGTAGCATCAGCGATAATGCTTTGATGTAGAGTTTGGAGCACGTTATTATGGCTGGACTCGGTACGCTTGATGGAACCTTTTACAGTAGAAAGTACATTGTGTTTGACAGGAGAACCGAGTTCTTTACGAAGTAAACGTAGTTTCTGTGTGAACGTTGAGTTTTTTTTGCGAGTTTTTCCTTCGTATTTGGGCGCTGGAGTCTCTTGTCCTACGGACAGCGCACTTGAACTTTGGGATTCACTGCTGAAATGTCGCGACAAAGCTACGCGATGTATCCTCGCGATGGAATAGACGAATTCCGCTGAAACATGGGCCCTTGTGGTGACATTGAGCAAGCCGTTCATGCGAAGCCAGATAAACCAAAAGTGTAGAAGGAAACCTCGCAAAGTTGCAAGATTCGGACCAAAGAGCACGAAACTTTTTGCGCGTGAAAGAAACGCGTTACGTAACCTACTTAAAAGGGAAGTGTTTAATCGGCTTCAACACGCAGCACTGCAGTCACGGTATTACCAGCACCATATACCATTCTCACTATGGTAGGATTTTTCTCTTCAGTGTTTATGTGGTTCAGCAGGTGTGGTTCATGAATATCTGGTCTATACCTTTTGTTTCAACGACATCTTTACAGTATATTCTTTTCCAAAGCTGCAGAGATATCTGTAGTAGGCTTGCAGGTAAGAACCGAATGAAAGTTCTCATGTCTAGAATCTCATGGATATCACTCAGGCATCAGGGAAGACGTCTTTTGTCAATGTCATTGGTTCCGGGCAGGTAATATCACTTGTAAAGCTTATGCGATTAGCCAGCTTACGCTAGTCCGTCATAGTGGAGCGAAGACGTAGTACCCACAGTCGCGTTCAATTATCGCAAAGTGAGAAAAGGTAGTGTATACTAGTTGAGATAACGCCTCGTAATACTAGCTCACTGTCTATCGTCCATTCAGGCAACGTTACACTCAAGATCTGGGATGTCGCAGGTGACGTCTTCCTGACAAATGTTCTGTCCGAGGTCTAACATCCGGCACAGGGCAACCTAAGTTCCGTTCCATGTGGGAAAGATACTGTAATGGCGTAGATGCTGTTGTGTAAGCTCTCTTCTATCTGTGGGATGCATACATGATGAATCCGAGTAGGTTTGTGGTAGATTCAGCTGATGTAGGTGCAACGACTCCCAACCCTGTTTCGAACTGATATGCAATTTCTATATACACAGAAGGAGAAATTTGACACTGCTCAATTCGAATTACATCAGCTACTAGGGCAGCAGACCTTGACCGGTGTCCCTCTTCTTGTTGTATGTTGTCTCGTGTGCCTATTATGTGGTAGACTAACTGGGTAAAAAGCTAGGGAACAAGAACGATGTAGATGGTCATGCCCCTGTGAAAGACTTAATAAGCGTGCTGTAAGCTAATATTGACATGAAATACTCCATATAACACTAACGCCAAAGGCAGACAACTAGACAAAATACAAGGACGAGCTGTGTCTGTGAGTGCTCATCACTATTTTCAGCAACTGTGATGTTGATCCAGTCATTTGTATAGTGCTATTCAGTAGGTTTGGATCCGCTATCTTCTTGAAATATGTCCTAACTCTTCCACAGTGTTCTATGAAAAGCCAAAACAACTTGTGAGTCTTTGTACTTAAAAGCCATTGACTTCAATTGCTAAAAACATCTGCAGAGATATCGTTCTGCGTTGGTTAGCAGAGCGAAGCCATTAATCGGAGCACCCCATACACTCCTCACTATCTTCACATTGCATCTATTACCTCCTATATCTGGATTTCTGTAACTTGCACCACATACGTGTGGGTAAATGGAAATATCCTCTTCGCACAACCGCGGATTGTTTAACGACAAGTTACATTACTTTCAGCCGAAGTGTATCTAGTGCTAATATGCCAGCGATCCTTAATCCGTGTCCATATCACCTCCAGAACTGTCTCTTTGAGACTGGTGCTGTATGGCTCTTAAGAATGCCTCCACACTCGTCCCCGCCTCCTCGGGCAACCCGAGGCTTCTCACCATACCACCCAACAGGCCTGTCCGCAATGCCTGATCAAGGTTTCGAACGGCCGCTCGGAATTGCGGCGTATTGATGACACGCTGTAATACTTCTGGCGACGGGGGCGTGGGCATGTCAGGAGGAAGATGCGGGAAGAGCGCAGGTATAAGTTCCGGGTGCGAAACAAACAATGGGTTGATGTTTCCAGGAGTAAGAATATCAGACAAGGAGAGATCTAATCAAGCGGAAGAACGGACGGAATGTCAATCGGATATGATACCACTGCGAAACTAAATACCTGATGACGGAGCTCCCCCAGAGCCCCCTCCCATAGATGCAACTAGTGACTGTATTTGTGCTAGCTGTTCAGGGGTAGCTATCCCTGCCGATGGACCTCCAGCTGCCTGAGACCTAATACAGCTTTGGAATGCCGATCTGGAAGAATGTGTAGATTAATGACTCACGTGGACGGCTGGGAGGTCGATGTGGAAGCCTGGGGCTGAGAAGCATCCCAGATGGGAATATACTCTGGGTTCTCTAGTAGGTGGTTGAGGTTGTTCACAAACTCATTATCTCTTTGAGAGGATGCATCCTGACAGTAAATTGATAGTAAGTATAATGAGCAGAAATTTACTCGAAGTGATAAATACCTGCATCCAGAACTAAAAATACTGTCAGGTATAGATATCATCTTCAAAGACCAAAAAAACTCACGAAATGTCTTTGATTCGAGGACGAGAACTTTAATACATATGTTCTACCCCACGCAGACTGAGATACTTTCTCAAAAGTGGCGTCCGAGGGAATCAAGATCAAGTCCTATAGCATACACAATTATAACCTTACCTAAGGGGAACTTTAGCAGAACTTTACTACGTACCTCTTCGATTTCATTCGTAGCCCTGTTCTTCCATTGGAAACGCAGGAGCGAATCTTCAACATGCAAGACAATGGCTCCCTTTGTGGGACTGGGGTCAACAAAATTGGTCCCATCCCTCCTAAATGCTCGGCCAGCCTTGAAAGCGAGTATAGGCATGGAGTGGTATAGGTTTGCAGCGCGACGCGTCAATGGCCTCTGCGAGTGGTGGCACCGAGTCGGAGTTTCAAACTTCTTGAGCGCGGTCACTACATACTAGATTCAACAGTTCAAGGCGAAGTACCTTTGACCTTTGTGCCAAAGGGCAAACGCGCTGAAATGTCATTTAACGGATATGAGGATCCACCAGCTTGGGGAGAACCAGAACCTTCGACAGGAGATATCGTGAAGGATGCCATCAGGAAAGAACAGGTTTTGAAGTGCGTTCATTATATGCAGTGCTACTATTAGGAAGAGAGCTGAACATCTTTTAGAGAGATTGCAGCTGCACAAGGGGACCTCCAGTGTTTGTTTTGTTTCGACATTGGCCTTGAAATCTATTTGACAGTTTTATCTAGCTCTGGTCACTCGTGTGCAAACGGTGCAGGGAGATGTGGATAAATTGACATCAGAGAATGGAACATTGCAAATGTACATTGATAACTTGACGATGCAAATGGCCAAGAGAAGATGAAATTTATACTGGAGACCTCGCCTACAGACCTGTCTGCCAGATACCAATAATCCAGTACCGGCGAACGCGAGACAACTCCCCGAAAGCAAGTAATCTGGTAACGTTTTCTAGTGACAGTCGTGATCTACTACGCGGTCTTATCATTTTCGTGAAATACGCTGCTTTTATAGCTTTTCTGTGACACTTTAATGGGTACAAGCTGAACTTACAGAATCACAACTGCCAATTGTTTGTGCGTAGTCTTTGAGATCTTTCCATAACTCAACCTGGATAATCCCATTGTAATACGCACAAGAACAGAGAAGCGTCAAAAGATTCTGATGACCGCTCCGACAGAAGGTTGCCAGACATCGTAAGGCATATGAACTATGCGTGGAAGAGAACCGGTGAGATGAAAGACATGACCAGCATACACCACAAATCGTGGATGAGCGACCGATTGTAAAGGTATGGAGATATGACATGGGTTGTGCTGGGAACAGGTTTGTCGCGCTTACTGTCAATGGACTACCTGTATGAATCTGGAATCCGACACCTAGCAGCCAGATTCTATAGTAAAGTTAATGTAGCTGCATTGTACTTGTACAATCCTGGATTGCAATTTCATGGTGAGAAACTGAGTACTGAGACGTCGCATGTAAATATATACTCAATTGTCTCTAGAACTACGGCGTACCAGCCAATAGTCGATTTGAATTTTACTGGGAAGTTAAGGGATATCGATTAGTCACAGGGTGATTGCCGAATGAGGAAAATATGATCACGGCAAGATAAAAGGAACTATGTGCTACTAAAAGTTTTCTTCAATGTTTGTGGCAACTTTTGAACTCTAGAATCCTAGCCAACGCAAGCCTTTGGTGCTGGAACGCAACATTGTCAGCGTATTCTGGGGATTCAAGCATTACTTGAGACGGGTAGTGACGTGAGTCTTTTGATAATGCTTCTTGAGAATCTGTTCTGATTCACCAATAACATATTATTTATATAGATATTATTCTGTTGATTCTTTAAGGACGCATATAATGAAGTCGCCACTAATAGAGTCTAGTGAAACACTTGTGCCTCTTGACCTGGCTAACAATCCATATGTTCCACCTACCTCCACCTGTCCAATTAATCAGCTTCCCAACGAGTTGTTGTCACATATCTTCATCACAGGCACATTCTGTGACTCTGATGACCACGACGATCAGCTCGAACTGGACGAGGATGACTTCGAGGTACAGGTACAGGGAGATGAAGATGAAGTATTCACAGGAAAGCTATGGAAAGACTATAGCCGTGACGCTTGTCGCAAGAAAAGATCAAACGATCGTTCATCCCCCTCCTCAGCTTCAACAGACTCCGATTCCGACTATGGCCCTACCCTACCTTTCCAGGTGTTGGTCTCACATATTTGCACTCACTGGCGTTCTGTCGCCCTTGCAACACCCTCTCTCTGGTCTTCTATCTGCGTGCTCGATGACCAACCACCGTTCGAGCGTTTACAGACATGGCTGGAACGCAGTCAAAACATTCCCCTCAAAATCGAAATAGACTCTCCGCTTGATCCTAAAGATTTAGAAAATGATGAAATAATGAAACATGGGGATGAAGACGAAGAGGTCATGACCGTAGAAGACTTTACCTCGCTTATCAAAATTCTTTACCCAGCTATCCATCGTTGGGCTACGTTTGAAATCACTGCGTCCTCGTACTCTCATTTATATTCCCTCCTGGAAATCATCTCCGATCCGTCTACACCGTGCGCTAACCAGCTAACCACCCTGCAACTTCAACATTGGCAGGAGCAAGATGATTTCGATCATTTCAAACCTCGGATATTAAACACTAGCTTTACTATCTTACCCGGAGGTGCGCCAAAAATGAAGGATCTGTCTTTGTGGGGTGTACACGTCAAGTGGGACGATCCACTGGTGGGACTCTGGCGAGGTGGTGGGCTAGTCGCTCTAGAGTTGGCTTACCATGCGGCAGATGTGCGTCCGTCATGGGCCACATTTGTAGCCATGCTGAAGGGATCGCCAAACCTCGAAACTCTCACTTTATCTCAGTCTGGACCCGCTGGTGCGCCTACAGACTGGCATAGCGAGAGACCTGGCGACGGACTGAGTGATATATTGGAACTTCCCATAAAAACTCTCGTTCTGTCTTGGCTCAAACCTGAATATGTTGGCCCTCTCATGCGCCGGATTGCTCTTCCACAATTGACATCACTCACTCTCGAGTTCGACGATGCTGACTATACGGAGTTTGTCAGGCAGCTCACTGGCCCTGCTACTGGCGTATCTAACCAAAACGTGCTCGGGAACCAAGCACCCATTCAGAGTCTGCTGATGCGTCTCGAAGACTTCAAAATCGCTAGTCTGCCATGCGATCTTCAATGTATTGACCTGATATATTCTCAACTTGTGGACCTCAAACATCTCAGTCTGGCATGTAATTTCGTGGACGAATTATTCTTCAAGAAGTTGACCAACCCCATATCCGGTGCTTCCAATGCTCCCGTGGCCATTACCCCAGACTTGACCGCAGTAGCAACAGAACCATTGTTTTATCTACCACAATTGATATCGTTGAGAACATCAGGCATATCGGGTCCAGTTATGCGCGATGCAGTTTTGGCGAGGAAAGCCGCTGGCATTCCGTTGCGTGCAGTGTACATGGACGAGGAAGATGAAGTGACTGATACTCAGGCACAGTGGTTCCGCAGGAATCTGGAGACGTTCGAACGGTTTGAAGCGAGTGATGAGGAAGACGATGATGATATATTTGATGAGGATAGTGACGATGGTATGCAAGAGGACGATCCGGACGATTCAATGGTTCAGTGTAGGTGTCGTATTTGTCTGATGCTTCAATTGCCTGACAGATCTTTATACCAGAAACTAACCTAAAATAACCTAAAACGGGAAAAAAGAAAGACAGCAGATAAGGCATAATGTTTGTTTCAATATTGCGCGAATCTGGTTTCATTCATGGGCGAATCAGCAGAGAAGAAAGAAAGGGAATGTAGACTTGAGTGGTGGTAATGGACGCAGTAGAAATTGGGTTCGCGGGTTGGTTTGTGGTTAGACTGAATCTAGGGTGATAGAGGTTGAGCTGGGTCAGAAGATTTACGATTATATGTGTTGAATTTGTGTAGAATCAAGTAGAGCTGTTGGAATGAAAGTCGATTTACAATCTTGTCTAAAGTTCATCCAGCTCGTTAGGTATTCTCTAGGCACATGAGTCTGTAAGATGAAGGTAGTTACCCAAATAGGAAAACTCTATGGACTGAGCTGATGAATCACATGCCGCCTTGCCCGGGTCAGACACGACACCGACTTCATGCACAGGCTTTCACTCAAGCTACTATATCAGTCAGCAAGCTCAAAGGCTCTGCACTTTCCAAGGACGTTATCTTTTACAAGCAAACGTATAAGCCAGCCCTGTCTTGGGCGTAATCATCCATACTTCAAAGTTTACCCTTTCGGCACTCATCAAGTCACTGCGTTTTCGAGCTGTGCGCCTGTTAGAATGATATCAACACCATTGACGGAGATATGTGGGGTTCGAGTGTGAGTCGAGTCGCCTTCGTCTTCCGGAGCATGCTGATTTATGTTCGCTCTGTTCAGGCCGGTCGTGCAAGGTGGAATGCAGTGGTATGTTGGATTCCGTACTCAATCACTACCTTGAAGGTGAAAATTTAACTATTTCATGAGCACAGGGTTGGCAAGCCTGAGCTAGTAGCAGCTGTATCAAATGCTGGTGGACTAGGTTCGTCACCTTTCTTATTTCTCTCTCTTGTATCTGCCTGCTCAGGCTACACCAGGCATTATTACTGCTCTCACCCAACCAAATCCCGATGCACTCCGTGTTGCTATTCGCGAAACGCGCAAGTCAACGGATAAGCCGTTTGGCGTTAACATCACCCTGTTACCGAGCATCAATCCCCCGGATTACGAAGGATATGCTCGGGCTGCTGTGGAAGAGGGTGTTAAGATTTTCGAGACGGCTGGCAACAGTCGTAAGTCGAATGTTGCGCCCCAAGAAGCGTGCTAAAACTAATTAACCTCTGTGCCTTATACAGCTGGAAAGCTAATCAAATATTTCAAGTCAGAAGGATGTATTGTTATACATAAGTGTACCACTATTCGGCACGCAAAGGTATGATGTTTGCTGGTTCTGTGGTAACACACTTAGAAGCTGGTGTTGTCTTGTTAGTCTGCAGAGCGACTAGGCGTGGATATACTTAGCATCGACGGATTTGAATGTTTGTTGTTTCTCTTTGCTCGAGCTGTATAAATTCTAACAGCTTGTCTGTAACAGGTGCTGGACATCCAGGTGAAGATGATATAGGCGGTGTTGTTCTGGTAAGTTCTGCACCATGCGCTCACTGCATCTCGATTGATGTTATGTGTACTTCAGCTGGCAAGAGCAGCACAAGAACTCAAAATACCATATATCGCTTCTGGAGGTTTTGCAGATGGCCGAGGATTGGTTTCTGCACTCGCGTTAGGGGCTGCTGTGAGTTACATCAATTGTTCAGTAATCTCAATCTTCTTACCTGCGATGCCGCGAAGGGTGTGAATATGGGTAGGTAATATGCTTGCTATTTATGAGTATGACTATAATGCTGTACTTTACTTTTAGGAACGCGCTTCATGTGCACAGTTGAGAGGTATGTATCTCTAGACGCCTTTTGCATGCTGACTTTAACGTCACTTCAGCCCAATACACCAGAACATCAAAGAGAAGATAGTGGCGTCGACTGAACAAGACACCGTACATATATTCCGTACGCTTCGAAACACGGCTCGTGTATTCAAGAATAGCGTCTCTGAGCAAGTAGTTGCACTCGAACGCAGGCCTGGTGGTGCAAAGTTCGAGGATCTGCGTGAGCTTGTGTCAGGCGCGCGTGGAAGGGTGGTGTACGAGAACGGTGACCCTGAGTATGGGATCTGGAGTGCGGGTATTTCTGTCGGTTTGATCAGGGATATACCTTCGTGTCAAGAGCTCGTGGCGAGGATTGAAAAAGAGGCGGAGGAGGTGATTGCTGGGATGAGCCGGTCTGTGAAGGTGTCCTCGAAACTCTAATTAGGCTGGGTGTGGGCAAGGATAAATGTCTGAAAGAACAGTAGTCTGGATACTCTATTGTACTATGTACTTGAATGTTATTTTACTGGATCTAAGCGAAAGAGCCGTCGCGTCTGGTGGCGGTGTGAGGGTAATGAGCACGTGACCGCGTCTCTGCCTCGTGTTCGAAAATCCAACGACGACAAAGAAATCCGTGTTCCACTTTTTCGTTCTCGTCGTCGCCAACGTTCTACTCGACGCCTTTTCTTTCTTGTCCAGCATATTTACATATCTCGTCGTCGTTTCGCTTTGTGACCACGCTCTGCCCAGCAAAATTGCAGTCAGTTCTTTCCAGTGTAGCCAATTCCACCCTCTATGATTTCCTCCACCTCGCCCATCCACCGCGACCATCTTTCGCCACCGCATACACCGCCCACGCGCACTTTCGACACACAGAATACACGCCAGGCATCGACAACGCCCTCAGATGACTCGCTCATCGAGCTTTCCTTTGATTACGAACTGGACTCGGCTGGGAACTATGTTCGCATATCCAAAGGCTCTTCAAGATCCAACAATTCAAGTCCACCCACGCCTCATGAATTGCTATCAGATACTCACAAGCCATCTATCTCTCCACCAGCTCACCAAGACTTGTATGCGCCCAATCCCAAACCGCCCTCGCCTGTATCACTCAATTCACCAGGTCCAGCTAGGCGCAACTCTCTGTCACGCTCCGAGAGCGCTTATCCTGTTCTCGTAAACACTGGCGAGCACCAGCGCCCACAGTCTCTTAGCACCGCAGCACAACCGTCCTCACACAGGTCTTTCCAGCGTGTGGCTTCAGGCCCCGCCGTTGTTACTCCAGCATCCTCTTCCCTCCGTGCACCCTTGTCTAATGGTCTCCGCGGCACGGGTCGCAAACTCGGCAGGCCACAGCGAGTCACAATTGAAGAGTACAGAGAGATGGAGGAAAAGAACAGACAGCAAAAAGAGGAGCTCCTGCGCGCCCAGAGCGAGTGGGAGATGCGTGCGCAAGAGGAGAAAGAGAATCTCGTGGGCTCTTCTGAAGGAACAGACGGTATGCTCTCTGACGCTGGTGCGAACCCGAAGCGAACTTCGCCGAGGCTGTCCAGTCGATCAGCTTCTGTTGGCTTAATTGAGACTCGAGCAATGTCCGGTTTACCTATGCGCGCGTATTCTTCAAATTCAAGTGTTCCCAAACCATTGCAAGTTCCTGGCAGGCAGATTCTCCCAGGCCCAAACCGCGCAGGGAGAATATTGATGGGTGTGAAGTATGGAGCGAATAACGGTTTTGATAAAATCAATGAGGTAGAGGGAGACGTAAACGACGTCGATTACGCAGGAGAAGAAACTGATACTGGTAAGTATAATGTCGCGAATTCTATAAGGGCGCGGATCCTTGCATATGCTGACCCCCTGTGGCTTTAGGCCCAGACGAACCTCCATCGTCTGCAAATGGTATTTCACGCCATCGTAGCTATGTGCCTCCTCCACCGTCACTCTCACAACCAGGTCACACTCGACCACGGCGGTCAGCCAGCCTTAGTGATGCTTCTGGTTAGGAACAGTTCTCAGTTCTTCAACGTTTATCCTTATTAACTATTGTGCATAGCTGATGACCGTTTATCACCGGTCACCCAACTTCCAAGTCAGTATAGTTCGCGACCAGGCTCCAGCTTGGGCATGAATCCTTCCCGCTCGAGGAGAACTACTATAGAACAAGAAGGTACGTCTGCCATCGAATATACACATTTCTCTTACTCATTTCATGATATTTCATACAGAATACGCGAGAAGAGCCGAAGAAGCGGCAGAAGCGGACAGTACGTATATTTCAAACATTATTTTTCTCTGTAGGTTTACCCTTCCGATCTCACAGGACGGTCCCATCATGAAGAAGCTCAACCCCCACAAACTTCTCTTTCACGCCCCCAGTCACGTCAATCGCCTTCTCCAACACACATGAACCACCTACGCCCCCCACATACACATCAGCGGCGTGATTCTGATACTGTCCGCACAATAGCGCAGAACCAGAATTCAATGCCAGCCACGTCATCCTCACCTACTGTCGTAGAGCTCCCTGCTCGCGTCTCTCCCTCTGGAAGACAATTTCCTCTGCTCGCTCACAGACGAAGTCCGACCGCGCCTGATCCACCGACAACGAGCGGAATGTTGGCTCCGCCACCTGGAATGGGTATTGCAAAGAGCGGAAAGACATGGGCTTCTGGGGACGAGAAAGATAGAGTTGAGAGTGAGTCTGAAGCAAAGGTTGCATCTATCCCCCAACGAGCGGCGAAGCAACAGGTTCAAGCACCATCTGCTCCCGTGCAAGCTTCTGTTCCTGCACCTGTCAGAAACCACAACATATATGTGAGTCTCAAGCAAACTTTTATCAGTACTATCCTCCTGATATTTGTGTGGTGTAGGTGAACAAGAAGGTGTATGCACGACTCGACCTCATTGGAAAGGGTGGATCCTCACGAGTGTATCGCGTGATGAACAGCTCGAATGAGATCTATGCCATCAAACGCGTTTCTCTGGACAAGACGGACGCGGAGACGATGAGTGGATACATGAATGAGATCGGGCTTTTGAAGCGTTTGGATGGCAATAATCGTATCATTCAGTTGTTTGATAGTGAGGTGAAAGCGGGCCCTGGAGGCACGAAGGGACACCTAATGCTCGTTATGGAGTGTGGAGAGATTGATCTCGCCAAGTTGCTGCAGGAGCAGCAGAAGGAACCAATGAATATGGTGTGGATTTCATATTATTGGCAACAGGTGGGTACATTTTCCAGACTTGTTCTTATCCTGGAATTTGTGTGTTTAATTGTGCGTCCCTAGATGCTGCAAGCTGTGCACGTTATACACGAGGAGAAGATTGTTCATTCCGATCTTAAACCAGCCAATTTTGTTCTTGTTCGAGGGCAACTCAAATTGATCGACTTCGGGATCGCCAATGCCATAGCGAATGATACGACAAATATCCAACGAGATCATCAGGTATTTACTTTTACATTCTTCTTGATGTTCCTTTTGACGATCGATACTCCTATCTCAGATTGGTACCGTGAACTATATGAGCCCAGAAGCCATTGAACTACCAGACGGTATGCGTCGGCTCAAGGTTGGCCGTCCAAGTGACGTGTGGTCATTAGGATGCATACTTTACCAAATGGTTTATGGACAGCCACCTTTCCAGCATCTATCTGTATACCAAAAAATGAAGGCCATTCCGGATCTTGCATACACGATCGAGTTCCCGGAGTACGCTATTCCCACCGTGGTGACCAAGACGGGGGAAAAGAAGAAATTGGAGGGGTTGAAGAGAAGGGTGAGAGAAGATATCATTGAAGGGATGAAAAGTTGCTTGGTGCGAAATCCAAAGGAGAGGGCGACTATTCCAGAATTGATGGAACAAGACTGGTTGGCTTTGAAAGAGCGTGAGTGTCCTATTATCTCTTTGGTTAGCGGGTATAGAAGACGTCGTGCTTATCTTGATCTCGATAGCGGAACCAAAGCCTATCAAAGAGCGCCTTGCACATGATGAAACTATCATCAACCCATATTATATGCGTCAACTGCTGCAATATGGCATCAAGCTCGGTCAGCAAGGGACGGCTATGGATCCTGAGGAGCTACTTCGTGAAGCCGAGGTTGGTGCTTTGCTTCGTTCTCACAGGTCACTTACTGATCGGATTTGGGTGATACAGCGTTTAGTCGCAGAGCTCAAAGCAATTGAGTCATGATGCATCCTTTCTCTGGTCTGATCGCCTTCCACGCCGACTATTGTACTATTCCAATCCACACGATAATTTACGCACCAACTATGACACTATGCCCTCGCTTGGGATTATGAACGTGCACTCCATGAGTGTAACGTTGTATGCGAAGTGTATGTAAGCTTGTCTGTCTATGCATGTAATTTTCATTTATTAGAATTCGTTTGAATTTCTTATGGATTCAATCCTCATTCTCCTGCTTCACGCTTTTAGTGCCAACGCACATCATTCTCTCTCTACTTTCAGTCGTCCTAGTCGCTTTCGTCAATCGCAGCTTTTTTTCTTCTGTCAATCCCTCACTTTTTTATTATTTTATCTCACATCTTCTCTTTTCACTCATTCTTCAACCTGCTATTTGATGTCCTAGCTAGTTACACTGGACCCTGCATCTCTCTCCTTTCAAAAAGCCTTTCTATACTCTTTTTATCTATTGTTGGTTTTGACCTACAGTATATGGTATCGCTGGCATCACTATCCTGCATGAATTCAAACCGCATTATCAAATCTGGTACCTCTTTGAATCATTGAAATTTGTGGATAAGCCAAGGATCCTCGTGTTGCCTGTAAGATTCCAAGCAAATACTATAGCTAGTATAGTAGCTATTGATCGAAGGAGAGTTCTCTACGAAGCTGCTGTCAAAGATCTGAATCCCTGTCCTCCCTCCCAGTGGGGCCTAGTCTCTAACTGTTCAGCGCTCAGCATCAATCGTGTTTTGTGCATTTCCAGGGTTGATCAACTCTATTATGTACAAGCAAGCTAGAGCATGGTACACAAGATGGGCATCTGGGGCGTGGTATAGGTACACATGAGAAAAGGCGTTAGAATAATAAAATCGAGGTTGTATCATTTATACTATTCAAATGAAAAATAAAAAAAAGCAAGATAGCAAAAAAGTTGTTGTGTTAGTTAATTTTTCTCTTTTTTTTATTTGATGAAGAATAGGAAATGCGCATGGTGAATAGGATGAACAGCGGTATGGATTTCCTTTCCGAATAGATAGGGGGGGAGAAAGATATTAAAAACTAAAAGATGGAATTAGATTGACGACGGACGAGAACACGAAGAAGAGCGAGTCGACACAAAAACAAAGGTGGAATATCAAGTTCAAGTGTCGAGAAAACCCACCACCCATTTATCTACCTCTCGGGAAATCATCGTATTCGACCTGCGACTCCACGGTGACCTGAACCCCATACGGGCGCGGCGACTCGACTCTTATCTCTGGGTCTTCACCGACGATGGGCAAGATCATCCCGCCCTTGACGGCCTCCTGCTCGCCTACGCTTTCCTTGCCATCGCCCTCCCAGGGAATGCCTTTGCTTCCGATGTCGCCACCGCCAGATATGCCGCCGAGGTTCAAGGTATGTGCACCGTGATGGTTGTTGCTGATCGAGCGAGAGGCGGCGGTGGATGAGGAGGCGCCTGAGAAGTGCGAGCCCATGAACGATCCACCGTCGACGAGCGATCCGCGCACGGAGAGAATGATACGCATGGTCATGGTGGTGGTGAGCACGGCCGCCATGGAGGTCACGATGGTCTTGATGGGGTCTTCGAGGGTGACTACAGGAGTTGTCGTGGACAAGGGTGGGGTGGGGGGCATGACAAAGTAGAAGAGCATGTTGGCAAGGTTGACGAGGAGGATGGCGCCGTAGAGGTTGAGGCCGTCTCGGAGCATGAGTTTCCAGAGGCTGAGAGGCTTGGATTCGAGAGACGCCCATGATTTACGAGCGGCGAATACAAACTGTGGGAAGGTAACGTGTGTTAGACGGGGATGACAACGGCGTTAAAGAAGAAAACATACAGAAGCAGCATATAATAATGTGGGAGCGAGCCAATAGATACCAACCCAACTATGACTGCCAATAGGGCCTGCGATACAGCCCTGACCTACATCGAGTTTAACAGCTATACAGCAAGGAAAGATCAGATGTGAGGCTATGCACCAGGTACCACGAAAGCGCGAAAGACTTACAGCGGTAGAAGCCACAGCAAATAGCGGTGACGACAACTTGAACGGCGAAGAGGCCCCAGAGGGTTGCACGAACCTTGCTGTTCTGATCGTAAATTGCGCTGATGCGGATGACGTGCACTGCAGACGTTACAGCGATGAGGATAGCGGTACATATAGGTTCAAACGGCCAGAATTGTTTGCACTTGAATGAAGAGGTAAGCAATGGTTAGAATAAATGAACGTATGAGACGTACTGTCGACTGTGAAGCCGTTGTGCTGAAGAACAGAACACCTGCAATAAGATGAGCATAACAGTGTCACCAAGGGTGAAAAGGACTTGCCTGTTGGAATGAAGTCGATGAGTACGAACCACTGGAGGAAGTAATACATCCATTTGAGAGCAGGCCAGCCTTTTGTTATTCTCCAAAGCTTGTATGATCGCGGTGTGAGGACAAGAGTGTCCCAGGCGAGAACGGTGAGGGTGCAGACATAGAAGTACTTGTGGGCAGAGAGATGGGGGGGAAGGTCGAGATACGCTGGCAAGGGGATTGTTGTGCTGTTGCTGTTGCTCGTCATTGTCGCCGTCGACGAGAGGGAAAGCGCCAGGGAGGATAGAGAAAGGCTGGCGACTGTGTATATAATAAAAACCAGCGAGAGGCGGTACACGATCCCTCGATTATGTAATCCTGATATGGAGATCTGTCAATCTGACTTCCTGGGGTCCTCGCTCTCACCCGTTTCTCTCACCCATTCCTCTACTGGTCGTCACAGACTCGGCAACGCACAGCGACCACCATGTCCTCCTCGTCGTCCCCAACGTCCCCGACACCCTCCTCTCCAACCCAGTCCCCCACTCCATCCTCATCCTCGTCGTCCAACACCGACAGCGGCCAGCCCGGTACAACGTCCTCAACACTATATCTGTGCGTACTGCCATGACGTTTGATCCCATCCACACATTGATCCTATCCATTTCCCGCTGCATTTTTGGCTTGGTGTGCCGTTACTACCCGTATATTCCATCTTTGCATCAAACCACATGGGTGTCGACCTCAGCTTCACTTTCCTCGCAACTCTCTTCGTCCTCCTTCTCATATCCAGCGCCATCATCCTCCGCTCCTTTGTTCTAAGACGCAGATTCCGTCGCCGTGTCGAGGAGGCCATCGCTGCCGGCATATATATTGATGTTGCTCCCCGCGCTGCTGCTGGTTCCCGCACCTTTAGGGTCCTGGGTGAGAAACCCAAGTTCTACGAGACCTGGATCACCCCTACCAATAACCAGAAATGGGACGGTCTTATGGTACGCTTCACCACCCTTCAAGGGGCTATGATAATTCTATTGAATAAGACAAAACTAAGATTTTTTCTGTCCCATTAGCCCATATCGGCTCAAATAGCACCTACAAAACCAAGCAGACCAGACAAGCAATTCAGTTTCCTCCCTGCCTCCACTACTACCAATGCCATTACCACTACCCCAGATTCGCCGCCTAGGACGTTCCTTGGTCGCTCCCTCCGTAACCCGTTCACACGCGCTCCACCCTCACCTCCCACACCTCCACCTGTTTCGAGTCCAGTCGTCGAGGAGCAGGAAGAGCGCATTGCCGTATCCGTGCTAATATCCATGCCGTCTGCGTCGCGTTCGATTACGGCGCCTTCGCAGAGCTACAAAGGCAAGGCCAGAAGCTCGTGGGAGCCTCATCGCGAAGATGGCGAAATGCCTGATGTCATCCTCGGTGTTGCAGAGCTTCCATACTCGAGGCCGTCTTCTGCACACGAGGCTCCATCATAGTGCATAGTGTGCTTGTAGGGTTGCGAACCTGCTATGGATTTCTGCCTCTTAGAGAGGTTATGGCGTGGATGGCCCTCCCATTTTCATACAAGCCCTCGCCATCTTACCCTGTTCTTGTACCGGAATCATCATCTTGTGTCATCTACGCCCTTGGATATGTATTTTGCGAACACTTTTATATGGTGGCCTTTTTGATCCTGTCTCCACTTTAGACATCCTGTACTTCTTATCAATTATACTGTATTGCCTTTATTCACTTGAAAATAATTATGTGATGTGATGCTTGCTTGTCGCGTCGTGCAAATGAACTTATCCGGATCCTTGACTGCAAAGAAATGACATGGCAATACTACTAGTTATGCGCGCGAAGACAGATCCCGGTCGAAAAAAGCTTAGTTTGAGCTTAGAGTGGTAAGGTCCAATTAAACTCAAAAGTTCGGACATTTACAAAATTAGCCTTAAGGGCGGTTATGATCTTGGGATTTAGGTAAGTGCTATACCTATTCTGCGGAACTGCTGTAAGTGGCGATGTTGAGTAGAATATCATGATGACTTGCGGCATAGGGTATGCACAACCACATATCTCAGTTGATTAAACAGAGATATACTCACACCCTAAAACATCCAAAATAGACGAAGCTACTCACCCTGGAACCTCCGACCTTTTTCCAGTGAAGAGGATTACAGAGATTGAGAACGTGCAAGTGGTTTACCCAAGGTCTTGCCTGTGTTCATATACGTTCATAGATAGTGGCGAATGACGGTACTGGGCGTGTAAACAGGGGCGGTGTGTGAGTGTTGCTTGTTGACGCTGAATCGCTGATGCTAGATATCATGGAGTTCGAGGTTCTGAGGCTGCGGATGGATGCACTGGCATTGTGCAGCCATTGATATGGCATTTGATCCTAGAATGAACAGGAAATGGAATGAGATGGGATCATAGCAGAGCACTAGAAGTGGATCGAAAGCTTGATGAAAACTCACGTTATGGTCAAACATAGTATCCAGATAGCAGCCTGAGATAAGTCACCGTCAGTGGGAGCCCTGTCCAGTACGTCGTGGCATTAGCTTGGCTGCAGTAAATGAGCGCTAACAGCGTTTGATCAACCATGGCTGTCATTATAATAGCGGGCTCAAAAAGTAGGTGGACAGGTCAGATGGCGGTGCAGGTCAGGAATATCCTTTCGCGGAAGCAAAATGTGAATATGTTCCAGTGGCGTGTCTGGGGTCCTTGCACTTCACAGCACTATTCCCTCCTCGTGTCTGTTTGCTTAGCGGGCCAGTAGCGCCCAATCTTTTTCGTATCATCACCATCCAGTGCTTGTCTGGATGGGAGACGTTTATAGCATCGGTAAGTAAACGACATCACTGGCAGCTGCATGAGAGTTTTGAAGGTATGATATTGCACGACTATAATTGCATTGACTCATCACTCGTGAAGTTCCATAGGGCGTCTCCGAGTTTCAGCTACAGTTTGAACAAATTGCTGTTGCTCCAGACATGTCTGGTATGCGCTGAAAATCACAACGTGCAATCTCCAACACATGCCAGACTTGTGCGATAATTTGCGGTAAACAAGATACCACCGGGATCGCCATGACAATAGCATCCAGCGCTCAAACGTTCGAGGCCCGTAACGCAGAGCGCTCGCGATATCCCTGTAAGGCCCGTAACTGCATCGACATGATTGCCATTACACTCGTGCGTTTTGGTACCATGTCAGCACACATATTCCTTCAACCCACTGCGTTGAAACTCGTGAATGTCAATGGTGTAGATCATTGAATTAGGGGCGGGACAGTGGCGACGTGGCCCCTGACCAGTTGATACTTTCTCCCCTGCAAGGTTCGAGAGGTAACAAGTGGAGCCATTTCAAACTTGCCGACAAGTTACCCATGCAATAAGTCAAAGAGTACGACTCCAATACAAAACTTGGACAAGTCGTGATTGATCACAGGGCTGTCAGGGCCGCAATCAACGTTTTGACGCCTTTCTTTGATCAAACTGATAACTGCCGGGAACCGAACACGTACGTTCTATTTTCTGTGCTACCAAGCCCTACAGGTCTTCTGCTGACTTGCACAGTCAGTTGCTTGTGGATTCCACAGCACTACGGCTTCTGGGTTCTTAAGCTCATGATGCATGCATGAGGACCGCAGTTTATTATATTATCATTGCCGCACTAATGCTGCGTCTGACGTGACGTAACTCGCTCATCTGACCCAATGTTTCGTAGTGAGTCGCTGCGCTCGCTATCTTCACGATAACAAAGTAGTAGCAAGTGTTGATGATTTAAAGTTGGATGTCAATTTCGAATCGGACTGTGATACTCCTGTACGCATACCCCACTGTCGCATCGTAGTCTCTTAGCTGCAAGCTCAACAAAATGTTCACCACCGAGCGTCTCATACTTCGCCCGTTCAAAGACTCGGACATGGACGATATCCTTCAACTCTGGAACGATCCTTTGGTATTACCATCGGCGACGTCTGATACCGTCGTTCCTCACTCCCCCAAATTCAAAGACGTCCTCAGAGAAACATTCGAAAAAGCCGCCATATGGGTGATCATCACACTAAAAGAGACGGGCGAGTTCATGGGGTACAGCTGCATTCACATCATCATGCCCAAGAACCGGAATGGGATGTTTGGGGTATGCCTGTTACCGCAGTATTGGGACAAGGGCTATGGGACGGAGGCAAGCAAGTTTGTGGTGGATCACTCGTTTAGGTGGTTGAATTTGCACCGGGTGTCGTTGGATGTACATGGGGATAATCCGCGTGCTATTGCGGTTTATCAGAAACTGTGAGTACTTCGTCCTTGCTTTTTAGGTTTGGATGGGGTTGATGGTGACGCATGTTTGGAATAGCGGCTTTGTTGTAGAAGGACGGATACGAGAGGCGGTTTGGAAGGACAATGTATGGGTAGATAATTTGAGCATGGGCGTACTTCGAACTGAATGGGCTGCTCAACACTGGAAGAAATGATGGATGCTTATCTTATCTTACTGTCGCACTAATGCTTCGCTTGACGTTACGTAATACCGATCTGACTCGACTTTCGTATCAATATATGGGCTGACTAAGGGAGACTAGTCTAATGGTGAGTCAGTGCAGTGCTCGGTAACAAAGTAGAAATTGTTGATGATTTAAAGTCACGGTGGGATGTTCGTTTTCAAATGAACTTACCCCCTGTACGCGTACCCCGCGATTACATCGTAGACTTTGACTCAATAACATGTTCACCACCGAACGTCTCATACTCCGCCCGTTCAAAGAATCGGACATGGATGATATTCTTCAGCTCTGGAATGACCCTTTAGTGTTACCATCTTTTACGTCTGATGCCTTCGTTCCTCAGTCCCCAAAACATAAAGAAACCATCAGGGAAACAGGCGAGAAAGCCGCCATGTGGGTGATCATCACCCTCAAAGAGACGGGCGAGTTCATGGGGTACAGCTGCGTCGACACGCCCACTCCCCAGAACCACCATGGGATGCTTGGTATATGCCTGTCTTCGCGGTATTGGGACAAGGGCTACGGGACGGAGGCCGTCAAGTTCGTGGTGGATCATTCGTTTAGGTGGTTGAATTTGCACCGGATGTCGTTGAATGTCCATGGGGATAATCCGCGTGCTGTTACCGTTTATCAGAAAGTGTAAGCATTTTGTTTCGTCCCCACCTCTTGTTTCGGACGATTGATGGTGATGGACGTTTGAATCAGTGGTTTTGTCGTGGAAGGACGGGCACGAGAGGCAGTTTGGAAGGACAATGGATGGGTAGATATTTTGGGTATGGGCGTACTTCGAACTGAGTGGGCTACTCAACACTGGAAGAAATGAGTCACGAAGACATCCAGAAGACGTCTTGCGCGAAGTATATGATTGAATGAATGGTTGTGCAAAAAGGTTACAGACAGGACATGATACAGTAAACGTCCGATAGGTTACATGATGCGCAGGACACAAATACAGTTAATCCTGTATCGGGAAAAAAAAAAAAAGAAAACATGGAAAAGATAGGGGCTAGAAAGCATGGTCCACGAACACACATGCCCACTTCACGCAGACATAGCCTCGGCAACAGCACCGAGGTGTTCTCTGCTGTCAGAAGTGGGTGGGTCGTCAGGTTGGTTTGCTGCTTTAGACTTCTGGTCTTCTTCCGTGAACTTATCGAGCCATTTCAGGACGAACTTTGCGTGGGCGCTATAGTTCATGGTAGCATCCAGAGCATCACTGTAATGACCGTGTAGTTAACATTCTGAGTGCAATGATCAGCATAGTTTTGCTTACCGTACAACACCATTCTTGTCGATGACGAAGGTCGTTCGTGCGTCTGTGAGGCCAAGCATACCCCTGCCGATATGGTATGCTTTGTGCGCCTCTCGTTTCTCGTCGCTCAGTACAGGAAACTGCCAAATGAGCCATAGATGAATGACGACCATCGATGATTTAACGATATTAAAAATACTAACATTTAACTTTTGTCTCTCGACGAATTCCTTCTGTTTGCTGACAGGGTCCGGACTGACGCCAATGACTTCCACATGCGAGCGCTTAAACACCTCCTTTTCTGTATAGTCAGAAACGAACCACATGCACGAAACTCTGATAAGAGTCTCGTTCCCGCTGAAAAGAAAATAGAAAAAAACGCCATACCAGCTAACGCATCGCGGAATTGACACGCCTCGCGGGTGCATCCATATGACCCTGACGTAACTCATTCGTGAGCCCTGTGAACGAACAATGTGGTATAAAACAAACGTTACCTGACTCTGGGTAGAAAAAGAGGGCGATGGGAGCACCGGTGGTGCCGGGTGTCAAATTGAAGGTTTCACCGTTCGAGTCTGGGATGGAGAACGATGGAGCGGGTGTGCCAACAAGGGGATGAGGGGCCATGTCAATAATGGACAGAAAGAAATACACGGGCTTTCAGGTTAGCAAGTAGCAAGAGAGCGTCTCGGATGTCTGCGCTCTGCGACAGTTGGTGGTGAGAAATGGCTCAGGCAAGGTAGCAGCGGTATAGGAGCCTTTATATAGCCCACGTTGCTCATTGGCCCCGTGGAGATGATCGAGTCGCACACATCATAGCTACGACTACGCAGGAACAAGGTCACGGTCACCTCTTTGAATATCTATATTCTTTTTGATTAGTGGCTTTATGGACTCTCTATCAGATATCCGAGAATTTCTGATAACTCGCGACTTATATATGAAGGCGGCGGCGTAGTGCTAAAATTGACAGACACCAAGACAAGATCGGCGATATTCCGTGTGCTTGGCTCGTTGAACGTTCTCTTGATAGCGCGAATCAGCGCATGGTGAAGTATCAAGTCGATCTGTTACGGCAGTATGGAACGTGATGGTGAAGGAGAAAGAGATCATCGCAGTGTTCGATCGGTTTTACCCATTGGGTACGTGAGACGATTGAGTGGAAGGATGGGGGCGAACTCGAATAGCATCTGCAATGCTGGGTCTCCTCGTACCGGCCAGACGTCCGGCACGATGGAGGAAGAAAGCCTGAGACTGATTTGCCGGGTTCCACGAAGAACTACGCCTGAGAAAAGGCATTGGTCACAAATTCTGATTTTGATGAGCGTGCAAGATCAGAAAATGACAGCTTCGAAGACTTATGGTGTTATCAGACAAACTGAAAAAGATATATACGTCAATGCTGCGCCTGGAAGTTCAAACGGTGCTCCCAGGACATTTAGAATGTGTGTCGGCACCAGCCGCAGGAACGTGTCAAGGAACTCAACGTGCCAAACGCCTAAATGCCGAGGAAATGAGGGCACGAGTAATGGGTTCCTTCACTTCTGTAATGACAAGGGAGAGAACATCGGGGCCCTGGAGATCAGGATTATCGCCGGTCAAAGGTCGGGGATTTAATGAACAAGAGAAAGAATTGCAGACATTGTCGAGGTGTGAGATAAGGGGCTTATAGACGTCACAACGAGGAAAGTGGGGAATTGATGATGGTACCTCGATAGCATGGAACACAGTAAATTAAGAGTAATTGGTGTAAATAGTCCGTTCAATGTTTCCCAGGCTGAGAACCCATCGCGTCTGTAAATAACACGCGTAAGACTCTGCCAAAAGGGCTAAAAAGGTTTTAAAGAGCTCACCAGCATTCAACTCGGCAAAACGCGCTCCTACCCGTTCAGAATGCTTCAAGAACTTGTCTGCACAATTCATGACACATTGCTCCTGTAGTTATGGCTAAATTAAGGCAAAGGTCCTGTTAGTTGGTGTATGAAAAGTTACCTCTTTTGAAGATAGGGCTTTGCTGGTAAAATCACTACAACATGAGTTGAAACATCTCTCGACGACGCTGGAGTACATTCGCATAAAGTCTTGCATCTATGTGACGACACGAATGAGCGAAAGATGACACAAAACGCATGAACGACGGGTTAAGCACCTGTTTTTTTTCGATGACTTTTGTCATGTGGGCCTGTTCCGCCGAGTTGAATTGTGAGAAATCCATAGTTGTGGGCGTTAAAGGGAAGAATGGACAGAAAGAAAAAAAAATACGGTTGCGGTAGAGGTCTTGGAAGAAATTCTAAAGAGTTGAAGCCATCCGCAAAAGGTCGGCACGTGAATCGTGGCGTGGGCAAAGTAATTTATGATCGCCTTTCGTTCGTATTTGCGATGTGACTCAACTGCATCTGAAAAGTGATCATCTTTCAAGGTTTTTAGTCCTTGACATAAAATTCCTCCCTTTCTCACAGATTCCTGTGAGGTGATATAGCAGCCGTATATATATACGTCCTAATTTGATCCAGGTTCTTTTTGTTATATAGCCTGTCACAAGTACGAACAAAAATGTAAGTCTCCCCCTTAACATTACTCCACACACCACCTTACCGTCCTATCCAGTAGATTATACCATGTCTATACCTTTCAAAGACGCGCTCCAGAAGCTCGAAAACCGACGTGTCAAGTCTACTAGGCCGTTGATACCACCGCAGATTCTCCAGGAAGACTTACCTCTGTACGTTCCTTCTTCATCTTGCTGTGACAGGCTTTTAAATTATATCAAGGACCCTTTTGGCTGCCCATACTGTCCTGGAAGGACGATGTGCTACTGAAAACATCCTCAGGGGAGACGACGACCGTCTCATGGTGGTCGTTGGGTTCGTTGTTTTATTTTTCTTCTGGTTTATTCTAAAGCAGAATTCAATAGACCTTGTTCAGTTCACAATGTAGAAGCTGCCATTGAGTATGCAAAGATACTTAAAGACTATGCGGATCAAGCCAAAGAGGACTTGCATATCGTTATGCGCGTCTACTTTGAAAAACCGCGGACAACTTTGGGATGGAAGGGCTTGATCAACGATCCGTAAGTAATACGTATATCCGACTTCGTCCTCTTCGCTAACAGGGTGGTTTTAGTGACATGAACGGGAGTTTCCAAATCAACAAAGGACTCCGTATGGCCCGGACGTTGCTATTGGATATTGCGAAGATGGGTTTACCCGCAGGATGCGAATTCCTCGATACCATCTCTCCTCAATACACTGCCGATTTGGTCTCATGGGGCGCGATCGGCGCGCGAACCACTGAATCACAAGTCCATCGAGAACTCACGTCAGCACTCTCGATGCCAACTGGCTTCAAGAATTCAACGGATGGAACCGTTGGGATTGCGGTTGACGCATGTCGAGCTGCTCGCAGCGGCCATGTCTTCCTCAGCGTCGGTAAAGAAGGCCTCAGCAGCATTGTCGAGACAGAGGTGGGTATCTTGGGACTCCATTAGGAGATATCTAAAATGTGTGCAGGGTAACCCTGATGTGCATGTCATCCTTCGAGGAGGAGCTAAAGGGCCAAACTACGCCGCGGAATATGTCCGCGAGTGCGGAGAAAAGCTAACCAAGGCAGGCCTTGCTTGTAAGATCATGGTATGTTTATGGCCATCAATTCCCCATATGATGGTATTCATCTATTTTCACAGGTTGATTGCAGTCACGGAAACAGCCAGAAGCAACACCGAAAACAGGTAGAAGTTGTGGAGGACATCGTAAGAATTTCCAAAAGCCTATAGCGCAGATTAACACCGCTTATCTATTTCTCTCAGGCTCAGCAATTGGAGTCCGGTGACACATCGTCCCACATTATGGGGGTGATGATTGAGTCCAACTTGGTGGAAGGTCGTCAAGATATTCCCCCAGCTGGACCTGCAGGCCTCAAATACGGCCAGTCTGTCACAGATGCCTGTATTTCGTGGGAGATGACTGTTCCATCATTGGATCGTCTACGCGAGGCTGTTCGTAACCGTAGGCAGCTTGTTAAGAGAGAAGCAAAAGGCCTGGACGCCAATGGTGTTAAGGCTAATGGTGCGAATGGTCACTAGATGTGACCTCGCAGTTCACCCAATCACCCAACAATCTGTATTTGTGTCGTAGATGTAATTTATATGGAATATATGAGTACCTGAGAGAGAGTTGATCTTATCTACACGCGAGCGCTTGAGTGATGTCTAGACCTTCCATTTACTGCAGCCGACTTTTTATAGCATTCCGTCAACGTTTCGATGGTGTGCTGTTCCGCAGCTGTGTGGAGTCTAGCATAAATTTTAGTGGCTAGTTGAGCCCGCCACCGAACCATGACAGGAAATGTACGTACAAGCGCTCAACTGTCAGGCTGTGCCATTCAGCGGTGTGTTCGTCGCGTTGTCTTTGGACTAGACTTGGAGCGCCAGGACGCCCTTTCGCGTTGTGTGGACTATGGTAATACCAAACCTGCATTTTTATTTTGCTGCAGCACGCTATCGCTGTTCTCAGCGCCGTTTTCTACTCGCGGTAAGTGCTTTCGCCTGGCCAACCCCGCGGTACTCACACCGGTATACATGTGCAGGTTGCGCTCGTTTTCTTCTGGCTAATAGCAGAAAGTCTGCAAGGCGAAGATACGCGCAATTCGTGGACATACTCCGATATCCACCTTCGTTTGGCCCTGGTCGAAGCCATCAAACTCAGTGCTTGCCTCGGATGCTATATCTGGCGCAGGAGGCGTGCCCATCTGCGCTCAGATTCGTACAGTACCATCCCATTGGAAGAACACATCCACGGTGCAGACGCGTTCTCAGATGACCTCAGACTCTCACCCGAGGCAGAGCTGGAGTTTCCCGGTGCCAGGAGCACTCGCTCTGGTTGGCTGCTATTGTATCCCAGTCCATCCACGAACTTCTTAAGCATGTGCACCGTGCGATCGATGCTGACTATTCTCGGCATTGCCGTGTTACATGTTCTTCGTTCCTATGTTGTGCGTTCGAGGACGTCTTTCCTCGGTGTCCTTCCTTACCTTTTCTCATAGGCATCCAGGACCAGAGATATTGCCGACCACCTGGCTTTGAACCTAGTAATCCCCGCGGCAACTCTGTGTTCGCTCGTGGTCCTACGCGTTTTCTTTTACCAAGCATTTTCCTCACACCACCTTCATGCTGTCCTTCTGCAGGTACGTGTGTAGTGAGAGTTGAGATGAAACCTTGGAACGTGTTCGCTGATTGTACTGCTAGTTGTCCGGTTTATTTATAGCCAAGGTAGGTTTCTGGTATCCAATCACTATCTCATTCTGACCCAATATGCGGACGTATGAAGGGAGGGTTAATCAGCATCAATCCTCCACCATCACACTCTACATTGATTGCTTCGATTTTTTGTGACGCAACGACATTCACTTTGATAGACTTGGTTGGTCCCTTTCATTCTTACTCTGAGTGGTGAGCGTGGTATCTAATATTCCTTCTTAGCTTTATAGATCACACCAGCATTCACTCCTCATTCTTAATACCATTCTCTTTGCATTTGGCATTTTCTTACACGCATTCACCTATGTTTGTTATTCTCTTTTCTTTGCTCCAACCACTGCAATCCATGCTGGCCTTTCCATTGCCGCTCTGATACTTCCAGTCGCCGAAGCAGGGCGAGACATAGCTGCTTTGCTTGTCATATTCTGTGCGTCAGATTTATCTATCCACTGTGACCATGAAAGCTGGCTGATATAAGTAGATAATGACGCGGTGATGGAGGGAGTGCTTGTTTCTTTTGCAGCTGCTCTTTCTCTCTTGATAAGGATTGAAATCATAAAGCATTTCCCCTTTGATGTTTTAGCAGGCTGTCTGATTGTCTGCGTTGCACTATTCACCTACATCTCAAATACGCCACAAAAGACAGACGAGAAGACTGAGCCAAAGTCGGAGGAGAATCAGGTATGTGAACTTTTTGATGAACTATAGAGTGGATAATTAAGTTCTTTAGGCAATGCCTGGTCGCCGAACTATCGGTGCAACTGTAACATTCTGCGTGGCTATCGCCTACACTGTCTTTGTCGTGCTCCACGAAAAGTTTCCGTCCCTGCAAAGTGCATCCGTATCCTCCATAGAACCAATAAACGTATCCATCGAGCAAACAAGTTGTCACCGGAGGCCCCTTCCATCCATATCGTATTTCGAGCCGCGGACATATCACAACTTCGATAACGTCTTGTTAATCGTCTTCTTCAGTCATGCACGCTATAATGGTAATCTAGACTTCTACAAGGAGGTATACTCGGAATTTTTTCCTAATGTAGGCGTTCAACAGCTCGTATTTTTGATATACTTAATGTACACCCCAGATTATCTTCATTGGCCCAGCAAGTAGAGAAGATGCCGGTTTCTCGCATTCTTATGATGTTCTCGTGGATTCCTACCAGTCCGACGAAGACCTCAGTGATCCATCATTCTACAAGATGGCTGGAAGGGTATTTGTCATTTATCGCCTAGAATTCTATGCCCTGCTCATTCTGTTTATTACTTAGATGGCGCATCACATGTTATACACAGCCATGAAGGAGCATGATTGTTATGATGGCTATCTCTGGGCGCCGTTCGATACACTTCTCAACATCCCTCGCCTGCAACAGTTCGATCAAAACTACTTTTGGTACCATTCGCCGTGGGCGCAGTATGTTCCTAACCCGGCTCAACCAGATGCAAAGGCGAGCCAACACGCTCCTTCGGCCATACTATCTCCAGACCCTTTTCTCAACCTCACCGAAACCTGGAGAGGGTGGCAATATGATTGGTGGTAAGTCTACTGCTTTATCAGCTGCTACGCCAGCTCACTTTTTTATTATTACTACAGGTGGGGGTGAGTGTACTTTTGTCCCGATGGTGGAGAGTGGCTTTTTTAATCTTATTCGCTACAGAGACCCGCATGTCGGCGTTCATGTCTGTATGGAGGCTTTCCTGAAAGTACCTTTTCAGATGAGGAAACGCCTCGAACTTTTTACTGATGGCGTCACCCGGTTTATTGGCGGTTCTGCAGATACACTTTATATCCCAGGCCGTCATCGCCAGAATTTCCTAGACGTTCTTGGGCTATTCCTAGAGACCGATTGTTTTCTTGAGATAGCAACGCCTACCGCGGTCCATCTAGTGGTGCCATTAGACGAGCCAATACTATACGTTGATCATGTGAGTGCAAAGTACAGCCTTTGATATTCCCTGTTGCCTAATGGTGGAATTGTTGGGGGTCCTGCTATGTTAGTGGTGGATATTCCAGCCACCTTTCAATGCTTCTTTTGTTCGACAGAAGTGGGAGGAAGGGTACGAAGTAGACACATTCCATACGTTCCATTGGGGTGATGTCGATACCGATGGTGTGTGGACGGGAAATCATGGACATGTTGACGATGTGCGGCATCTTCTGGCGGAGTCTGGTATCAGACAAGGTGTCGATTTCAACGTGAGGTGAGTTTATCTCTTATATCATTTTTTATCTTTTGAATCAAAATTGAACAGTGTTTGAATGACATAGCTCGTTGTAAAATTCGGGATGCTTCCTGTTTCTACTATATATATAGTGACGATGAAGATCACCGCTTGTCTCTGTACTCGATTATCCGCGAAGAAGGAAAAAGATCGCCTGCGCGCTTCGATAGATATTGTGATATACTTCTTGCAATCCAATTCATTGTAGAAAACAAAGGTAGTATATTCTCAGGGAATGTTTGCGCCAACGTATCGGGCCATCGTCACTGAAATTCGCCTTCATGAGTTTTCTTTCATGCCTTGCACCGGCAGCTATCAATTACGCTGAAAATCAAGGTCAGAACAATCTGCGCATGAATAAAAGCTGGAAATGTACGGAAATCCTCATTGAGGAATCAGAAACCTTGGAATGCACCTTGGCTGATTTCCGATTTCCTTGCAATCTTTATGATGTTCTACTCACAGCGCTGTGCGAATGAACATAGTACTATAGGTCCACTCTACACCTTCCGTTATCTAGTTTGCTGATCCATGTCGTGCCATCTGCCCACCACTATAACTATAACGTAGCACACGAAAACCGAAAGATCGTCAAAGCAAGACCATTCCTTAGTTATATCCTGGATTCCAACAGTGTACAATTTATGCAAGTATAAAGTATGATGAGATACATAGTAGCAAGAAAGCAGCAAACTTGAAGAGTAGTTTTATGATTTAGTAGGGTTCAAAAACAAGGTGTCATTATCCGCCACTCCGAGTAAAAAACGCTGGAATACGGATTTGCCCCTGCGGAGGTTTGATAATGAGATACGTTCATTCGGTAAATGGGCTTGGTCCTATATTTATATTTTGTTGTCGTGAGTATTCGAAGTATGACAGCAATAAAGACACTGACTGTGCTCTGTCCAAGGGGTAAGTGGAGAGCCTGGCACCCAAATTCTCTCTCCAAGTAGGGTATTGACGGGATCGACTAAGTATGCGTTAACTCTCTGTTAATATGGAACGCTCAAAGGAAAGAAAACGGAGACGTACCCCTCCCTCTCGGATTCGTAGAGGATCAACACCCCACTCGTCTCGTACGGCCGCTTCGAGGGTTTGGAACCATGGATCGTCGAGATTGCCGAGCCACCAGTCAGCAGTGTGGTTAACATTGACCTGTCTCTGATGTTTAACGTAGTAGAGATGGAAGGTAAAAAAAATGGGCACTGACGTCGAATTCATTGGGTGAGTTTAGCTTTTGGAATGACGTTTTCAAGTGGTCTACCAGGGAATTTGCGATAGATTGTAAATCTTGATCGGGGACAACGCGAAGGGATAGCTGAGTCTTGACTTTTCCGGGAATGACGGTGGAATCTGGTGGAAACGCTCAGTATTTGAGATAGTACGTTCAGCTTTAGGGAAATTCACTCTTTGGCCCAGAAACTTCAATATTGTGTACCGTCAAAGAAGGCTCGCGCCATCGGGAGGACAGGGATGAACCAGGCCGCTGAGTGACTTGCGATAATAAGTCGTACAATTTCTCTTCTTCTTCTGTTAATGGCCGCACATCGTCGTCTTGGTTCAATAAAATGTGAGATGGGGCACTTCCATCGGAGGGAGTAAAAATACTAACAAAACCGAGGAATGTTCACCTTTCGTTCGCTATCGGTCAAGGTGGCCAATACGTTTATCCTGTAGATAACGATTCTATAAATGAAGCTATGATAGTATGATAACATTAGATAAACGCACATGTCCATCATAGGCTCCGCTGCAGCACCTCCTTCAACACCAGAGTGAAGGTCAGGAGAATTGCTGGAAATCTAGTAAGAAGACAAATATGAGTCATTTACGTCTTTCCTACTAGAATCTCTACTGACTTCGACAGAACAGTGGACAACCCCTCGCAAGCCGTAGGTTATACATGGAGGGTAGTCTGTGATCCATGTAGAGTTACTTCCCGAGACGCATTAGCATTACATTGGAAACGATACAGGAAAAAAAGATACCTTAGGATGATCACATCAACGTCCCCAATCAAGTTCTGTATTGTCATTAGCAAGTCGGTTTTCCATAAACGAGCAAAGTGAAGGGGGGGCACCTTATATTTCTTGACAGCATCCACAAAGCCCCTACTACCCGTTTCTTCCTCGCCCTCAATCAACATGGTCAAATCGACACCCAATGAGCGTTTCCCAAGTAGCTCAGCTGCTGCACAAGCCACAGCCAAGATCGGACCTTTGTTGTCTGTGACACCTCGGCCATATAGATATCCATTGCGACCAGTTACAGTGAAAGGGTCCGAGTTCCAGCCTTCGCTAGGGGCTGATATAACGTCGTAGTGCCTGGCGTATGAAAAGTGAGATATGAATCATGAAAATGTTGGATTGCCTTTGTTTCCCACTTACCCGTAGAACAGAATACGTGGTTTACGGTGTTTCGTTTGCGTACCTTGGAACTTGGCCAAGACTAAGGGATTACCACCTTCGTACGTAGACAACTAAAATGCAGATGAGAAACTCGTCAGAAGTCGCAGAGTCATCATGGTCTTACAAGAGTGGACTCGGCACCAAGCTGATGCAAGCATTTTTTCAGCCATATAGCCGCCTGTCGACAATCTTCACGATGGGCCGATTCACAGCTTACACTAGGGATGGAAACAAACATCGATAGCGCATATGTCATGGTTTCAGATTCTGCGATGAAATATTACGTCAAGGACAGAATGAATGCAGCTTGAAAGGAGCGTGCCTTGTACGCCTGGGGACTCCGAAAATAGTGCGTTGATATCTTGGGAAATGGCGTTCACCTTCTTTGGTGGGACGATACTCCATACCTATGGGCTAGATCAACACAATGTTGTGCAGAAGATCTAAGATCCTACATTGATCATGCCATCGTTAGCTCCTGATAGCAGGAAAAAGCTTTTTGACCCTTTCGAACGTGTGACGATCGAAGAAAGGACTATCCCATCGTGAGCTCGCCACGACGCTGTACAATCAAATGAAAGAGACCAGCGCTAAAAAGTAACCAAAAACAAGTGAGAAACCATGCCAGTCAACGGTAGACGTTCGCAGTAACCTGTATTTGACCATTTGCGGAACAAGTATAGAGATCAGATTGCATGAGAGATAGCGACAGGACATCCACATTCTGGAAGAGCCAGATCTCATTATCAAGCAACAAGGGAAATGGAAAAGACCGGACCTCTTGAACGATAATCGTCCTGACTAGTGTTTTTGTTTCTAGATCCCAGATCTTCACATAGCCATCTTGACACCCTGCATAGATGGTCTCTTCGCGAGCTGCAAGTGATAAAACAGCACCATCACAGCAATCAAAAGTGTGCGTCAAAGTCGGGCCTGCAGGTCCACATTTCCACAGCTATACGTAGGGCGATCAATGATATGGGATCAATTGACTTCAAGTTGGTGACAGACCTTGACAGTTTCATCTCCGCTTCCTGTCACGAGCTGGATGTCAACATTCTCTGGTGATATGACGTCGTCGCATCCTTCCCTATTCGATGGCAAGAGTGCCATGCAGTAGATGTATCCGAAATGAGCCGAATCGACGACGTTTCGGGCGGGGATGTTGAGAGAGGCGCGGGGAGCTGGAACAGACAGGGTTGGAACGCCGTCACCCGAAGTAGAAGGTGTCATCGAAGGGCTGCCATTTGACGCGAAGATGTCTGCGGGACGATGTTGGTACTGGGGATAGCTGTCGAAGAATTTGTGGGCTTTGCGGGAAGGCGTTGAGGTTCCTGAGCCGTAAGAGTCGAAGAATTGCTCTCGACTGAAATCAAACCATTGGAGCGACGTGTTTTGACAGCCTATGTAAAGGGTCTGTAGGGACGAGCACCAGACGAGAGAGAAGAGATCGCCTGCTCCAGTTTCTAGATATGGGTGAAGGACGTAGATGGGTAACAGAGTGATGGTTGACCAGACCTAAGATCAGCAATTAAGGATAAGGTGGAATGGTGCAATAGTAACACATACTCTGACGGTACTATCACCTAATGAGACTATGAGACAACGACGTGTTAATGTATATGAATGTTGCGCACCTGAGGAGCTGAACAGCCATTTTTTATCTTGCGCATATTCCAGTGCCAATATGCTACCTGTGTGTCCCCTGAGCGTGGCTTTGAGTGTAAAGGATTCCTTGTCCCAAACCTAGTAGGGGAGATCAGCCTGGTTCTGACGGACGGGGCCTCAAATAGACTGACTGAGATATTGTGACATTGGGTTCCGATGAAGATGTGATCACGATCAGCAGCCAAGCTGAGCACCGAGTTGTTGCGATCACTGAGGGAATGCAAGAGATGTGGATGGGGGGCGGTGGAGGGCAAGCTGCGACTGAGAGAAGCTGTAGGTTGGGGGAGAGAGAGAGCAAATAAGGTATCGAGGGCAGACATGGCAGAATAAAGGCGTACGGTGAGGAACTGTAGGAGACAAAGACATTTCCTATAAGGCGGAACTGAGGATTTGCTGTGTGCTGATGGACGTAACGAGGTCTCCTCGAGGCGGCGTTCGTGTCCAGGCAGCGCGCCTGTCACGGCTCTTTCATTCTTACTTCTCAGATCAACGCTAAAGGTACCATTCTTTGCTCTTGCAGAGCCTTTGTCATCTAACACTATCTCACAGCGGTGTTTACTACATCTCGTTACTGTCAACCCCAAGTAAATATTACAGCCCAGGGCAAAGCTTTAAGCTTCAAACTTCGTATTTCACCACCAAGTATCCATCTTCACAGTTTCAGGCTATTCAGGACGTCCAATCAGAATCGTTATGGCGTCAGAAAAAGCAATCCTTGCAAAAAATAAGGCAGGCTGACGTGTCTTGCTCGTGATCGCAATGTCGCCCTTACCGTCGTTTCGTAGGGCAACACGGCGTTCAAAGTTGGCGACTATCCCACCGCAATCGGTCACTACACCTCTGCTATTCTTGCAGATAGCACTGATCCTACGTTTCCTCTCAATCGTGCCGCTGCTTATCTCAAACTAGGCAAGTACGTTTACTCGCTCTCGTCATCTCCGTCTGTCCTACCAGCTTCTGACTGGCATCCTATGCAGAAATAAGGATGCGGAGAGAGATTGCACTACCGTTTTGACGTTGAATCCCTTGAGCGCAAAGGCTTTTTATAGACGAGGGCAAGCCCGCTTGGCTTTGGATCAACTGACTGATGCACAAAGGGGTAAGAACATGAACACCCTCGCTCTACGTCATTGCTGATTTGCAACAGACTTCAAAGATGCTCTGAAACTAGAACCCGCCAATGATGCTGTAGCTCAAGAGCTTCACAAATTGGAACTCGCGATCTCGCAGCAGGGAGCAAAGCAGGGTCCCGCTGTAGTAAGCCTATTCATAGTATCCGCCCATGTTACATTCATCATGATTCATGAAACAACTTTCAGAAAACTGTCAACCGCGTGCAAAATGTTGATAGCTCGGCCGCTCAGCGACGGACGACGGAAACACCGAGACGTCGACGTATCCCCATACAGATAGTAGATCCAGTAGAGCATAAGGCTCCCACGCCTGCCTCGCATTCTATCCCTGCACAGGTTCCTGTTAGGATCACTGAGGCAAAGACGGATGACGGGGATATGTTTAAGCCTGTATCTTCTAGACGCATATCTCCCAGCGATGCTTCCGTACCAATAGTGACGGAAAATCCTGGGCTGGCCAATAACCCGGAACCCCAGCCGTCGGTGAAAAAGGATACATTCGAACAAGTCAAACAAGCACGCGATGCTAAAGTCACCCGGAATGGCGGGATCTTTCGTCAATCTGGAAAACACACCCTCTTTGCCACAAAAGAAAATGGCAAACCTTCGGGGTCGACGACAGGGATACCTGCGCCATCACAAGAATCGACGCGTACGAAACCTGAGACGTCAAAGGCAATGCCGACGAGTAGGGTTTCGACGCCCATGACGCTCTTTCAATTTACAAAATCATGGGAGTCTTTGAGCTCTGATTCAGACCGTTGGGAACTACTATCTGTGCGTCGTCTCATTAATGAAATATTGAACACATATTAAACCCCATGTAGCATATCCTCCCTGCTTCTATGCCCTCCCTGTTCCAATCCTCTCTCGAACCTTCCATTCTGGCCTCCCTGTTGCAAACCTTTCTTGGCGTATTGAAGACCAAGTCGGAAGAAAGCATAAACTCACGAGTGAGGCAGTATATGGAATTCTTACCCAAAGTACCACGATTTAGTACGGTGATGCTGTTTTTGAGTAAAGAAGAAAAGGGGTTCGTCGGGGAGATATGGGCAATATTAGGGACAGGAGAGTAAATTCGATGGCAGAGATGTGAGTTTAATAGGGGTAGAATATTATACAGCGTAGAGCTCGAAGTTTTAGATGTCTGACAACTTTTGATTTGTGTGAATGAGGTCTAAGTTGAACCGGAAGAGACCGAGCTAAGGTGGTTGTCCGACTTAAATATCGACGTCATCACCGTGGCAGCAATTATATGTATCACAATCCCTCTTCTCTTGAGTACCTCTTTCATCCGTGCCATAACGTGCCTACGAGCTCTTGCACTTTTTGCCATTATCCACGGCACCTATAAACACGATATATCACGGCCAAAAAGCCTTCGTAGCGATGCGAACGAGAGTAGTGGCCAGGCGAGTGAGTTATTCGATGGACCTTTCACGTTCACGTTTTTAACTCATCCGCCAGTAGCTCATATTCTCAAATCATTACCGCCCAACTGACTCCTCGGCGCCCTCGCGGTTTTTCGGCGCGCAGCAGTTTCTGGTAGATCCAATCCGAACTGAATACCGGGACACACGCATTTTGTTTTCTCAGTCTGCGATTTTTACTGCGGTGCAGATGGTGGGCAGACCCCGGCGGCCAGTCTGTAACTAATAACTTGGACCAGGGATCTAATCATCATGATGAAGCACTGATAAATCAACATGACATTGTACGAATACTCAGCGTGCAAATTACCGCTACAGCATACAAAAGGCGCATCAATCTTAAAAGCGTTAGAAGTGTCTACAACGCCGTCATACGGGCCTACATTTACTCCGCTCGTCCCTCTCAGGCTCTCACAAGAAGTTCGTGATGATCGTACCAGGTACAATTTCACGTGCCCTACGGGCGTCATTAAAAAGTGCCATTGGATGCATGGCCAGTCAGTGTATAATAAATCCAAGGCGTCTACCTTCTTACACCCTTCCCGCCACATCTTCGACACTTTTCACTTGGCATCTTTCCAATCGCAGGAGATACCAGCCTTTCGACTCCGACTCCACTACAAGAGTTCCTCAGGGTGTTTCACTCTCTGCTCTCCAGAAGATTGGATGACGCAAATTGATTCCGCCGATATTCGCTACAGTACATTCAACGACATTAGTGGCAACAGTCATCAGGTCAACAACAACATCGACGGCAATGGTGCAGTTATCAACCAGTATATTCACCATTCTCGTATGAGTTTTGTGCATGCCTTATTCTTCGGCTGCCTGTTAATATATAAATATACAGCTCAAGAAAGGCAGCGACTCGCAGACTGGCTGTCTCCTCTAAACTTCCCTCAAAGACAAAATGACATTTTCGGGAAAAGACGAGAAGGCACAGGGGATTGGGTTCTCGACGATGAAAAATTCAAGGCTTGGCGGGATGGAGAGATGAGAGTTTTATGGTGTCCTGGGATTCGTGAGTGCTTTGAAGTCATTGCCAAGTTCATGCCATTAATTTCAAGATTACAGCTGGTGCTGGGAAGACCTTCCTTGCGTAGGTTTTCTTGCCACTATCAAAATCCATCTTTACTCATTTTTGCGCTGCCCCAGATCAAGAATAATTGATCACCTGATCAGGCAGCGCAGAAACGATAGTGTCGCAGCGGTCTTCATTTACTGCAACTACATGGAACAAGCGGTACAAACTGTTCACAGCCTTCTTGCAAGCCTTCTAAAACAGCTAGTTCAAGTATCACAACCTGTCTTCGATCGTGTCAAATCACATTACGAAACGGATCGGAAACAAGGCGTCTCCCCAAACATTCATGATGTTTTTGGCACTTTAAAGGCGGAAATCAAGTCCTTTCCCGAAGCTTTCATTGTTGTTGACGCTTTAGACGAGGTTACAGAAGACGACGACACTTGCTTTGAGCTTCTTCGCAAGCTTCAGTCCCTAGAAGTCAACTTACTGATAACTTCACGTGATCTGGACTCAATCAGGTTGGCTCTTCCTGATGTCGAGCAGATGCCTATCCATGCACATGATGATGATATGCGTCGGGTTATAGAAGGCCGTATCGATACAAGGACATCACTGCGCACCCTCATAGCTAAAGACCCCTCTCTCAGAGAAGAGATAATCAATGAGCTCATAGTAACTGCAAGGGAAATGTAAGTGTTTATTTCGTGTGCTTGAGACTAAAACTTCACACCTGAAGCCAAGGTTTCTATTATGCTCTCTGTATATTGAGCTGCTATCGCACAAGATGACACCGCGAGCCATTCGAACGGCGCTGCAAAACCTACCGAAAGAGGTTCACGGTGCTTACGATGAAACAATGAAACGGATCAGGGGGCAAGGACCGGATTGTCTAGAACTTGCGTTGACGGCTATCATGTGGATTGTTCATGCCTTACGACCACTTGGAATCAAGGAGCTGCTTTATGCTCTGGCCTTCTCTGCAACAGACGTACTTGAGGTCGATGACGACGATCTTGTGCCTGAGTCATTCATTACGAATGTCTGTGCTGGACTGGTTGTGGTTGATGCGGAACATTCAGTGTTCCGCTTGGTTCGTGAGTTTCATGATTCATATTTTTCCAAGTGGCGTCTATTCACTGGTACCTACAGACTATACAGCGCAGGAATATTTTGTACAATATAAGGAATGGTTATGCTCAGATCCTCAAGCAGAAATCACCAATGCCTGCCTGCGGATTCTAGGATCATCATTTGCCGTAAATTTGGACAAACGTATTGGCAAATATGCTGGACAGAACTGGGGACATCATGCACGCGGACCTGTCGAGGATAGCAACAAAATCATAATACGTGAATTTCTTTCTTCGAAGCAGAAAGTGAAAAATGCTCTGGCATATTACCCTAATCGCCGTATCGCCTTCTTTGATTGCGCCGGGGGCTCCGCCCTACATTTATGTGCCTTCTTCGGTTTGGCACGAACCACTGCCTACCAGTTAGAAAACGGAGCTGCAATAAATAAACACGACGACTGGGGTAGAACTCCGTTACATGTCGCAGGAGCACGGGGACATGCTTCTGTAGTGAGGTTGCTGCTTTCTGGAACCAGCAACATTAATTCGAAGGATAGCATGCGTGATACACCACTTTGCGCTGCAACTAGACAAGGACATGTTGAAGTCGTTGAACTGCTGTTGACAAGACGTGATGTGCATATTCACCCAAAGCACCCGAAGATCGACAATGCACCACTCTTCATCGCAGCTCGATCTGGGTATGTAGATATATTCGAAGCTCTGGTGGCTTAGGTTGAGTTGAGCGTGGACTGTAAGCACGATTGGCATTGGAGCGCGTCACTCTCTGCTGCAGCCCTGATGGGGAATGTGGCAATAGGTAAAGTTCTCCAGGGCAGGCATAATATGGGTGTGAACTGGAAAAGTGATCAAGGTCGGCAGTCACCATATGTTGCATCACAAAGTGGGCATGTGGGCCCACAAAGGGGACATCATGATGTGAAGGCCAATGGAGTTCGCTGTTGTTAATGGCTAGCAAAATATCTACAACCGGTGGAGTTGGGCGCCACTCTTCGCCTCACCAGAAGAGATTGGCCAACGTTTGAAGCATACCGTGACTTCGATGGGCGAAGTGGCTGGAGTGACCAAATTTCGGTTCTCAGTGCTCGAAGACCGATTGGTTTTACCCAACGTTCGACGCGGCGGATTTTCACCGAGTCCCCAGGCCTCTAGCTCCAAAAAATAACACACAAGGTAAGCAAAATCAACCATGTAGTTGCATATCTTTACTATTCATGCATATACAATAGCGAGGCGAGAACACGACCACGAGATGAGAACAACCCAGCTTCAAAGTGAAGAGACAACTAAACTAACAACACCACACCACACAAACCAACTGAAAGGAACCGAGAAAATACAAATGGGGAAGGCATAGAGAGGAGAAACGGCAAAAGGGGGGGCATAGAGAGGAAATACAGCAATGAGGGGGAGGGGGGGGGAGGGGAACACTCCAGAGGTGGACACTCGAGGGAGGGCCAGACAATGAGTTGATGTGTCGTCTGGGTCTCCCTCGACTGGTGTGGCTGTGGTGGTAGTGGTGCGGAGGAGGAGGAGGAAGCAGGAAAGACAACAAAGGTTAGCCAGACTAGTGTAGAAGCATCTGTAGTATTTTTCGGGCCTTGTATTGGTCATGGATGCCAAAGTTTGGTTTGGTACTGACAAAACCAGATAAACCCTGTCTCTGCTAAAGCAACCATTGTTCTCCATGGAGCATAGCCACCACTCCATGGAGTCGCCATTGTTCTCCTAGGAGTCTTTATACCTTATTGAGTAGCACCTCCGACTATAAGTAGTAGGGGGTTTAGTATAGGAATACTTCAGCTTACTATAACCTCTTGGGCAGCAGCTGAGGTATGTTACATTACATTTATTAGAGATCATGGTGGCACACATGGCCGACCTTGATAGTATGGAGCCGAGAAATGGGAAGAGGCTATAAATAAGGAGTTAGACAGGCTAAAGACAGCCAAAACCTGGACCTACACTGAAAAGCCAAAGGATGCAAACATAGTGGGCAGTAAATGGGTCTTCAAGGTGAAGAAGACCGCAGTTGATGATGAGAACTGTTGTTAGAAAACCACACACAAAACAAACTAACACACAATCCTCCCAGATTCCACGGAACTTGTTTATGGGCTTTGCCTCCTAGAACAGTGGGTGCTCTGGTTGTTCGTGGGGTGGTATGTATGATGATCCTTCAAAGTAAAACCCAGAGATGTATGGGTGTGGGTTTTGAGGAGGAGGGATAGTTGGAATGTAGAAGATAGGGGCTTTGTGGCGAGTATAGGATGAGCAATCACTACCTTGCTAACTGTAGCACAAGGTAGGTTTGAGAACAACAAGATGACGAGGTGATGAGGTTCCCAGTGATAGCAGGCTCCTGACGCACAAACTGTAGTGCTCAGAAGGACTCTAATTGAAAGGGATGATAATGATTTCAAAAGTGGAGAGTGACGATGACAGCAGATAACAGTGGTAGCAGTGGGAAGCATTGTGACCATACTGGATCACAAGTAGCAGAGTAGTGAACTTGAGATTTAGAGAAGAAGTCTGAATTCAAGTTCTTGTTGTTTTTTTTTTTTTTTTCAAGGTAGAATACAGGGGTTTATATAGTAAAAGAAAAGTAGGCTATGCACAGTATAGCTGTGCAAAAATAATGAGAAAGAACATGAAGGAAGGAATGTACGCTGACAAATCCTGCGTAGGTAGTACAGGATAAGATTGTCAAAAAAAGGAAAAGAAAAGGATAGAACAATGAATGCTGTGAGTAATGTCACAGGTTTGTACAGCCATAAAGTAAAGTCCAATAGCAAAAAGAGAGCAGGAAAATCATGATGTCATGGGAAGATGCAGTAAAAAAAGGGCAAGGCAAAACACTATCAGTATCAACGCAGTTCCTTTATTGTCAGTCAGGCATTCTAAAAAAATATGTGTCCATAAAAATGATTCAAAAATCAAAAATAATCGCACTGTAAATGAATGTTCTGCTGAAAAAAAAGAAACTGGAGCCACCAGTCCACCACCTAGTCCAAATCCGACAGTTCCATGGCCTTACCAATGGACTGGTTGTGTTGGACCACCTGGTCAAACGAGGGAGGGAGAGGAGTAGTTCCAATTTGGAACAAGTGAGTCCCAGGCAGCGTGTGGTAGGTGTAGCTGTAGCAAAGACAATGGACAAAAGATAAGTGTACCCAAGTGAATGGGACAGCAATGAACATGGGCGACGCAAGGGGATGAACCTTCTCCAGCTCAAAAACTACCCACCCACACTCCAACCAGGCGAAACGAGCGACTGATGTTTTGATAGTATATGATGGCAGATCAATGTCATGAAGATGGACCTGTTGCCCTATTTGGACCGGCCGCCGGGGCTTTGCTGATATCAGCAGTGGCACGTGGTAGTCAACGGATTGGCGACGGAAGCAGATAGGAAGTGGTGACATCAGAAATGGTGGGGGTGCAAATAAGATGAGGAGGAGGAGGAGGGTGGAGGTGACGGAAAAGTGGATTAGAATGGGGATCCAGAAACGACCGTCAGGTGAGAATAAAAAGGAGAGGAAGGGGCCCATGGTGGGGCTAGGCAAAGGAAGGGGAGTAAGGGAAACAACAAAAGCGAGGGCGTAATGCAATGTGTAGCCAGTAGAGACGCAAAAATTTGCCAAAATGCCGAAATGCGGAAAGTACCGGACGGAAAAGCAAAGGTGAGCGTGACTGGATTGCCTAATAGAGGTGGTGCTGATCAGCCACAAGTTCAAAAAGGGCAATATTAATTACTATTCCACGTGGCACTGTGCCTGTGTGGCGCAAAGGCGAGTCTTTTTGAATATTCGCTTCGTTATTGACACCTGTCCATGCTACCAATCAACTTTGGTGCATGACACTGCTTCAGGACCCATCGACAAATACAAAGCCCAACTTGTAGCGCAAGGCTACAGCCAAGTTGAAGGAATCAATTATTTTGCACCTGTAGCAAAGATGGCATTACTACAAATAATATTAGCAACAGCCGCAAAAAATGACTGGGAAATTCACCAGATGGACATTAAGAGCACCTATTTGAATGGAAAACTCGAAGACAATGCGGCAACCACCTGGTTACAGTGCCTGTAGTTGAGAATTCATGGTATTATGCCTGAATAAAATGCTGTATGGCTTGAAACAAGCTGGTCGCAGATGGTATCAAACCTTATGCAACAGACTCCCAAAAGTAGACCTGGTGCACTGCAAAACTGACTGTGCAGAGTTCTACAGGCAAAATGGAAAGGAGCTCACCATTGTTGCGGTGCATGTTGATGACATGACCCTGGTTACACCATCTACAGTCGAGATGAAATGTTTGAAAAGTGGCCTGGCAAAACTGTTTGATGTCAGCAATCTAGGGGAACTACAATGGATGTTGGGGATGGAGGTTAAAAGGAACAGACCTACCCATACCATACATCTATTGCAGCAAGGCTACATTGATACTATCATCCGACATTTTAACCTAGAGGATGCAAAATCATTAGCAATCACTATGGTGGTGAATACCTACCTTACAAAAGACCAAAGCCCCCAAATGCATGACGACTTCACCACAATGAAAGACGTCCCATACAGGGAAGTTATTGGCTCCCTGATGTATGCTGCAATCAAAACTCATCCCGACATTGCGCATGTGGTGGCATTCTTATTGCTCTTTATAGAGAACCCAGGCCCTGCTTATTGTGAAGCAGTGAAACAAGCCATTACGTATCTGAAAGGAAGTAAAGGCCTCTGGTTAACATATGGTCCTGAGGAACAACATCTCACTGGTTATTTGGATGCTGATGGGAGTATGAGCAAAAATTGTTGAGCCATATATTGGTTTCTGGAACAGCAGGAAATTGTTGCTTTGTTCACAACAGAGGCTGAATATGTTGCAGCCACACATGCAATGAAAGAAATCCTGTGGATGCAGATGTTTATCACTTTATTTGGCATGCTGCTGAGGATGGAAAGATTGAAGATATGACAGCTAATATGCTCGCAAAAGCCCTTCCTTCTGTTAAAGTCAAACACTTCGCTAGCGTGCTTGGACTCCATATGGCTTGAGGGGGAGTGTTGGAGGAATAAGGGAGATACAAACCTCATACAGCATAGTACAAAGGCAAGAAGTGGTGCAGGCACCAAATTGGGAAAGCCCAGTAGTTGAGGTGGCCCGTGCACCTAATATACTGCATCAGAAAACTTTTGGTTCTGTCTTCACTTACATCACAAAAGTTTATATTGTTTGTCATCCTGAGTCATCACCAATGAAATCTGTTGTCACTAGTGTGATAACCAGATGAAAGACGCAAGTGAGATTTTTGCACTTTTGCACATTACTACCAGCTATTACAAGTTATCACAAAATTATCAGATTTCCTGATGACTGAGTGAGGTTTCACTTAACAATAACTCGGATTCAGATAGAACTGACAAATATATAGCAGTACCTCATTCAGTTTGGCGCCTAGGTCGCCATATCTAGGAATATTTATCTATTTATCTCGGCATCTATTTATTAAATGGTTATCTCCAGGGCTACTTTTCAGATACTGTATGCTGAGTGCTATCTTAGCATAATCCATCATGACATACGAGTAGTGCATTCAAGGTCTGATAAGAGAGCATGACGCAACATACTGATTGCTGGCCCAACGGGTGTAAATCTGACGCGATACTGTGTTTCCACGATATGACGGGAAATCGGTGACGGGCTGTAGGGAATTTGCCGACTGGTTTTCCATCCATCGCGATGTGGGAAATCAAAATTGTGTGACATGCATCGCCAAAGGGATATCTTGGCCTGCTTGGAAGCCCCAGATATGTGTTTTTCGCCTTGGAAGTGACACAATGTTGATGTCAAGGGGACTGAAACCGTAACGTGCCTGAGAGCATAAGTAATGCGCCAGCGACAACAATGAAATTCCGAGTGTTGGAGTGCCTCCTAAAAGACCCTGGGACGGGTGCAAGAGCCCGTGTGATCCAAGACTAGACGCAGCCCAGAACAATCGCGATATTGGTAACTGAAGCTGAAACTTGCTAAGTGAACTGAGATAGAGGTTTGCCGTCCTACGACTGGCAACTGCAAGAGAAAGGGAGGAGTGCCGGCGGTGGGCACACGTGGCTTTCCGGCAACAAGCGGTAAACGACGGTAATCCAAGTCACAGCCACAGAGGCAGAGGCAGCGGGCATTTGTTGCTGGGACGGTTGTATATTGACACCCGATCGTTGCCTGAAAGCTTGCCAAAAACATAATCCCCGGTTTCACCCTTTTTCTGCATTTTGGCTGGGCAACATACCAACACAAGCGAAAGAGGTACATTTCTGCCAACAATTCCTGTCTTTCCTTGTGGGGAAATCACATAGGCTCGCTGATAGTCTAAGGGTTTAGGTTTTACATACAGGACATCATGAGCGAGAACGCGAATGTGAGTAATGTCCGTTAGTGCCAAGCTTTTAGCACGGAACTGACCCCTCTCCTTAAAAAAACAGGCTTCAGCTCCCTCTGCTGACGCCGCCACCAGTAGAAAGTTTCTCAACGCACAGGTAAGCGCCACTCCTTTCCTCTTCCCCACCACCATCCCCGCCGCATTTCGAGCGCCCGTCACACAACCATGTCCGATCCTTCTTCGTCCGACACTGTGTCTCGTCCTCGTCGGCGCAGCTGGATGCTGCGGTACAACTCGCCGAGAGACACGGCTCTGGACAACGATTTACCTTCTCCTTTAGAGGGAAAGGAGCTCTCGTTCACTCCAAGTACCAGCAGCACCAGCTTGGCCCGGTCAGACTCGCTTTCTAGACCAACTACACCAAGACGTTTCTCTACGTCTTCAGTCGGCCACTTACTGACACCCTCTACCTCTACTGCTTATCAATCCCCGCAGCTGGATCAACAGGCATCACAACTTATCCTCAATGCGCTAGACAGAAATGGTTCGAACCAGCCGCCGTCATCTAGCATCTTGTCCCCTTCGCTATCGGCGGGCGGTCTCAGGGCACCTGAGATGAACGCACGCACTTCTGGTTCCTTTGGGAAAATGGCTTTCAACTCCATGATGGGTGGCCTTTCTGTACTCTCCCTGTCCAGGACAAGCACCAACAACAATGATGAAAGAGATAAAGATAGAGAAAAGGACAAAGATAAGGAATCTCGCGGCCGATCTCGGTCTCAGGATAAACGCAAGTCTCGCTCTTCGTCCTTTGCTCTTCCCAACCGCGAGAAAGACAAAGATAAGGACAGCGCTTCGACTACCTCTAAAGAGTCAAACCGCGCACGTTCTCAGTCGCCGTTCAGCCTCCGCAGATTCCGTTCGCGTGACCGTGATACTTCACCTACACCTCTCCCCCTCGAAGATTCTGACTATGAGTCCTCCAGCAGCCGCCGTACCCCGGCCATAAGGCCGCGGACGGCATTCACAGATGATCCTGATTCAGGATCCGAGTTCGCCGGCGATGAGACAGAAGATGAAGATGACTACTGGAGTGACGATCAGGCGGGGAAGTTTGATCCCGTGACTGAACGAAACACCGAGCAGAACGCATTAATTGCGGCACTTGGTGGTGACGGTGTCATGATTGGGGAGATGGATCCGGACGGGGACGGTGGAATGGAACCAGATCCATTGGGAGAAGGTGTTAACGTTGTCGTCCCCCCTGAGCCGTATTTTCCTAGTACACTTAATCGCTCCAGCTTCGGTTCACTCAAGGGAAAGCGGGGCGGACCCAAACGTAAAAGCTCACGTCACCATGAGACTTTGCCCCTGGCTACCTCGAGACCTATCTTCCAGCGTGACAGGTGTACCATAAAGGTCGCTCAAGGAGACCCGGATGCTTCAAACAGGAGACGAAGACTCTATATCGTTGCGAGTGATTTGAGTGAAGAGAGTAGGTATGCCCTTGAATGGGGCATCGGGACAGGTCTGAGGGACGGTGATGAAATGTAAGTTTGACCAGTTGATGCCGCATTACATCTTGAGAGCTTCTTATAGGCTAATCGTGACGGTTGTCGAGAACGAGAATAAGAGTGAGTGGTGTGTATGATGATTATTCACACTTTTGCTTACTCGGTGTTTCAGTTGATCCGCCCATCCCCAATGCCACCGATCGAGCCACCAAGCTACGCAGTCAACAAGAAGTATGTGCAGCTCCATTCTTCCATTCTATCGGTTATTAATGCACACATTAGCGTCAAGGTTTAGCATATATTCTTGTCCGCCAGGCCACCTCCCTCCTCCAGCGTACAAAGTTGAACGTTGTAGTGTCATGCCAAGCATGGCATGCGAAGAACGCTAGACATATGTTATTAGACATAGTCGACTATAATGAGCCGACGATGTTAATCGTGGGTTCTCGAGGTTTAGGAAAGTTGAAAGGGTGACTATTTTTTCACGGTTGAAGTATTTCATCTTGCTGAACTCGGCGCTTGTTCATAGAATCCTTCTCGGCTCAACTTCGCATTATTTGATTCAAGTGAGTTCATATTTATTTTCGTCCGGTGGGGCACGGCTTAATTATTGACCGCTCCAATTCACAGCGCTGCTCTGTCCCAGTCATGGTTGCTCGTCGCCGCTTGAAGCGTCCCCCCCGACGTTCAGCCCATCTGGCTAAGCACCGCGTGCACGTGTCCCTCGCTGAGGCTGGTATCGACAGAGTCGCCGCGAAGGTCGATCAGGATGTTGCGGTTATGCGAGATGAAATGCAACGCGATGATGAAAGGAGAGATAGTACTGAGGGTAGGGCAATCGTCGAGGAGGGCGAAGGTGAAGAGGGCGAGGAAGGCGAAGGAGACGGAGCGGAGGGTGAGGGTTATCTGGGGACGAAGGTGAGAGGTTGAGGTGGAGTGTCAGCGACCTGGAATGCATGAGTACTATCTATTTGTTTGTCTTTCCCCTTTTTCTTTTGACCATCATATCTCTTGAATCCGTCAGTGGCATCGTGGAGGTGCATATAGCACGCACGACGTTTCGGCTCATTTCTTATACCCTTTATACAAGAACCTCGTCTGTGTAGCCCACCCCTCTCACTCATTGCACAAACAACAAACACTCTAGCTTTTTAAGATCGTTTGAGACTATGTTATGATAGTACTTTTTGTACTACTGTATAGCATAGTATGTAGATTGTGTTTATGTCACTACAGACTGTAGTACATGTTTTTTTTTTCGATTTCATGAGGTGTGCAAGTCACCATAGAACTTTGCATTCATCCTGTTGGGTGATCTTATTATATCAGTATGATGACCAGGCGCTTGCGCGCTTAAGCCTGACCTGAACGTGAACACTTCCGAGTCCGAGCTGACAAGCCCGAAAGATGAAAATCGCGATTTCATGGTCAAATATTCAAAGTGTCCCATGTCATTTCCTGTAACGAGCCATGTCCTCGCTATCGTATCTCATCAACAGCCCGAATAATCCAAAAGCACATCAGCCTCTCATTCTATTACAATCAACAAAAGCCCAAACATGTCTCCCTGTTTTGCGTAGCCTGATCAAACCGGCAAAGCCTCCATCGCAGACACTTCTCTTTTGCTTCTTGTATCCTCCCAGCACTCTGACAGACACTGATTTCCAAAAGCTGGATGTCAGCGATAATGGACTGAAGATCTTCGATTATACAGCGAGCATTCCTGGATACGATGACCAGTGGTCTGATCACACTGAATCCATATTATCTACCGTAGAATCTGGTGAGAGATATACTCCGAGGCCCTAATGTGTCTGATACGAATGACTTCGTCGATTAGCTCCTCCAGGAACTTTGAACGTGATAATAGACTCGCTTGATACGCTCGCGTCCGATATTTCATCTACTCAAAAAGCTTACAAGTTTGTACGGAGGTTACTTACACTGGTCACTGCCCGGCAACGTAAATTAAATCTCTCCATCTACTAGTCTACCGCTCACCGTCACATTATTCGACCTATATAGATCCATCCTCTCTTATCGCTCACCTTCTTCCATGTCCTCTCCTTCCGCCGCTGACTCAGACTAGTCTTTCTCCAGCACTCTTACATGCCATCGCGCACGCACCCGCCCTCCTGTCCCATATTGCCACTGCTTACATGACGCCTCCTCCGCCTGCTGGTCCACCTGAGAAATTCTGGGGTGTCTTCATCCCAATCGCCGAACGTTCGTACGAGAGTGAACGTCTCATTTTTGGACCCGATGGTGAAGGTTCCTCAGGAGGTGCGTGGGCAGGAAACGGAAGTGGAAGTGGAAGTAGAAGCGGGAAAGCAGATATGAGAGAGATGGTAGTAGAGGTGCTCGTGCGAGGCAAAGGGGATGGGCGTAAACGGGCGGTTGAAAGAACTTTAGAAGGGTGGAGAGGTCAATGTCCTTGTGAGCTGGAGGCACTGGAGAGCTTGAAGAGTGTGATGCTACGCAAAAGAGTCGAGCAAGTCAGTTTAGGCCATGTATAACATGTCTGCTTCCGTCGTCTCTTCACTGACGAAATTTTTCCTTTTGCACGTATCTTAGGCTGCACCAGACCCCACACAGAATGTTTCTTTCAAACTCTCGCTCACTCCGTCCCAAGAGAAATCTCGAGCGCAAGTTCCCCTTCCATACGCACACGAAGGTAAAGATATTCATGACCTCATAAAAGACCTTAAATTCATTCATTTCTAGGACAAGCCTCGAATACTACTTCCAGTTCTTCTACGCCAGCCACTATTCTGTATGATCCAGATTCTGCGGATGATCTGGATGATGATGATCCGGATGAGGACTTGAACATATAGAAAAACTGTATTCATCCATGATGTTTACCGATGGAGAGCTATGCTGAGATGTTCTTGGCTGATAGATAATCACTTATTTATTAGGCCTACATAATTAGTAGCAACGCCAGACAAGTCGGTTCTTATCCAGGTGTATGCGAAACCTTTCTTCTTTCCTAGCGTAACGATAATGCTGTCCTATGCAGCCATGTAGACTCGTAATTGTACGAATCAGTTTAGCCACATAGGACAGCATAATTTCATACAACTATGCTTGCGAAGTTTCGTTCGGATCAATCACAAGGACACACATCAACGTGAATTATGAATATACTTCCCCGCATCGATATACCTTTCCCCAAGAAGTTTGCCGCCCGCATACCAATTGGGTTAATCTATTTTTCTGTGATCCGGAGGACAAAAAATGACTTGATGAGCATGTACTGATGGCACGGGATACTGCTTGGCCAGAGTTGGCCAGCAGAGGACCTGAGTAGCCTCGAATGGGTGTCGAGACTACTGTACAGCCGCATAACGAAATACTTCCCTTGGTCCGCCCGAAGGACCTTGCCAGGTGATGGCTTTCACCTCTCTGGTTGTGTTCTTCCCCTGCTGAATCCCAACTACAGACCATCCGATCGGCTTGGTGTCGTGTGTGCTCCCCAATTGCAAATGACAATTTCAAGGACAGACACATTTTCCCCTGCGGAATCAAAAGTAAGTGGTTTAGGTAATGAAAGAATGACAATACAGACTAAGCCCATCCAAGGTTTCTCCGATATAGAGCCTCCATTGAGACCCCCTATGAGGTTGGAACGATGGTGAGGAATATTGGTATGTACCTCCTTACTCTACTTCACCTGCATTCCGTCCAGCTCGGGATTCAAGTAGGCAAAGTACATTCTGTACAATATCGGAGGTCAAGTGGTAGGTCAATTACGTGTACTATTGCCATTTTTATGCCGATAGATAGGTAGTGTTGACTTCATCAAGCTATTGGCCCACATGCTACGTGACGTGTGAAGTGAATCAAATACTGAAAAAGCACTATTGACGACGGCCGCAATTTCACTACACTTGTTCAACGAACGGCTGCGATCTTTGACCGCCTTTTGGCCCGTCAAAAATTGGTGCGACGGTGATGCGCATTTAGCCATAACAAGTTCTTCTGATGGCCTGTCGCTTTAACTTTGAAACTTAAGAGCTGACATTTCTCAAATTGTGCTTATGAAATGAGTGGCGAGCTACCGTCATTCATCGATATTCATTGAACGCATTCCCTTAGCTTGTATTCGTCCGTTGAATTTAGTTCCTCATACCAACAGCCACGCGAATGACACTGCCAGGACTTTTCGTACCGGAACATATTCTATTAAGTTCAAGTCTTGCGACCTCGTTCCTTCAGAGGCTGTAGTGACCCCTCGTTCTTAGCCTAATCACACAGCTTATTTTCCCTCCGATTGGGAGTCGAAATACTATTTCACTGAATAATATTGTAGCATGTATGGAAAGAGTTCGTACCTGGAAATAACGCGTATATTATAAAAAGCCTCCAGAGGTATACAATTCAAAGGGTTAGCGGTGGGAGATCTGGAGATTATCATAGCCAAATTGACTGGAATAGGGACCTATTCGATCGGTTTTAGCTGTAGCCCGTGACCTCCACGGTTCCTATCCGATTGTATTTCATCGACTGTATATTTAATCCACTGTTCTGTGGTCCACTGTGCTTGGTATCTGCAAAAAATAATTGTCATCATACTCATCATAAACAGAAGCACACTCACCCTAAAACGCGGCGTGCACGAGAGTCGTCTATGGTGATATCAGCCATGAACTCTAGAGTTGCTGGTTGGAGATACACAGATTCACCCATCCAACGTGGCTCTGGTGGAGGAGGACGACTCGTTAAAAGAAGATATATGGGTAATAAGATATAGTAGCGCAGATATATAAAGAATTCCACGATGTGTGCCAGGAAGAATATCGCCAGCTCGGGCACATCATCGAAAATAAGGGGCTTAGTGGAGTAATGCTGCATGAAACAAATCAAAAAAGTATCACAAGTCAGAAGTCTTCGAGCCACGGACTATAATCATCAGAAAGGGCTAACTCTGATGGCTTCACGGGTATCCCGCATACTCCAAGCCGGTGATTTACCGGTGACCAGGAACGCTTGACCGACCGTTTCTTCAGGGATACGACATAATGCATCTTCAAGTAAGAGGTGAGCCGAAACAGCGTCCCAGGCGCAGATATTGGTGTGTTTGAATCGTTTTCCAAAGATAGGTACGCGGGGCATCATGAGGGTACTGGTACACAAGCGATCGTTGGGACCTGTGATGGTACTGCAATGGAGATTGAATACAGGTTTGAACGATTGAATTGTGGAAATACGCACTAGCCAGGGCGAATAATGCCCGTCTTGAGACCTTTCTGTCCGTTGGCTTCAACAATGAGGCGCTCAGATATTATTTTCGACCTGGCATAATTACTCTCACGGCACCCCCACGAAGATAACGGGATAGCGTTGTCGTTGACCACAATCGAGCTGGAACTTGCATCCAAACCTACATGGCAAGACTTTGCACTGTGAAGCACAGCATCTGCAGTGGATGTGTATATCAAGGTAGCTCCAGATATCTGTTTAGCAGCAGCGATGATGTTTTTTGTCCCAACGACGTTGATGCCATAGGATATGGGCCACGAAAAGCTGTTGCGTTCCCAGAAGCGAATTATGACGGCCATGTGGTATATTACAGATGGTGGAGACCCTGTACTTTCGAAAGGCTGCAACAAGGCATTGCGAACGGAAACGGCAGATGTGATGTCCGTTCTGACATATGAGACTGACCGATTGGATATTATTTCAGGTGGAGGTGGACGAAGGTCCAGAACTCGTATATTTGTCTCGCCGCGAGATAGAAGCAGACGGACGAGGTAGCTAGCAAAAGGGTAATCATGAATATCTTGGAATCCTCAGCGCTAGCCTCTAGCGCGCTCACGTTCCGAGAAAACCTGAACCGCCCACGACAGCATAGCCTTTCTGCGTTGCTGGAGGTACAGTTTTTGTGAGATCTATTTCGTCGTATGACACCTTATCTAATTGCTCTGGTGTCAATAGAGGTGCCTTGAGAGCAGGACCCTTCAGACGCTTGTTGAGAGACCAGATGTAAAGCGACGATAGTAAGATTAAAAGGTAAGAGAAAAAACTGGGCATATTGACATGACATTCAAAAGCAAAGAGAGAGATGCAAATTTGGGTCGTGTCAAATGGAAAGTACAGTCCATCGCGGTAAGCCCCGGTGAGCGTGGCGACCACTATCGCCATAATTTCAAACCCAGCGAACACTCCGGTTGCCCTGGCGTCTAGGAACGATTTGAAAGTTGCTCTCGTCCCCCATCTTGTGGTTCTGGGTTGGTCATAGCCAGCTGGTCGTCGGTCACCGCCTTGGGCACTGGGGATGTGCGCTCGATGAATCTAAACTCATCATGACTGTGGCACTTACTCAATTATTGACACTCGGACTTTCTGGATCTCAGCGGTGCGTGAAAAAACCATTCGACTAGTAGGGAGTCCAGATATACATGTGTCTTATGATTATGGCGAGTTATTTGTGACATGCCTTCAAGTAGCTAGTCCTTCTAATTGAAACCTGACAAGGGTCACTTTTGCCGCTTCACGAGCTTACCTATGAGTAGCAAGGGACGCCCTCTGAGTAGTTCCTGGCGGTTATCTCTCAATAATATCATCTCTTCTATAATAGGCTACTGCAACCGCAAGCCTCGATAACCCCAGCGGTAAGCTTTCTTATTCGATCCATAACTTCATAACGATATCTATGGTATTTGTATCCCAAACTATTTGATAAATCGTGGAAATGCTAGGAACAACAACGAAATGTTCCATGTGCCTCGGCAAAATGAATTAAATCAGAAGCAGTATAACGAAAAGAATATTTCGAGGTAAAGTATGCTAGGCCCGGTTACCTCGGTGTTGGAGTGACACTGCTTCAGTACGTATTTTATGAATATCGCACTTTGCTAATTTCCAGCACCGCTTCTCATTCAATGTTGAATAAAACGTGACGTATGTTGTGAAAGTTACTTTGAGTGGACTCGAACTTGAAGAGAAATGCAGCTTCAAGTTGATACCTTCTTGACGAATAGATGTCTTTTTTTTTTTTTTTTTTTTTTTTTTCGTGTGCGAAATATAATGTGGAGAATCGACCGGTGATATTATTTGGTAGTCTCCCCACTGGCAGTTAGGCCAATTTGTTGATATGAAAGTCGGCATCGGTAAATAACTATTTGGTTCGTAAGGGATCATATGAAAATGTCAGGGACGGAAGCACAGTCGGAAAATATCCGAATGTGGACCTACACCGCTGGACTCTGAGAAGGGCATTGTAAGTTTTGTCTTTTGCGAGTGGCCCCCCAGGCTAGTGTCTGACCTGTTTTTTCAGTATTTCTGGATTACAGTCAAGTCGGACTGTCCTTCGAGCGTCTGGTTGTTTACGATACCGATAACAGATAGCAGCCATATCAGGACAACCCTCGTGAGACTCGTGAGACATGAGGTGAGCCAGACTATGGGAAATAATCTGTGCTGGCCTGTCAACTAATAATACTGCCTATTAGTAAACGAGCAGGGAGATAGTGTACAAATGTGATCAAAATCTGTACGACTCCTTACGATGAGCAGGTTAAAGTCGAGACCAGACCGCTGTAAACGTACATGTACGACAGGAGCGGTGCAAAAACGAGCATTGACGAGTGAATTCAGTGCCAGCGATTATCCATCGGTAATTGCCGAGTCGGATCCAGTATGGACTTTGGACCCGAAAAGACGGAGTTGCCCCGCTTCGAGTGAATTGCATAATAACCTGGCGACGATCCACTGGCACTTCTTCTTGCTTTACTTCATGCCACTCTTCCTTTTCTGTTCTTGCACCAGACCACGATGAACTCTCAGGAAAACACAACGCCCACACAGGCTGAGCTGGATAACTTGAGTGTGCTTTTTATCGGGTTTGTGGTCGCGACCGTACTCTATGGGTTGACCTTCTTTCGTAAGCTTTTCCCCTTTTCTCTCTGATTTGCGTCAGCTCAAACCCTTGTTAAGAGACTTACATATATTTTTCACGTTATCCAAAAGATGATCTGTGGATCAAAGCGACAGTGAGCGCATAACATGTCGAGGTTAGAGACTAAAACTAAAGCATTCACAGGTCGGATTGCTTTGGTGAGCTTATAACGCGATATAATATTTCGATTTGTAAGCTTAGTATGTGTAGTGCAATCGACACGACGACGTCTGCTTTGAGTGAGTATCTAATTAATTATACTCGTGTACCGAGACTCAAGCCATCTTAGTGTCTCAAGCGTACGCATCGTGTTTCGTCATTTGGACCGTTTCCTCACTACCGTTTTATCAGATTATACTACTATCTGGTCACTCTCTTTACTGTGGACATAGAATTTTTGTTTGCTACAACGTAAGCTTCTTTCATCTATGTCACGTTGAGGTCTGTCTCACGTTTTCCCACCAGGTCGTTCTGTGTAAGTTCTACAAATGATCTACGCTACTTGGTTCCTTTGATCAAACCTGCTTCAGGTCGAGAATGGCTTAGCTGTAAGTTTTTTTTTGTACTTTTACATTAGCCCCTATAATCCTTGTTTCCACGGTAGATCCTTGCTTCATTCATTGTACAACTGTGAGCCAAGGTTTCAGTTGCGGCATGACATTAGCTGACTCTATCTAGCTACTATGTTGTCCGTGTTTGGACGGGTATGCCATATCCTTTCATGTTAAGTATACAACTCATTTACTTCTTACAGTGACTTCTCGATCGTGGATACCCGCCCCAATAATTGTGAGCTCACTTCGCTATTTTTGTGGACCTCTATTAAATATCTGTAGGCTTTCGCTTCTTTTGTGGGCTTTGGTACGTATCTTTGCGACTTCAGGGCAGATGCATTAGTGCCTGATACGAATAACTCCCTCAGCGTTCGGTATCAGTAAGTCGGCTTTTTATGCAAGGATACTCAGGTTGACATGGGTCCAATATCTAAGCCATGACGGTTCAAATGTATGTTTCCTTTTTTCATGTAGATATTTCTCCTACTAAGGGAACCCCTCAGTTTTCAGAATAAGCGTCTAGTTGATCTTGCAACTTTCCATATGGAGGTCGGTAATGTAAAACCATTATCATTCCCAGCACTGAAGTCACCCATTCTATTAGATCGTTGCAGCTATTAGTCAGGCCTTTTCGGCCCTTGCAGACATTCTCATCGTGAGCATGATGACCTATTATTTGAGACCACGGCGGTTTCCAGATATGGCCCTGTGAGAGGCATCGTGTTTCCGTTGGTACTCGTCTACTGACTATGGAAAATAGACCTGAAGGATGGGTAGATACAGTAACGACCTATTTCGTCAATCGTGGGTTTGGCTTCATGTGAGTCTTTCGTTTTACTCCTCCGTGGTGATGTGTATCACTAAATTTACTCGTCCACCCAAGGGTTATCCAACTGGCATATTTTTGTGTGGTGCGTGGATATCTCCGATTGCTGTCAAATCTCTCTCTTCTTATTGTTGATGCAGTTCGTTGTAATGCCTTCTAAACAAACTTGGATTCCTTTCCATCTGGTCGTCAGTAAACGTAAGCAGCTTCTAGAAAATATTGGTTGGATATCCTTTCACGTCGATTCTTCAGTCTACATCAACACACTTTTAGGAATGTATGTCTACCCTACCGTGTCTTGGTGCACAAGATAGATCTCATCTCTGATTATTGGCTACCTGCAGGCTCAATTTCAGAGAAGTGAATGACGGTCATGGCGTCAACGAAGAGGACACTATAGTTGACGCGATGCATAGCGAAAATTCTCATGGTGCTGCTGCTGTACCAAGTGGCGTCCGATTCAACGTGTTCAGTACCAAAGTTGTACGCCGTTTTTCTCCCATTAGAAGCAGCTAAAGTCTTTGGAACTTATGGACCGCTATCTTCTAGACTCAGGGTTCTCTGAACTTCGACACCACACAGTCGTACGATGTTGGAACAAATCGTGCTGAGATAGAAAGCAACAAACGAGGCTACGATGAAGATAGAAACTCGGTAAGTCAACTACTCTATATATTTGAACTTCGAATTTGAACCTAGTTTTGTTACGTAGGATTCTATGCTCCCTCCTGTGAGGATCACGAATGATTATCCCAGATTCGCAGCTAATGACTTCTTTTTTCTAGGAATCGGTGGATAAAGCGAGTCTGTCAACCACTCTATCACCCTAAGCGCAAGACCACTCCTATTCCTGTTCCTGTTCTCCCACTTGATTTCTTCAATATGGACGGCGTTTCGCCATGATATACTTATTGTATTTATAGTAGTATTTTCAGTTTGACTAGTCTCATTGCTCTTCTTGCTCTCAGATTTGATATTGGGCGATTGTTCTCGTGCGGTTTGCGTAGGGAGTTCATTTGAAAAAGGTATATAGGCAATTAAATGCAGATAATGGTACTATAACAAAAAAATATGTGCCTTCATGATAGGCGATTTTCTGCTTTGAATGACTAGAAAAATGTGGTGTGTTAGGTCACGACTTTAGCAATGTTGAAATGTGATACGCACCTCGACCATTCTCCTCACGCCCTCTTCCAAACCGACCTGGGGTTCATATCCGAGTACTCTCCTTGCCTTCTCAATGTTGTGGTATCGCGTTGCACAACTATAGCCGACCCGGTATCTAGTAAACCCAGCTTCTTTCCCAATTACCGAGGCCCAAGTTTCTGCTAGATACCCAAGAACCATCCCAAACGCACGAGGAATAACATATATTCTATGATCAGCGCGCTTAGAGCCGGGTGGGTCGAGTTGGAGCCAAATAAGACGCATGAAGTCCCAGAAGTAGACAGGTTCACCATTAGTGATGAAGAATGCTTGTCCGGCGACCTGTAGCGGTGACGATGGGGCAAGAGCAAGTGCGTTTTCTGAAAATTGGTCAAAACGGTGTCGGACAACTGGACGGTTCGTCGTGGTAGGCGGTGGAGCATTATATGCGGCTAGGATCTGATCAGCGTTGGGAGGAGGGGCAACGTAGGGTCCGAGAGGACGAGCCTCACAGGTAGGCACGCGTCGATAGCCCGTTGTAGCGGTGACAGCTGGGAGAGCAGTAGCGAGGAGAGAATCCTCTTTTCCTGATAGAGTAGCCGTATCGGAATTCCAGTCCGTTTTATCTGAGTCGGCAGACTGCGATGGAACAAGTTTATCCGCGGCAACGAGATGAGCAAGTGCGACGTTGCCGACGTAAGTGTAGTCGAAGAGATTGTTGTTGTCTCCAACTTGGAAGTGCGTCTGGCCACGTTGGTACGCCTGGTAGAGACCTTGCATGACTTGACGATCTCCAGGACTATTGTGAAGGTCGTTAGGAGGTGCGTAATAAAAAGGTTGAAATACCCACCCAAAAATGCCAGCTGGACGGAGTGCAACTGTAAGCAAACCACCTTTCCCATTCGCAGCTAGGATTAAAGCTTCCCCTTTCGCCTTGGAATCGTTATACTCGTCGAACGGTTGTTCTGGATAAGGTACACGCTCGTCAATATTGATACAGTCTCCTCCATCGAAGACAACGCCAGCAGAGCTAGTGTATACAAGTTTCCGAGCCCCTGTAGCGACAGCAGCAGCAATGACAGCTTTTGTACCGTCGACGTTTACTTTGTAATAGATGGAGCTGTCTTTGGCACCGTGTTGAGGAGAAGCGGTATGTATTATACAAGTCGTCCCAGACTGCAAGGCAGATTTTAGAAAGTTGTTAGGGAGAAAAAAAGAATAAAATATGTAACGTACTTTTTGTATGGCTTCAATGAGCTGACTCTCCTCCGTGATGTCCCCCGAGTAAAACGGAACATCATGATGCCGCTGCACGATGTCAAACACCGAAACAATGTCACCGCGGGCGAGGAGTTGTTCCACAATGTTCCTGCCGACAAAACCACTTCCTCCAATAACGAGATAAACGTCCTTTTGCTGTCCAGACATGGTGGTGGTTTTTGAATACGAGGGTTGCGTGCTTCCCAGGTTAACCGGGACTGGATTAAGTGGAACGACATTTTCTTCTGCCACATTGGTCCATGCTGTCTGGCGCGGTCCATGGACCAGAAACGCGATTCCACGTGACCTCCTTCGCTTTCTTACAGTCGCGCTGTCCAAAGGACCATCACAAACCATTGTACAGCCTGCAAGTTTTTGGTCTGACACAGAAAGATATTCATTGTCGCTGTCGTACTCAATATTTGCAACATGGAGCTACCTCAGACCACAAGGAAGTATAGCGAGGAAGAGAAGAGTCAGCTCATTGCAAATCTAGACATTGAAGGTACAGGTTTTTGTCTGACTTGCATTTGACTACACTAACCTCGATGTATGTTAGTGGAACACAAGCTCCGCCAATTCGAATCATGGCTAGAGGATACTCTAGAGCAATTTCGAATACATCAGGAAGGACAGATATTACGTGTCCCAAAACTTGTACGAGGAATCACAATGGGAGTGTTTACAGACAAATACAATGGCGATGTCCAAGAGTGTCTTCGCGGTCTGCAGAAGGAGAAAATGGGCTCTGAAGCAATTGAGATTGATCAAACTACGAGGAAAAGGAAATGGGTTGCATCGCAGGAGGAAGCAGAAAGTTCAGCGAACGGAGCTGCTCACGAGGCAGAACGTGCTTTGAAAAACGGTAAGTGTGGAACCATGACGCACGTAGTTCAGATTCTCATACCTTATAGCACGGATGACGGTCGCAACTCCAAAGAAGAAACCAGGCTCGTCAATGGGCCCAGGTACTGCTCAGCGTGCGCGTCTACTATCCGCCAACAAAACGCCGGGGACGGTAAAGTCTCTTTGCATCCAGGTGTTTGACCATATCGCTCAACGTTTTCACAGAGCCGTACTTTTGGCCGGATACCTCCCGTTCCACCCTCTCCTAGTCCGAATAAATTTGCGACCAAACCTTCCAGCCTATTATCTCGATTACCTGCTCGCTTACCTTCACCCTCTAAAGCATCTCAACCACGAAATGTTCGTCCACCTTCCAGCTCTACATTTAACCCTGTATTACCCAAAGGTCCTGTGTTCCCTTCCGTTCGTGTACCAAGGCGGGACGAGAGTATGTTGAGTTTGAATGGGTCACCGCTTGCAAACCCATACCAGCTTGGTCTCGGTTGGTTTGCAGGTACCGCAGAGGACAACATGGAAAGTGATAATGCAAAAGTTGACAGAAAGGGAAAGAAACCAGACAGAGGAAGTCCGAAGCCACTACGGAAAACCAATAGCATTGTCATCCGACGGGATCCATCGGTGGCATTCTCCTCGTCCTCGTCGACAGCAAATGTTCAAAATGGGCTACATTCCCGGACTAATTCGCGAAATTTCATCTCATCTACGCAGCCATCGGAAAGCAATTCGCAAGCACAACACCAGTCCCAGCCTCAGGTCGAGGCCACGCCCAAGCGAATGCCCATACCACTTGGATCTTCTTCTTCACAGAGTCAGTTAACTGCCCTCGTGGCGATCCCGACCAAGGATGGACATATGCTGGAGTTCGATCCTCTGCAAACATCACCCGGGGCTCTGGATGCACTGGAGGGTATCACCGACAGTGCAAAAAAGCAAGCGAAAGAAGAGATGGGTCGATTGGTACAAGCAGCTGTTGCGAAATGGAAAATTGCTTGATAACACATGAGTTCATCTGTCTCTTGTTTTCTCATCTGAACTTTTGCAACCTCACTCGCATAAGTACTGGACGGGCACCTCAGCTTGTTGCCAATACACATATTTGACTGCACTGTGTAGCTTATCTTATCATTGTTCTGTCATCTTCCTCGTATCGTATTTACCTCCACGCTGCTTTCTCACAGTTCATAGAAGTTGTAGCGTATATATCTCAGCTCTATATTCGTGAATTAGCCTTCCAACAGGTCTAGGTTGCCTACACAGCATACGGTGCCTTCACGGTTACGAACTTTTACGAGGGTCGATTGATGCATACCTAGCCTTTAGTAACACACGCTAGGGATGAGCTCAACAGAAAAAGAATGCCAACTAGCTCACCTCTGTGCTTGTTGTTGCAAGTTGAAAAATTGCGCTACTGGCACAGCACCGATGGCGAAACTGTGTCCTCGAGAAAGAGAAAAATTGCCAGATGTAACATATCCAATGACCGAGGCTGGCGATGGTGTAGCTTGTGATATCTACCAACGAAAGATATGGAATCAATCCCTGACTAGAATTGTCATGCAATAATCGTACCTCAATTTCAGTCGAAGGGTCATGCTCAATCATTCTGGTCTTCTTTGTCGTGACATCCATTAGTTGCTTTGCTTCGGCGTCCTCGATGCGGTATATGATGGCGAGATCGCTGGGTGCTCCCTTGCGACGCATGTTAAGTTTCACCGATACCAAAGCTCCTTTCCAGAGATCTTCAGCGCGTGTGCTGGGACCCAACGCATCTAAAAATCTCTTCGCCCTAAGCCTATTTATTTCTGCCAGCACCGCTGCGGTGTGATTAAATATTTTGAACGCGTTGTCCAGCATAGCAGGTACGTCTGCGCCACGCAAGAGCCATGGAATAACATGTCTGTCAGCATCTCCAGCAGGCGCATTATTCTCCCTCTGCGTGGGGACCATATCAGAGGTAGACCTTGATGAGTTGGCAATGCCCAGGACTACATCCCAGTCAGGTTTCCAAGGGCTCTTAGTTTGCAACTTTTCAAAATTTGGCCTTTTTGCGGGTGGTTTCCTTTCCCAACTCCCCTTCTCCTCGTCGGCTCGTTCTTCTGCAAATTGCTCATAGAAATCTGTGAAGGGATAATCGCGAGGAAAATATGCAGTGCCTGCTTCGAATGCTTGGGTCTTACGCTCGCGCTGACCTGCCACTCGTGTACCTGTAAATATCAAAGAAGAAAGAAAAGGCATTGCCCAGCCTGCTGGTAGAATAAGTGTCCAACCATGGAGTGCCGAATTGGATGAGGCAGTATTTTCAATAGAACGCTGAATAAGGAGAACGGGAATGCGATCATCTTGACGTAAAGGGTTAAGGCCTTGCCCAGGAACGAGGTTCTGGAAAAGTAGGCTGAACAATAACCTCGTGGTAAAAATAACTGTTACATACCTTAGACCGCCGTTCATCCAAGTCTTTCTTCTTGTACCTTGGCTTTTTGAGGCCGTTCCGCTTCTCTTCATCCCATATTTGGCTTTGTGCAAGAATCGATGTAGGAAATGAAAAGTCCGGTGAAGACGTGGGTAGGCCTGATTCATTGGATTGGGGCCTTGCATTCTTTGGGGGAAATCTTAAATTTTGGTGACTAAATACACAAAAAGGCATGATAATAGATGGTGTGTACTTACTTGAGCCGTGGATCAAGTACCTTGAAGCCAACGACCATACCACGCGGTAATGATGCCGTTGTTTGTAGGTCTGTTAATGACGACCAAAACTAAAATTGATCGTTACTAGGTAATTCACGTCAAGAAATTTCGCGATATTTACCTTCTTGAATTCTTCTCTTTTATCATCATTGGCTGGTGATAAAGCTCCCTTGATAACCTGGCTAGATTTCGGGCCCATTATCTCGAAGACATTAACTTGCCCTCGCAAGTCTGCGATTTCTATCTCATAATGTTTGCTCTGGTCTTGCTGTTTGGCAGATTGGAGAGACAAAGAAGCAGATGTTTGCAAGGCTGTAAAAATCGTATCGTGGACGGCAGGATGGCAGCGGACCCATACTACTCGGTCTCCAGCTGATGGGGGAGTCTGTGCAGTACTGGGTCCTCCTTGTTCACCTTTATCTTGACGCTTAGATTTCTTCGAATTTGACGACGACCGGAGCACAGTTTTCTTAGGTGGTTTAATAGGATCTCCTGCAGCCACTGGCATCCACAAGACAGTGACCGGCGCAATCAAGTCAAAAGGATATCGTCCGGGTTTGTATATGTGGGAATCTAAGACGCGTGCCCCTGTCATACACCTGAAAATAACAACAGGTTTTCTGATATATCAGTGTCTATAACACGAGTATGAGCCACATACCGCTTGATACCGGGCCCCTGAGGATCGCAGCACATTTCCAGCAAAGATTTGATAATCACTTCTGAGCCTTTTATCTCGATAAGTGAGTAATAGGACGCGTCATGAAGGATGGAGCCGTGTACTGCAGCACGATGGGATGGACGAAATGACTTTTCAGTTGGCTGTACTGCCTGGACAACAGGAGTTCATTTGATATAATTTGTGAGATATACGAAAACATACAAGCCTGTAACCCCAGAGATTCTCCATTTTCATCCGCTTAGCATGCCAAATATGAGTCTCGAGCCATGTTTTATCGCCTAGTGAATAGTGGTCAGCGAGAGGAGGAGTCTATGGGCACAGTCTATTCACGTTGGCGCTTCAAGAACGCTTCGGTTCGACTAATCTGCTTCCCCTTTCCGCGTTTCGGGATGGAGCGGCCAAGGGCCTTCCGTCGGACTGGATCCATCTTTGTGAATGTAAGCCAGGTGATCATTTCCCAGAATATAACCGCACCTCTGCGCGTGCCTTCTCTCGCAGACGTAAAGGAACACGACGAACATCATGGCTTGCTGCTCTTCGCCGCAAGTGCCTGGGTAGCATCTGCCATGCACGATGTGTGGAACTTGCGCTGTAATAGTTCAGCGAGTAAATACAACTTTGGAATGTGAAACACAAACCTTGCATTCTTCATAGCAGTTTGCATTGCATCTATTTCGAAAGCACGAGCCTGGCATATATTTGGCATAGGGAACAGCACGATAAGGAAAGCGAACCAACCTCGGTGAACTTCTCCACGTCCAGTACAGTAGGCAATCCTTTCATGCCTGTAAGGTTGCTTTGAGATAGAAAATTTCCGAATTGTAGCAATGGAGTCGAGCTCACTATCAAACTGAGATGCTGCTCTTGACGAAGGCCCTGCGGCAGCATTTGTCCCTCCAGCTGCAGATTCAGCAGATTGTACTGCGATAGTCCGAGCATCTGCTACCCTTAACTTTTTTCTATTGCGGGATGTGTTCTCATCAGATTGGTCGTTCTTCCGCTTTGAAGCCATGGTTCAACACTATGATGTCCGGAAATTGGAAGTATAAGCAAGTAAGCCACGGCAACTTGAAGTTACTAGAGTGGAACGAAATGCTCAGCCACAGGCGCGAGGTGGGATCCGGATAGAGCCGAACCTCTCCTCATCATCCGAAACGTACATCAGGCTGTCAAGGTACCAACCCTCGCCCAAGGCAAATTCAATGGCTTCCTCTTTACGTGCTTTGTCGGTATCCCGGAAACTGGTCCAAACGACAAGTCCCCGTTTGCTGTCTACGTCTAGCGTACTCCGCAACGATGCTACTTCAACGCCAAACCTAGGATCCGTACAGGCTCAGAAGAAACCTATTGGTGGTTTCCGTGGCGGGTGAGCAATGTGCAGCGGCAGTCATGTCTAAAAATTAGTATGTTACTAAAGTACATGCCTAGAGTCATTGGTTTTTTGTTTGGGTTTTCACTGGCGTCTGCCTTTGCTGCCTATCATCTCCTGGACGAATACAAGCAAGCCTCAGCAGCACTGCAAGCTAGCGTCGAAGAGTTGCAAGCCAGTACTGAAAAGGTGAAAAGGGAAAATATTGATATGTCTGTTTTTCACCTTTTTCCTCGCATCACACAGGTATCTGCCCATGTAAGGAGAATAGAGGCTGTGGAGAAAGACCTCAAAGCTCTTTCTCAATCCTCGGCCGGTAACGAGGATCTTTCAAGGGTTCGTGCAGAACTGAAGAAACTCTATGATGGCCTCCACGTTGGTGCGTTACATTTTCGCAAACCGTGTATGACAGCCTAACACCATACCGTGTGATCCAGAATTCCTTGACCTACGCTCACATGTATGGGGTATCCGTAAGTTTCTCTAAGCAACTCCAATGGTTACCTATAGTGACCAGACACAACTAGAGCAAGATGTACATGCCCTATCCAAAAAAGAAGCTACGACTGTTCGTATATAGAATGGAACATATCCTTGGATGTAGTTGCTTATAGAAATGGACTTTTCTTTTGAGATACCCTTTGCAAACGTCCCCATGACATGATGGTGATTGCATCCCACAACAACGCAGTGTTGGCCTTCATATGTAAGGTAAGTAGAATGATCTGAGAAGGATGACCACTAACTCTCAGAAGTAGTTGCCATTAAATTCTGGTTATACTTCCACTCTCGAGCTAAGCAAAAGATTGTCTATAAAAATCACATGGAAAACTGAGTTCTTCAGATTTTTGTATGTGGCGGATTTTACTACTTCATCCAAGAGTTCAATTCTCCGTCTATCTCCAGTCATCGATCTCAAGACACAGTGTATTAATCCGCTATTGTAGTTTATGTTTCTATGACATTTCAGCAACTCACCTTAGCGACCGGTCTATTGTACAAGTCCTCCCTTTGGGCGACTACACTGGGTGCTCATTCGCTCTGCCTTTTGCTCACACATTCCCCAAGTCATGTTAATTTACTTCGGGATCATACCAGCGTTCACCGTCCCACTCCACAATCCGCACAAGATCAGCGTCTCCTTGCAACCTCACCATCCAACTCACCATTCCAACTCCGAGCTCTCGGTTTTCCAACGTCCTTTGGCATAAGGTAGCGACATTTTGTGGGAACTATACAGCTCGATCTGCTTCCTGCTTGACTACAATGAGGAAAAGGCTTCGCAGGTGCCTTTTATCCGGATCCCGTCGCTGTTGTTCAAAGGCACTTAAGAGGCGGCGTCAATACCGGTACCTCGGATTTCCTTATTAGGGTATGTTCTACGTTGCAGAACATGCGTCTACTTATCTGATCCTTGGCCTCCTGCAGCCTTCTCCTTGTCGTGGTTACTGGAGTACCTGGCAACACTATGGAGGGAAAGTGGCGGCCCGGCCTTTCCTAACCTCCCCGTACATATAAAAGCTACTCATCTTTGTCTTAACCTCAACAACACAACTGTTCCCCTTTCCTCGCCACAACCAGGACAGGTTCTTTGGTTTCATTGGGTAACCATATCCACATTCTTTCTGTCATAAACTGTACTCACATGTATCTCCAGGTACCAGGCTGGCTCCTTTTCCGTAGTTTCTTCCTCTGGCATCTTGCATTCTTTTACACCCATAGCGTATTCTTTTCAACCAAAACCGTCTTTTGCAATGTTGTCGCATAAATTTTACGCCCTTTTCTTCGCGTTGTCCGCTTGCGCGCTCCCGGTGAGACGCGAAGTACCCCAAGGCCAGTCATGTCTACGTCCTCAACCAGTTCCATGGCTGATATCTTACTGGAACAGAACACTCGCACGAACCTTTTCTTACCTCTGTCGGGAATAGTCTGGACGTCAATAACCCTGATCAAATTACTGACCCTGTCTTTGCCCTCCTCGGTGACGCGGCAGCGGCGCAAGGCGCTGGCAATGTGACCGTGCGTCGTATCCTACGCAACTTGCACTTTCCGCTAATACTTATCATATTTAGAATCTCGACTGTCTTCAACAAATTGTGGCGGACCAAGCTTTCACAAATGCAAAAGCTGCAGGTGATGTCCAAGGCCAAGTTGATGCGCTCGTTTTCCGTACGTTAGAACGCAACTCTGCGTCAGTCGGTGCGACAACCGCCCAATGCACTGGAGTCCAAGCCACCAATCCTGAAATAGCTGCACTTCAACAACACCAGGTAAGTATTCTAGGCTAATACCGGTTGGAAGCTCTGAGACGACTTGTTCTAGGACCCTGCATCTCCCAATGCTACAGCTGTGAACAAAGCTATTGAACTGGAATTGGCGAAGCAAATCGCATCCGTCGGAGGGAACCCCCAGGACGCACTGAAATCTGGGACGTTTGCTCCTGGTCAGATTGGGGACCCTACGGCGAAAGGTAACACATGTGACGACGCAAATGATCCCAATGGGTGCATTTTTACGCAGAATTTATTGGTTCCTGCTGCAACCGCCGATGAAATTAGTGCTGCCGTTGGCGGTACCACTTCAGCTAACGGAACGACTGTCTCCAACAGCACTAGGTAAGGACTATATCTAAGTACATCTATACCTCAGCAGAACTAAGGGTCAATAAACAGCACCAACGTTGACACCTCCGGTTCTTCCGATAACTCCACCAACGTATCCAGCCTTGGGTATGTTTTTAGCTCCTCTTTTTGTTCGTTGATATTGACTGAAAGTGGCAGGGCCGCCACCAGTGCTGCTGTCATAGCGTCTGCTATTCCAACAGCTGCCGGCTCTGCAGTGTATGTTCCCATTATTCTGGTGGCGAACTTTTCTGAAGTGTAACACAGGTCATCTGCAACTAGTACTGCAGCTAGTGGAGGCAAAAACCTCCAGACGTTTACTGGTGCCTGTACGTAGCATTTCCCCCTTTTCTTCTACTTTTATCGTACTGATGAGCTGTAAAACAGTGGGCGGGGTTTCTGCTCCTGCGGTGACCGCTGGTGGCAAAGGTTTCGTTGTGCAAGGTTCAGATAGCTTCCTCAATCTTGCTGCGGCGTTAGGTCGTTCTTGTGATATACAACACAATCAATGTGCGGACGCTGCAAACTCGAATAGTAGCAGCGGACTTGCGGTTAGTCAATGCGACCAGCAAGATACGCAGTGTAAAGCTACTTCTTCTGGAGGTTCGAGTTCAGCTACCGGTGGCGTAGCTGCGAGCTCCTCGTGAGTCATCTCCCAAACTTTTTACCCCCCTATATACTCAAAACACAATGGATAGAGTTGCAGCAGTACCTGCCACTCAGACATTTGTTGTGGCGAGCGCTACTGTATCTGCATCGTAAGTCGTTTTCTGTTATTCATGTAGACACGGGATTTATAAACTGCGATATGCGTAGCGCGTCAGCTACTACCTCCGCCGCTGCCAGCGGTCAAAATTTGCAAACATTCACCGGTGCTTGTACGTGACGTTGATTTTTTGTGACATCATGTAATAACGGTCATACGATAGTGGGTGGGGTCACTGCGCCTGCAGTGACAGCGGGGGGAACTGGTTTTGTGGTCCAAGGGTCCGATAGCTTTGTCAACCTACCTGCAGCCTTGGGCCGCTCATGCGACATCCAGCATAACCAGTGTGCGGATGCAGCGAATTCGGGTTCGGCGAGTGGACTTACTGTGAGCCAGTGCGATCAGCAGGACACACAGTGTGAAGCAGCTGGGTCGTCTTAGATGTAGTTCTAAGCAGTGTCGTCGATAGAAACTAGAGCTGGTCTGGACTATGCCTCGTGTATTTCAAGGGTTCGAAAATGATGTTGTACTGTAATAGGTATGTTCACTGATATATGTAGCGCTATGGAATCTTCTTCAGACTCGCGTCTTCCTAAAGATGACTCGGAACTGGCGGAGGTGTGTGAAGACTATTTCGATATCATCACTGGTATATTCATCTAGACTTGGCTGTCGCATCACTTCCATTTGAAGTGTTTCTTTTTTTTTTTAGTGTAACCCTTGCGAAAGCTAGATAATCGCTGATGATTGATCCAGTGGCATACAAACCCCGCCTGATTAAACCACTGCCAGGCCTCATCGTTTTCCCAATGTGTGTACCCTCGGTTATCAGCACAAGGCTTGCTTCCCATGGTATATGTTTTGAGTAAGTGTGGCTTTTGTTTAATGCTGGTCATCATTATCTCATCTCATCTTCTCGTGGACGCGTCCAAGCAAGTTCACGATAGTTGTTGTTGCAATAACTTGATTCGTGTGTTAAGATGCTGTGCCTGGTGACCCCAGTTTCGATAAGAAGCTTTGAAGTTCAGTTCACGCCAACGCAGGCTAGCCAGAATGAAGCACAACAATGGAGGCACAAACTAATATCGTGGAGCACTGATATATCGCTTCCATTCATCGAAGCAAAAATATGGCCCCATGCCTGCCCCCTGTCACCAGAAAACATACACCGTGCCCTGTGCACGTCAGTACCCACTGCACCAAATAACATGTCACACATGTTGGCAAACCTTAACAGCCCAGACTTTTGATATAACAGGGTATTCACGATGATGCAGAAGTTGATAAACCCACTATTTATCCTCATCGCACAACTCATCAGTATCAATTCTACGCATATCCCCCAGAAACTATGCACAACTTTGAAACGACATTGTTTATTAACGGCGAGGTCAGTGTTCGAGTCAATCGATTTGTAGACAAAAAAAGAGCTTCAGCATTGATAATAAATGATCACAGTTCACCCCTGCGAGCTCTGGGCAGACCTTGAGCGTAAGTCGTAGAGTAATTTAGAAGCTTCTGTGCAGCTTATCAGTTTTCCTAAGGCCACATATATCGCACAGTTGACTGTCGAAGCGGGGTTCCCTCCTGGCCTTATTAATATCATTTCCGGACGCATGTATACTGGCATTCTCTTCGCAGGCCCTGAACTGAAAAGGCAGTGTCCTGGTGTGGTGTTGGAAGATGTCGATGCAGTGAGTATGATATGCAATGATACGTTACAAACCGTTAATCTTTGCACGTGTTTGCTGTGTAGACCACAGTTTCGCCTATTGGTCAATACACTCATGTTAATCGCTGGTAGTTCGGCCTTGCCGAAGGGAGCTCATTCATGATCTTTTTTAGTGCGCTAAGGAGATAGGATGCATAGGTATCAATGTGGAGAAAAAGTACTATGAACTTGAGAGTAGCACCGGCGACGTATTTGTCAAGAGGACGCTGAGTCCTCGCGAGTGGCTTATCGACATCAAGGGTAACCTTGTGGTACCATTCATGCAGTTGGAAAGGATCAAGAACGAGGTAGCTGCCATCAAGTACATCAAGGAGAACACAAATTTCCCGGTCCCAACCATCCGTTGTCATTTCGAAGATAATGGCTGTTACTATATCATCATGGATGCAGTACCTGGCACGTCTATGGTAAATCTTGCGGAGGATCAGAGGAAGGTCGTCATAGAGGAGCTGAAGGGTTATATAAAGACCATGCAAGGAGTCAAGTCGAAGGTTATGGGCAGCTTTACAAGCGACATTTGTCTGCCCTACCGCCTGGCCAAGGTCTTGCCACAAGACAAGCCAAAGAAATTCAAGGCCGCAAGCGCAGAACAGTTCGTACTTTGTCACAACGACTTGGGTCATAGTAATATCATTGTCGACGAGAAAACGCTCAAAATCAATGCCATCGTAGACTGGAATATGCTGGGTTTTATCCGGAAGAGATGGAAAAGGCTTTTTACATGCGGAAGCATTTTGCAATCCCGTTGGAGGATGAGCATGATGATGTCCCTCATTTACTAGGTGTCCTGGATCAATGGATACAAGATTAAACTTGGAGATATTTACTCGAGCGCTGTGACTTCGTAAGTGTACGATGTTTCGATTCTGAACGTGTACTTATTTGAATGTATGGGAGGTTATTGTATCTAGCTCTCCTTTCATGTTTCTCTGATGACCCTCATTCTCGATCAATGTTAGCGATACTCAAGAAGTTACTTTGATTGTTGGCTCTATTCAAACCACTATGAGTGTGTTATACTGACACTAGAACGCAATCAAGAACTCGGCAGATCTTTTGAAACTGAGTAAACGGACGTAGATATTCCTCATAACAGTGCTTGTATAACAAATTTCACAAACATTCAATACAGCTACTGACATACTAATACAAAGCCATTTAACACTTGAAGCTTGAATTTCTAAGACATATATTCGTGAGATAACCAAGGGTCAACAGAGCGGATTAAGAAAACCTACCCCATGATCAAGGATGTTCCCTAGTAATGGGGCGACTGCGAACTGCAAAAGGGGCATACACTTTGTTTGGTGGAAATGCTTTTTCCACAACTCTTGTAATTGACTAGGACAAACAAAGCAGACCCGGCGTCATCTCGCACAGAAATCACGCGCTGGGTCTCAAATGCGTGGATGATCGACATGCGCACTGACTCAGGCGAGGTACAACACGACGGATTCGAATTACAACTGGATGTTCCGTCCGCACAGCTGGCGCGCAGAGGTGGGGAGCTTGAGTACTGGAGCGTGGGTGCGACGCAGGCGGCGGGTCAGACTCACAATGCGTCCGGCTCAAAATCTCAAGAAAAACGATCTAAAGCGCGTGGATGAGGACAGCTACGATAACAAAGAAGGACGCGAGAAGTCGAGATCGGCGCTTGATCAGTTTCTTGGCGAATGTATCAAAAGATCTGAAAAAAGGAGGTTATGCAATCAGAGGATCACTGTTTGTCAATGAATACCCTTGGACTGATAAGGATTGGGCACGGTGCCATACTTTACTAAGGCGCTTGGGTACAGATGGAGTGAAGCTTGAGTTGTGGAGAGCGTGGCTCGGACTTTATGACTGTGACAGTACTAGCATGACCAGTACCAGTGTAAAGGGTAAGGAAGTGGCCAGTGAACCAAACCCAAATGAAGACGAGAAGGCTACTACTCCACCATCAACAGAGCCTTTCAATGAGCCCAGTCGGAAAAAAGTGAACATAACACCTGAGAGGTAGTCCACCTCTCAGCCGTTCTTCGTGACCATGTACGCCTCACTTTATCCGTCTGCTAACCTACGTGCCACATTAGGTGCTACTGACTATCCTCTTAGAATGACACCATCCTCCAAGGTTTTGAGCTTCCCGATTCGCGTGCCAGATACCTAACGCTCCTGCACAAAGCAGGCCTACTAGGTCCATCAGACGCGGGGCGCGCAAGCTACATGACACTTTCGCAGGTCTGCTTTTGGAGCTACGCGAGCGACCTGGGAGGGAAGAGGATGGAGAAGGAGGAAGAAATTTTGAGAGTGTAGAAAACTTAAGGAGAAACTGAAAAAGGAGGAAGCGAGACGAGAAGTAGGCAAGAAAGCGATGGAGAGATGGGAAGGAGGTGATGAGGGCTGTGGAGAAGGAAAGGTGGGACGATGGCACGTGAACGGGGGCGTGGTTTGTCGATGCTGAGGAGGGTGGAGACAAGGATGAAATCGAAGGGAGGAGGGAAGGGGAAGATATAATTTCGGGGCCTGAATCTAAACAAGAGCCCGGGGTTGAGGAGAACTCTTAAGGCAAGCGGATATAATATAGGCTAAGGAAGTGAGCTGGGAATACTGTTGTATCGATTTGATTTGATCATGGTTCAAATCTTGTCACTATAGGACAAATAATAAATCTTTCAAGTGTGTACCTCTCAGGGTGCAACGAACAGCAAACAAACAAAGTAGATACATACATATTGATATGTATAGGATAGTCCAGGGATGACGGTTGGGAGAACAGTGACGAGATATGTATGGTCAAGCGTTAAAGCGTCTCCATGATCAAATTGTGGTTTTCAAAACTTCGTCCCAGGTCTTGGGCAATGACGGCAGTGCACGTAGGAAAGCTTTGAACCACAACTCATAATATTTGTCTCCGAGTGTCGTTAGAGATTCAACCAAGTTGTCTGAATTGAGCCTTTGAACAGTCGCCGTAGACTCTTTCATGAGCGGTATGATTTCCGTGAAAAAGGGCACGAAAACCATCACAATAGGGGAAAAATCGTTATACGGGAGTGATTCTTCCAGCATCTGCAGCGTGGATCTTTTATTCGTTTCGCTAGAGTCAGGATCGTCTGCAGCCAGTAATTTATGAAGCCATCGTCCTTCGTCAACCGTTAAGCTTTGACGTCCATCGCCAATGTTCAACAACACGCATAATATGACCCAGAAGAAAGCTTCCAAGTCATCCGCAAATGTATGAAGCACGGACTGATTTTTATTCCACGCGTTCAGCACTCGCCTAGAAATGTAAGGGAGTGTTCCCTGAACAGACTAAATAACAGGCTAACCCGAAGATGAGCTACTTACCGAACGATGTTTCCCAAGCTCACGATCTAGCTCTCGCCATCTGATTGCCTGGTCGCCGTCAGAGATCACGCCCACGCACTTTGTCAAGTTCTTGGTGCATTCGAACCTAGAATACTTTGACATCAATACCGCTTTGAGCTCATTATCAATTTAAGAGGACCTACCGTGTCAGAGGCTTTCGTATTTCGGGCTCTGGTAACAATAGAACGTTACCATCGCTGACATCGCGGTGCAGCCATCCATCCTTATACATATTATAGTGACCTAGAAAGGGAGCATCAGTCCTGAGCGACGTCAAAACGGGGGAATACTCACCCATCATTCCATGGAGCATGCCTTCTAAGAATTGGTACGGCCCCGCAGCCGTCTGGAACTTACAGCACTCCGTTTTCAATATCAATCGCTTATGTACTCTGTTTTCCATCTTCACGTCTTCCTCCTGATTTTCTATCTTAGATTGTGTTTCCTTCTCCACCTGACTGTTGGGTCTCTTCGATTGTGTATCTTTTGACCCCTGGTATATGAATTCTATCTCTTCCAGAAGAAATATTTTTCTAATCTCCTCCTCAACCCACGCCCCCTTTTTACCATGTTCAACTGTGTACTGGGCGTAAACTTCAGGTATTCCCATCTCTCCTTGAGTGAAACGAAAAACTTCAACCTCGTCATGGCCGTCCAAAGGCCATGAATCTTTCAGGATCATGGAAGGTGGCGGAGGACAGAGGTCGAGTTCGGGGATGGGCGAAGGCTGGTAAGTTGGGAAAAGGGGGGATTCATCGTTGCGATCAATTCCTTGCCATTCAAGCTTCTCGGAGCCTTGATATTGCTTGTTTGCTGGGTGATCAGAGCCTGACTTGTGGCGCTTGCTGCTTCCAGTTTCAACGACATGTTTGCGTGATCGTTTCCCAATACTTGAGGCGGTAGAGGTTCGATTAGAAGAAGGTGCGATGCCTTCAGTGCGCGGGCGTGAGGTGGAGGTGGGATATCGAGCAGTGGAAGTATCTATCGTAAGGTCTATGACATTGCTGAGTGGATCATCCAATATCTTTTTCGCATCATCGACCTTTCTCAGATGATAAACATGTGTGACACGACCCCGAATAGATTGGCGACGACAGAGTAAGTCAACGACCTTGTAAAGGCCCCAGTTTGGGATCAAGAAGTAGTGATTGTTCCGCGATGGATCGATCCCAGCCTTCGAATCGTTCTCCCATGAAAGTATGCCCACTATGCCCTTTACAAAAGCGGCAAAGCCATCCTCTGTCTTTAGACTCAGCGCAGGGCTGTAAACCACCCCAGATCTTTGATAGAAGCAGAATCGAACTTCGGAAGTTTTGTGGTTGAAGCCGATAACCAAAACGAAGTAACGGTTCTCGTGAGCAACGAATGTGCATCGTGCGTAGGTACCGGCCTGTTTAATCAGCACATTCCAGTTGTTCTTCACCTCGCACGCAATAGCGAGATCTTGCCATGACACTTGACCATCCAGCTCCGAGTCGTCAGCGACACCGTTTAAAGACACTAAATCTGGCTTCAATGCATGGGTGGTCCCGCCCTTCATTTCTTTATTGTAATTGTAGAAGCGTAGACCGTGATAATAGCGGTCCTTAGGGATTTTAGGGTCTGCGGAAAGGTGAGATTCGGAAGTGTTGATGATCCGGTTCAGAAGTTTCGTGAATGGTAAGTAATAGTCAGTCTCTTTGATTCGCGCCCCCTGGGGCCAATTTTCTTGATCAAAATTAAGCCCTTGGTCAGAAAAAATTCCTCGTTCTCTGAGTTCTTCCAGGACAAGGTGCGTTACGCCATCATCTGCGGGACACAAGTGTTCCATCACCTTTTTGCTCTCGAAGCGTGCATCACGTAGTTCATTGTAGACCAGTTCTTCCATCACACTTTGACCCCGTGGTGTCCGTTCTGTAAGCATCACATTTTGGTCAGAATACCTTTGTGATGTGTGTGTACTTTTGGTTAGAGGAGTGCTTTTCACTTCGCGAGAGGTCGAATTTGGGAGGCGAGGAGGAGTGATTTGTGGGTTTGAATCATGCGATTTGAATGCGAATGGCTCAGGTGAATGCGGGGATTCTTGACTCATCGTGAATGGCGTTTGTCTTGGATGAAACAAAGCTGATGGATAAAGAAAAGAATCATGATAAAACTGGGCCACACTGGCGCCTACATTGGAAACAAAAATAGGTCGACTGACCGTTCTGAACATTGGTCACGTGTGTCGGAGATTTCTGGAAGTGGCTGCAAGGTTTTGCACTGGATTGCAAGCCCACAATCAACGGCACCAGTTGCAATTGATTATCGGGAAAACCCTTATCTTTGCAATGCAACTACAATCTAATCGTAATCACTGGGTCTGAAACCTGTAATCAATTGCAATCAATATTGTATCCCCTTTAGGAGTATCTGAAAAACAATATTTTTTTGGCTTTGCAAGAGACAAAATAAATTGCAATATTTTATTCCAATTGTAAGTATGGTATTTGTACTGACAGGGACTTGAACCCGCGGCCACCCCACTTGCAAGAGCCATTGCAACCAAGTTTTTTTTTCAATATAACCACTTCGCCAAAGAGCTGACATTACTATAGAAGTGTACATCAATATAACTAATTCTTTTGCTGGACTGCTTGTAATGTACTTACGAAGTGATTGCAACACCACACAAGTATCAGCAAAGGTTGATTTGTAACAAATATGTTAGAGTATGAAATCAAATAGCTACTTGGTACGATGAGTGCGCTTTGTAGTAGTGGTGCCAATTTCAGTACTACCTGTAGCTACTTCTGCAGACTTCCCTTTACCACTTTGACCCTTCTTGGTTTTCATCACCGGTGCATTGGTAATATTATCTCTGGCCTCCTCCTCTAAAATATCAACTCCATCAGTGCCAACGAGCTTGCGAGAGAAAATGTTATCAGTAGATAAAACATTAATCTGCACGGCAGATGGTGCAGCGGTTGCCACTACTACTTCAATATCATCTTCGTCAGAAAAAATATCCATTTTGGCCATTGCTTGTTCAACTTCTTCGTTATAGTGATCTTCTTGCCCTGCTATAACTGCCTGAATAGTCTTGCGTGAAGAAAAAATGTACCGGTCAAAGATTTTGTATATCTCTTTGACTTGTTTCTTGTCAGCTTTCATAATGAGGATTTTCTTGTAGTTGCGGAACAGGTCAAAGTACTTTAAACCTGATTTGGCACCTTTGCCATCATGTGGAAATTCTTCGTCAGGAGAAACTAAGAAAACAGCCTATATAGCAAGATCAGAATGACAGCCGCTCAGAATAGTCTACTTTTAACTCACCACAACTGCTCCCCATGCTAGAGATCCTGGAGTATTCATGGTGACATCCCATGTTTTTGCATTACTTTTACCACCAGCGCGGCCACCCTCAAGTGACTTTGGTCCATGAAATGCGACTTTGAGAATCTGAGCAACAATGGTAAGTCAGTTCTCGTACATGATTTTAGTGACTACATTACCTTGGCAATTGCGGTACTTCCAAAGACATTTTTCATGTCCATTACACCGTCAGGAAACAGAACAGGTGGGAACATATCATACTTTATTTGCTCTCCGACCAGTTTGGCTCCTTGTAATATTTTCAGCTCCGGAACTGAGGTCCTGTCAAACAGGACTTCAAAATAATGCTGTGGGAGACCAAATATTTTGCTGGCTTCGCCACGAATTTTGAAAATGACATCTGAACGGCCACTGCGTAGCCTTTTTTGAAACTTAGATTATAAAAAAACAATTTGTTACTTTTACATATGAAATGAATGGCGTAAAACAGACATACCAGGTTGCCGAGATGCTGGCTATCCTTCATTAAACGATGGAAGTGGATGGGAATGAATTCATGCAGTTCTCTAATTTGCGTCTGCTCTCCGCAAG